GTGTGGCTCTGTGGATAACTGTTTCTGTGGCTCTGTGGATGTTCATTGGTGTTCCTTTGTGGATAGTTGTTGGTGTGGCTCTGTGGATAACTGTTTCTGTGGCTCTGTGGATGGTCATTGGTGTTTCTTTGTGGATAGTTGTTGGTGTGACTCTGTGGATGGTCATTGGTGTGGCTCTGGATGGTCGTTGGTGTGGTTCTGTGGATAGTCGTTGGTGTGGCTTTGTGGATGGTCGTTGGTGTGGCTCTGTGGATGGTCGTTAATGTGACTCTGGTCATCTCTCACACTTACAATATTTACCAATTCTCAACACACACACATTAATAACATTATTTATTTAAAAAATAAACAAACAATGAAGGGTTTTACATGCAAAGGAATAGACAATACAAATTCGTGTAAAAAATACTATTTAATTTTTTTAATTTTTATTTTTGTATAAACCTAATGATAGTTTGAACAACTTTCTTCTCACTGGTAGAGGACACCATACATGTGCCTCAGACAGTACAAATACTCCTCAGTTTGCATCTTGTCCTTAAGAATCTGTTCCTTAGTCATCCTCAACGCGTCTCTCAGCAGCTCACACTGGGCATACCTTGCTTCATACCGATCAATCCTCTTGTGGTCTTGGGCATAGGTGAAGTCCATGCTGGCATCTCTGGTTTGGTCTTGCAGGCGGCGCAGCAGGTTAGGGAAGGATGGACACCAAACTTGGTTAGGCAGCATAGCTTCCAGGAACATCTCCTCTAGTGGAAGGGTGATGGGTATCTGTCTCCTCCAGTACCTCTTGCATCAGGCAGCCGTAGGCGAATACATCGCAGGCGAAGGTACTGGGCTGTTCAGCCAGGACTTCAGGGGCGTACGTCGGGTAATCCCTGGGGTCACCTTGCATGAAGATATTTTCTCCACTCTTACAGGAAAGTCCAAAATCAATTATGCTAACTTCTGGGTGATGGGGTGAGCCTCGAATCATTATATTGTCAACTTTTATATCATTGTGTACGTAGCCCTTTGAATGGATTTCTAATATTTTTATGCCAACCTTGAGCCCGATCTTGACGAAGTTGAAGCGTGAGTCACATTAAATGTGTTCAAGGTTCTTACTCCCTTTGTAGTTCGTGAGAAGAGCTTGGGATTCGTGTGCCACACCCAACAGGAGGGAAGTTCCGCCCGCCCCCTTCAGAGTCGACAAGATCCGGGTTTTGCAAGTGAAACTACTAGATGTTGAAGCACTGTTGGCTACTTTAAGAGCGGCTGGCTCTCTGTGCCAATCAACAAGTACAAATGTCCCGTAAGTCCCAGAGCCCAGAGTTTTTATAATGTTTCTCAGCAGCTGAGCCACAGCATAAGGACCAAGACGCTTCATTTTCCTTCCTCCAGGTGTCTGATCCATCAATCTAGGCAGGACCACTCCAAGTTGGTAAGAGCTAGACTGATGAAAATGAGCAAATTTGAATAACCTAGATGACAGACATAGTGAAGAGGATCACCAGGGCTGGCCAGAGGGGCAGGGAAGGGAAAATGTTCATGGTTGTCACACCATTTTGATCACCCGTCGAGTTGTCTTAGCAACACTGTAGACATTATTGACAGGACTTTCTCATCAAGTTAAGTGGAGTTTGACAGCGACTGAAGTAGTGAGGTAGTGATAATGTTGATGAGTATTGTGGTAGTGATAATGTTGGGGAGTAGTGTGGTAGTGATGATGTTGGTAAGTAGGGTGTAAACAATTGCACTTTACTCACATATATATACTGTATATACACACACACACAGTTTACGTATGTAAGTTCTTAGTATCACTAAATGACTTGACCAGGTTTCAAACGTCTTACCAGGGCTCACTACTGGTGTACACAGTATTGATACCACACCACCAGCCCCCTGGTAAGGCAGGCTTGAATCCTGATCGAGTCATAGAGTTCTTTGCAACATCAGGATCTGCGGGTTGGTACAAGAATTCAACAAACTATGAACCACTTATTTTGATGAAAGGGAGCAGTAGAACAACACAAGTACACTTACATTACATCAGGCTTGGATACCCATGTGCATGGGAAATAGGCTTACGGGTTCCAGAAGATGAGAGGAAATGTCAGCACTGGAGAAATGCCTGACAGATCACTGGAACATTATCTAAGACAGTGCACAAACCCATTAAGATTTCAAATTAGATTCAACAGAGCAGAAGTTGTTGTTAAACACATAGGGCAAAATCTTGCTGAAGCGACCATACGAGTCATAAATACTCATACTCCATCTAAGTAAAACAGAAACAAGCAACACTTAGTGGGCCGGCCAGAGGCTTAGAGGCCCACACAGGAATTTCTATAAAAAAAATAGGTCTTAAGTGGTGTGTGTGTGTGTGTGTGTGTAATTACCCAAGTGTAGTTACAAGACGGGAGATATGCTCATGGTGTCCCATCTTACCAGTACTCTGTCATATAACACTTTGAAACTGACAGTTTTGGCCTCCACCACCACCTTCCCACTTAACTTGTTCCAACTGTCTACCATTCTTGAGGTTATCTTGAGATGATTTCAGGGCTTTTTTTTTTTTTTAGTGTCCCCGCGGCCCGGTCCTCAACCAGGCCTCCACCCCCAGGAAGTAGCCCGTGACAGCTGACTAACACCCAGGTACCTATTTTACTGCTAGGTAACAGGGGCATAGGGTGAAAGAAACTCTGCCCATTGTTTCTCGCCGGCGCCTGGGATCGAACCCAGGACCACAGGATCACAAGTCCCGCGTGCTGTCCGCTCGGCCGACCGGCTCCCCTGTTCTGATTCTGTTTGCAAAAGAATACAGGTTCTTTCTAATATTTTTTCAGCACCTATGTTTCCTTAGGTTGAATCCTCTTGTTCTTGAAGTTGCTGGTTTCAGATATTCCTCTCTATCAATTTGGTAGATTCATGTTGTTATTTTGTTAGAGGTAACCCTATCACCTCTCTTTCTTATATCTTCTAGTTTTGACATATTTAACACCTCTAGCCTCTCCTTGTAAATTTCGTTTTTAAATTCTGAAAGCCATTTTGTAGTATGCCTTTGCACCTTTTCCAGTTTAATGATGTGGTTTTTGAGATATAGGCACCCCTGTTACCTAGCAGTAAAATAGGTACCTGGGTGTTAGTCAGCTGTCACGGGCTGCTTCCTGGGGGTGGAGGCCTGGTCAAGGACCGGGCCGCGGGGACACTAAAAGCCCCGAAATCATCTCAAGATAACCATACAACTGTTACAAATTCCAACTTTGTTCTCAAGTCATGAACAGCTTCTATAGTATTTCACCATCCATGTAAGTAAAAGCAAGTCTCAAGTTGAATAGTGATGCATACGCTCCTCTTACAATGTTCTTTAAGTGTTCATCTGGTGACAGTTTACTGTCCAAAACCACACCTAGATATCGTTCTTTATTAGAGTTCTTTAATTCCTTTCCATAATTTGAAAGTTTTGTGTGGTCTATTTTCTCCAATTCCACATTCCATAACATGGCATTAATGTTGAATTCCATTTGCCACATGTCGCTCCAAGCACTTACGTGCATGCGTGTGTGTACTCGTCAACTTGTGCTTGCGGGGGTTGAGCTGCGGCTCTTTGGTCCCGCCTCTAAACTGTCAATCAACAGGTGTACAGATTCCCGAGCCTATTAGGCTCTATTGTATCTACATTTGAAATTGTGTATGGAGTTTGCCTTCACCACATCACTGTAATTACCTACTTCACAACTCTGCTGTGGTGGAGCATGTATGTGTGTGTGTGTGTGTGTGTGTGTGTGCGTGTGTGTACAGTAGTGGTGATGCACTTAACGGACAAGTCTATCAAGAACATCCAATGGTTCCACCTTAGTTGATGCTTCTGGTAACTGCTCTCAAAATCATACCAGTGCACCTGGTGCACACACCCGTTGTTCAGTCATATTTACAATAACCAAGCAGGCTATAGCACCTTAAAAACTGGACAATCTGTGAAGCCTGATGCCAGCAGACAGCACTGGTAAGGTAGGTCCAGAACAGTTAGGACAGAGTGAGGTAGCAGAATATTTTAAAAGTACATTTACACATTCCCCTGAAGACTGCCCCACCTGGATGAGTGCTGGAAATGAGTCTTGGATGTCCTTGAGAATATAATGAGTATTTAATTGATAGTGAGTACCATCCCTCAGGAACTTGTCTGGCTGTATGCTGCCTATCTCTGCGCAACCTGTCCTCTTAAAAATAACGTCACTTTTGATCATTTACCAGTATGGCCGAATTTGGATGCAATTTGAGTGAAAAAAAAAAAAGAAAATAAATTTGGGATTTTTTTTCAACAACGGTAAGTTATGGGTCCTCTGATAGGTTAGGTGGGCAGGAAATTCTCAAAGTTTCAAAACATTATGAAAAACGTTAATTTAAAGTGTCCTCTCCAAACCTCTCCGCGAAGGCCTGACGACTCAAACAGAAAATAGGACAGTACGTCACTTTTGTGAGTCGATTTCATTTCAAATTACGTCCAAATTTGGCCATAGCGCCCATACGAGCCAAAAGTGACGTTATTTTTAAGAGGACGGGTTGCTCTGCGACCACTCAACCTTCACCCATCTGCAGCCGTCACGTCACTCCTTTTGGCTACCCGTATATCGCTCATCATAATTATTCTTATCAATATTCAAAATTCTTTAGCCAAATATATCAGTTTTGTTTTCTCATGTTCATTACCATATGAGCCTCTTATATAATTTGAGGCATTAATATTTCTCAAACATTCACTAATATTCATACTACAAAAATTCTTGCCAATACATGAATGAGACCATACAACATTTTGGGGTCCGGCTGTGAAACAAAATATTTTTTTTTCTATATGATGATTTCCCTTCTCTATGCTATTGGTGTCAGCACAAAAGAAGCAAATTCTCTTTCTTTAATTTTTTTTAAGACATTTGAGCATAAGCAAGAGCCTACTCCACACAAGATTGCAAACTCAACTCAAAGTTAATCAAGGTAATATATAAAACAAAAAATACATAAAAGTTACTTAATTTATATCAAATGACAAAACAGGCACTTTTAAAAACTGACATCTCTCATCATAGTGCAAACTGGTATAAAAAAAAGAAGAAGATACCTGCCAAAATGTAAACATTGTCACCTAAGTCTGACAAGATAGAAATCAAATATCTCAAAAGTAGTTTTAATACATAAGTACATGAGAGAAAGGGAGAGAGAAAAGTATGAAGGGGGGAGAGAACACATACATGAGGAAGGGGGATAAGTGTATGTGATAGCTACACATGTGAGGATTTGAAGGGTATGTGTATGCACATACACACCATTCACCTAGACAATATGGGTCTCAAATCGTGGTCCCCCATGCATCTGAGGCTCGTAGCTCTATCAACTGGGCTATGAGCGGTCTTAAAAAGGAATGTCTCCAGAAGCAGCATTCTGATGCCAAACTGGAATTTTCAACCTTCCAGAGAAAGAATTTCCAAAAAGTTTCCAAAGAACTGGAAATTTTCCCTTTGAAGACTATTCATAGCCCAGTTGATACAGCTACGGCCTCACACGCATGGGGGACCGGTTTGAGACCCATACAATCTAGGTGAATGGAATGCCATCCACAATTTCCACAAAAGTATGGATGGCAATTTATATATTTATATGTATATGTGCATGTATGTGTGTGTGTGTTTGTGTGTGTTTGTGTTTGTGTGTGTGTGTGTGTGTGTGTGTGTGTGTTGGAGTGGGAGGGAACATGCATTAGTAAGGTGCATGTTTGTGTGTTTAAACACTCAGATCTCATCAAACACTAAATAAATATAAGTAAGATTTATCAAGCATCTTCTGTCATAAATGGTAAACCTGACCTAACAGATGTGGGCTCCTGTGTGGAACTTACCAAAGCAAGAGGGAATATGATTATTGACCTTTCATGCCCTCCTGTAACCTACTCGTCATTCTAGCCAATTGTACCCTAATACAAATAATTGAATAGTCATTAAAACATACATAAACATAAAATAAATTGGCAAGGATGAAAATTACAAAATGTGTGTGATTGAGGAGACAGATGTGGGTGAGGATGTGTTTGCGTAAGTGTGGGGGATGGGTGGGTGAGGGTCTCTCTCTTTCTCTCTCTCTCTATATATATATCTATCTATCTCTCTCTCTCTCTCTCCCTCCCTCTCTCTGTGGTGATGTTCATTACCAGGTGAGCACTGAGGTTCTACTACTCTCTCTCCTGGCTGTGGATAAGGGAAGCTGACCCCAAGTGTGACATGCCCCTACCATACAGTCCACTTGTCATCTACCTTTACCCTACAAATACTATACCTCGACTACAGCCTATCAGCTGCACAATCTGTAGGACATTTATCTGACGGTAGGTAAGAAGATGAAGTACTACTGGGAACATTAACCTGTTTGAACTCAAAAAAACTCAGGAGCTTATGACTTGGGATGATTAAACCTGTAATACATAACTGAATGCGTGAATATGATATGAGACGATGAATATTGTACATGACATGAATAAACCTGTAATACACATCTGCATGATTATGATACCTGTGGATGAATATTGTACGAACTTAGTTGCCTGAGATAAAGCAAGCGAGGCTCGGCCTCACTTGTACCAATGACTGTTGAACATGCTGATTTACTGATAAAAATGCCAAGGCATGAGATTCTAGGTGAAATGAAAAAATTGTACCTGATGCTGACCTGACCCGACCAGTAACTGTAATGAGGTAATGAGATGAACGTGGGCCAGCAATGACTGACACAGTCAACTGGCTAGGAAAGGCTATGCTATGCTATGTTGCTGCCATTGTGACGATGAGACATGGGATGGAATGTGGCATCCATGTTGCTACTAGATGTGTTGAATGGGACAGTATGATGGACACGGGGGAACTGGAAAACACACACACCCCACCTAGAACACCACAACATCTCGTTGCCAAGAATGCTGTCACAAACTTTCCAAAATACACTTCATTTCCAGTTATAAAAAGATCATTAACTAAACTTTTCTAGTACCATAGGAGTTGCAAGCCATGTCCGGACATGACACCCTTGGACATCAATACTTAAAACGGTATATTATAGGAGGGTTCTGATGATTCTTTTTTTGGCACACAAGATTTTATATATATTGATATATATATACATATATATTAAAAATAACAATTTATAACGTGTGCAGATAAAATAAACCCATCCTACTGTTATCTACAATATCGTGTCCAAGGTTGTGTCGCCAAGAGCCAGCGCCTTATAGAGCTGCCAATCACAACCGACAGTTACAAACCCTCACTAAGACTCATGAATATTTCATTTCTTTCTAATCTCATTAACTAATATTATCTAAATTCTCTCATATCTAATAATGACTACCTTAATTTAAAACAAAATCAGCAAAAAAAAAAAAAAAAAGTGTAAATACTGTATATAAATTACTGAAATTTGTAAAAGAGTTCATTCATAGAAGTGTGAAGTTATTTCCCCACATAATAAATTGATAATGACTGAAACGGCTAACGCATACTTAGATGTCCAGAAAATATCCTATTAACAATTGCATTAGTGAGAGCCTTGAAGTATGTGCACTGTAGCACATATGGCTTTACATATGTAGCACATATGGCTGGAGGGGCAGTGGCGCGTAGCCTGTTTAATGGTTGAGCAGACTATAGTGCAGCATGAGGCCGCGGAACACATCATGAGGCCGCATAACACATTATGAGGCCGCGTAACACATCATGAGGCCACGTAACACATCATGAGGGCGAGTAACACATCATGAGGCCGCGTAACACATCATGAGGCCACGTAACACATCATGAGGCCGCGTAACACATTATGAGGCCACGTAACACATCATGAGGCCACGTAACACATCACGAGGCCACATAACACATCACGAGGCCACATAACACATCATGAGCCAACATAACACATCATGAGCCAACGTAACACATCATGAGGCCACGTAACACATCATGAGGCCACATAACACATCATGAGCCAACATAACACATCATGAGCCAACATTACACATCATGAGGCCACATAACACATCATGAGGCCACGTAACACATCATGAGGCCACGTAACACATCATGAGGCCACATAACACATCATGAGCCAACATAACACATCATGAGCCAACGTTACACATCATGAGCCAACGTTACACATCATGAGGCCACATAACACATCATGAGCCAACGTTACACATCATGAGGCCACATAACACATCATGAGGCCACATAACACAGCACGAGGCCAAATAACACATCATGAGCCAACATAACACATCATGAGGCCACATAACACATCACGAGAGCCAACATAACACATCATGAGGCCACATAACACATCATGAGGCACTCCTCTGCTCACACTGGGGGCCAGGCTTCCATGACACACTCTCCTCGACTTAACAGCAGGTGTACTCTGCTTGGCCCAATATATAGTATTGCAGAACCCGGATTTTTCGCCTTTAATTATGCTGTATTGTAAAAGTAGTCTTATTTGAAACTTTGTTAAAAGCACAAAAAAAAAATAAAGTTTGTCAACAAATTTATAAACTAATAAAGCAAAGAGCTGAAATGAACACTGCTTCTGAACTTGTACTGCAAACAATATAGTATGTGTGTGTTTGTTTGTTTGTTTGTTGTGTGGTAGTCAGCACATTATATACATGTTGTGCCAAATAGCCAGAACTGCACTACTTAGCTTGGTATGCAAGGTCTGATTTGCCTAACAGGCCAAATGATTTGTCATAATTTTCAAATATTTCTTTCCAGATTGATTCCGTTCCCCCACAATTATTAATCATGAATTATTATATTAGGAACATGAATTACTGACTTAGTTACGTTAGGTTGCGTTAGGTTTAAGCCAAGTTAGGCTAGGTTTGGATAGGATACGATAGTTTAGGATAGGTTAGGTTTGATCAAATTTCTATGTTAGTTTTGAACTCAAATAACATAAAATTGCAATCACATAATACAATGAAAACTTTATTTCATAAAAAAAAAAAAAAAAATAAGATTTTTGTTAACTAAAAATTTCACGAAAATTCGGTTTGTTAGGCAACTTTGGTTATTAGGTAGGACATACATACTTACATTGTATCTAATAGCCAGAACTGCTCTCCTTGACCTAGTATGCTAGACCCAATTTGCATTAGTGATTTTTTTATTATTTTCAAATATTTCTTTACAAATTGGTTTATTTCAATTAATATTTATATATTACAGTATATTAATAAGACGACTTACTGACTTATTTATGTTATGTTATGTTAGGATAGGTTAGGTTAGGATAGGTTAGGTTAGGCTAGGTTAGGATAGGTTAGATTTGATCAAATATTTGTTAGTTTTAACTCAAATTAAAAACAATTAAAATCATACATAATATAATGAAAAGCTTCACCATACCATAAGAATATCAGGAAAACTTGGCTTGTTAGGCAATTTGGCCTATTAGGTACAACATATATATATATTTTACACACATTGTTTGCACATATGAGTGCGAGTAATTACCTAAGTGTAGTTACAGGATGAGTGCGTGTGTGTAAGTGTGTATGTATACAAAATATTTATAAGTTTATTCCAATTCCATACGGCTGCACTGTATTGTCAAAATTAGGAGGCATTAGAAACTGAACATCCACATGATTGGTACACAAATACATTAATCCCAGTATTGGAACACAAATAAATAAATAAAAAAAATAAGTCATGATTACCTACAAAACAATTGGACAAAGGAATGGAAGAAACTGAAATTCATCTGTCAACAATAACCATTTGCCAGAAAAAATATATAAAATTTTCAACAGGTATCTACAGCATATTACTGCACGTTCCATAGAGCGGAAATTTGAATAGTTCCATATAGACTTCCTTTGCTATGAAAAGTAATACAAGCCAGTTAGTTTAGTTTACCAATCATTAACTGCCTCCAGTATAGAAAGTCAATTTATATTTCAGAAGACAACTTGGGATTCTTGCCTATTGTATCTTCACTTATAATGGCTCCATGCAGATCCCTTGCCTAATGAAGTGATAATGTCCAGGTTTTTCCTTGGAATGTTAAAAGTTTTACAATTGAAGTTTAAAAAAATTCGACCGTGTTATTGGCATGTTTCTGGAAATGGATTATGAAACTGTTAGTAATTCACAATCACTTGCAATCCTTTAAACTAAATACGAATAATCCGAGTTCATTTCTAATGCTCTCACTTCATAGACCTGGTCTAGCATTTCACCTCAAATAGTTAATGGGGAATAACTTTACAATAATGAATTTTTATGCTACTACAATGGATACATACAAAAGGCATACTAATGCCTGCAAGGACCAACAAGCATGGGGGGTCCCTAACAAATGGTGAACAAAATTGAAAAAGAAATATCAGAAAAAAAAGCAATATCCCCCATACACAGTCTTGTCTTGATGACAAAGCGGTTTCCCTTGGGCATTTGGGAACTGCCCACGAGTCCCCATACGTATCCAGTCTATCACATCATGGTTCCAGTCCTTACTTTATCATTCTTTGGCTCATGTCCTTCACTTCACCACAACCTCAATTTGAGTTTCATTTGGAAGATGAGTTAATTCACAGGGCAACTTTTTCACTGTCATTTCAGCTTACATATCTGATTCTTGGTATTCCAGCCTCTTGTAAGTCTCTTTAAACTACAGGTTAAGATATCATCATGTTTAAATTTGTATATTTTCAATCCATCATCCAATAATCTTGGCCCTTACGTAAGACTGTCATAGCCAGCTGACAAAAGTTCCCATGAAACAGACAACTGCTTCCATCCACAAGCAAGAGGTAATAGTAATTAGAACATAAGCACTCATGATTTGTCATGGTGAGGTCTGGATACCATAGGTCATATCTTGTGTACAGGCATGAGGTATTTACAGTTCCGAGTGGGCAATGTTCCTTAGTGTCCACACTCACATTAGCTTCATTATACAACAGTAAACATTCATCTTGGAGATACAAGAAAAAAAGCACCATTGGTTTCACAAATAAACCACATTAAAATAATCACTAGTTCCATTTTGCTGCCGACAACTTCTGTAATGCTGCAAACGAGGCGCAAATATATACAGGATGAGGGTATGTATGTGTGTGTGGGGGCAAAGTGGTAACAGGGTGGTCACTGAAGGGTATCCTGAGCTGACAGTTGAAGGGCAGCCCGATCACGGCCCTCCACTGGCCTTGGGTAACACATTTTTGTCTGGATAGGCTCGTCATAATCCATCAGCCCACTAAGTTAACAACATATTTTGCACAACTGATTCAAACACACATTACACTGCATATGTCTAATCAATAGACAATATGCCAAGTATTCATATTAATAAATAAATCTTGTTAAAATACCCCTTATGTAATTTAGCAATTTCATTCAAGTGTGATTTGATTCAATCAAAAGCTAAAATTCCAATATTTCAACCACATTTCTTTTTCCACAATGGGTTAACTGAATGCACCGGCAGATGGACCAACGAACCTAAACCCAGTTTTCCACACACTAAAACACTTGCCAGGGGGGCACAACCAGAAATTTCCTTATGCCTGAATTACTGAGTTGAGCTTTAAGCTGCACTATGAGCTGCAAAAATGGCTGGATGCAAAGTATGCTGATCTTGGCTCTAGAAATCAAGTCTCTTTTTTTTTTTCGCTTTTTTTGTTTTTGTTTTAAAGAACATTTGCTAACAAACTTTGATACTACTTCATGATACAGTATTCATTCCAAAGTTTCAATGCATAAAACCAGACACATTCAGATTCAAATGCAGAACCATAAAACTGGGAGTAATCCCAAAATGTACTTATATATTACAATGACCCCCCCCCCCACCTAGCTGGTACTCAACTCAAGGAACTAACTCTGGCACCGGGGACCCTTGCAAGGGAATTCCTGAGGTAAAAACACTCCGACTGGTGGGGTTTCTTGTGCCAATTTGAGAAAAAGAAGTCCATCAAATTATTATTATTATTAGTTTTTAATTCATTATCTTACGTCTTCAATTCCTTTTGCATATATGAAAATTTCAACTATTTTCCTGAGCGTATAATTGCTGAACAAACTTAGGAGTCTATTCGCAAAATAAATTTTTTCTTCCTTTGAAATATGACTTGTTCGAGGATAATGTGTTGGAATAATCTTACTGTCTGGATGCATCCGTGACTATGCGCCAATATATAATAAAATCAAAGTGATGATTGGCAAAGTCACAGATTTTTGAAGAGTACCTTGGCCCCAGTGGAGTTATGAAGCCATGAAGTAAGTTCTCGTGAGTTACCTTCTGTTTGGTGGCTCTTCGTAATAGTCCCAGCACTTCCCTGTTGACCCCCTTTGGCACCACACTAAGCCTCCCCCCTCTCCCCACCACACAAGCCAGAACAAATGGTTGGACACAAGGACTCCAAAATATTCATTTTACATTTTTGCAAGTTACTAAAAAAATGCATTTTAAGCACCGCCAAGGATATCAAACTATTGCACTAATTAATACAAGGAAGACATATCTGACTGACTTACACAGCCTCTCGCCCATCAGTGCCAAATTTAGATGCTGAGAGAATGAAGTACATTTTCCAGATGAAGTCTCTTTTGTCCAAACCTTCTTAAGCCAGCTTAACTTTCTTGCAACAAGAGAAACTGAATGTTTTAGGTAGCTGGCTGTTGTGTGTAGCTGTTGGAAAAGGGAGGGGGTACTGAGGCAGACACACGGTACACTAGGCCCCCGACACAGCTGGTGCCTATGGGACATGGTGGCTGGGGTCGGTCCCACACCAGGACCCATAATAGGCGGTTACAGCACAGGTACTTGTCCAGGTACATGGCCACCACATCATGGCCTGAAATCAAGAAAACAATGCATTTTAACAACAATTTGGAGGGTCTAATAATGAGTGTGTGTGAAGTTAGTGAAATGTTATTGAATGCTATGAAGAGCATTTATTCAGGAAGTAGAATATACAAAGCAGTTATTGGTGTTATGAGTGACTGGTTTAATATCCATTAAGTAGTATGCCAGGCCATGTCTATCATGAGAGAAGCTGAAAATACTAGAAAAGGGTGTTAGTATACAGATACCAGCCCCACCATTCAATTTCTTTCTATTTGGACAGACTGCCTTCTCTGCCTACCCTCAGATTTCCTTGAATACACTCTTTACAAGAGTGAATACGCTCTCTGTGCCCATATACCGGAGCCGGTCGGCCGAGCGGACAGCACGCTGGACTTGTGATCCTGTGGTCCCGGGTTCAATCCCAGGCGCCGGCGAGAAAAAATGGGCAGAGTTTCTTTCACCCTATGCCCCTGTTACCTAGCAGTAAAATAAGTACCTGGGTGTTAGTCAGCTGTCACGGGCTGCTTCCTGGGGGTGGAGGTCTGGTTGAGGACCGGGCCGCGGGGACACTAAAGCCCCGAAATCATCTCAAGATAACCTCAAGATATAAAGGAGGCCAGGTATTAATACATTCAGTGCTGAGTTTGGGTTTTTTAAGATCGTTTTCAGTTTATGTTTGTGTCACTCTTGTACCAAACATTTTTCTTTTGGCGAGATTTCCTCAGTATGTGAAGTCTTAACTTTCTCAGAACCTGCATTTCGGAGAGGCCAGGATCCTGGTGCCTGCCTACAGAAAGTCATGAAATGCTCACAGATATTTGGTATGTTAGATCTGACTACTAGAATACCAAAGCATAAGCTCTAGAAACCCCCCTATAGAGGGCCACCCTAGAAATAAATTGATGAGAAACTAAAAAATCAACATTTCGGAACAAATTGAACTCACCTTACATGCTCGACTCCTTCTGTGGATTTGAGGTAGGGGAAAGGTGTAGGTTTTTTGAGTAAATGGCTAGCCTTTCTACAACACAAGAAGCAGAGAGACGGGCCTCGGCATCATGATCCCAGCATTCTTCCATTGTATCAATTAATGCCATCATAGCCTGGAGGAAAAACATATGCAACTGAATACATACATACATCAAAACAACTAGATACATAAAGTACTTATGCAATCATTGGCCTAGATGCAATATAATAATTCAAATTTTAACAAAGAATTAGTTGCAGTAATTCCAAGGAAATAACTAAATTGTGCACTATTCCAATTCCTGACTATTGGATATTAGTCTGGATTCAATCTTGATTCACGAATAATCAGAATTTACTAACATGTTATGAATTAAAAACCAAATGCTTTATGTCCATAGCTAATATAGAAGCTTGGGGCCTCCGGCAGTCTAACAGGGTGTTGGCCCCTCTCTACTTGTTGAAAGCCCCCTCATCATGTCATGGCATATCATGGTCTTGTCAGATGCACTTAGGCATCTAACATGACACTGGCCTTTTTCTGCTCCAGAACCTTCTCTCCGGCCATTTTTTCAGTTACGATCAAAGCCTTGATATAAAATACACCAGCCATGACAACAAGCAGGATTTCATAATACCGGCACCGGTCGGCCGAGCGGACAGCACACTGGACTTGTGATCCTGTGGTCCTGGGTTCGATCCCAGGCGCTGGCGAGAAACAATGGGCAGAGTTTCTTTCACCCTATGCCCCTGTTACCTAGCAGTAAAATAGGTACCTGGGTGTTTGTCAGCTGTCACGGCTGCTTCCTGGGGGTGGAGGCCTGGTCGAGGACCGGGCCGCGGGGACACTAAAAAGCCCCAAAATCATCTCAAGATAACCCAGGTAACCCAGGTACGATAACAGAAAGGGTTAGGACCATGATGATTGTGGCAGGTGTCATTTACAATCCTCCATTACTAACAGGAATTATAATAAATGTGTCTAAACATACCTGAAGATAATAGAAGAAGGCCACAGTGGCAAGGAGAGCCAGAGCGAAGATCTTAATACTTAAGAGATTTTAGCCACCGGGAAATAAACATTAAACAAATGATCCTCACAGGGAAGTTGAAACAGAGAGAGCAAGATCTGAAGACACTACATATAAATACTTCCTGTGCAGCATATCAAAGAGCTGACAAGAGAGATGTGAGGTGATCTACCAGCTACCATAGACCTGGGGCCAGATTCACAAAGCAGTTACGCAAGCACTTACGAACCTGTTCATCTTTTCTCAATCTTTGGCGGCTTTGTTTACAGTTATTAAAAAGTTAATGAGCTCCAAAGCACCAGGAGGCTGTTTATAACAATAACAACAGTTGATTGGCAAGTTTTCATGCTTGTAAACTGTTTAATAAATGTTCCCAAAGCCCTCTAAGATTGAGAAAAGATGTACATGTTCGTAAGTACTTGCGTAACTGCTTTCCAAAATAAAGATATAGAGATCTTAAAATATGAGGTACCACTAGGAACCAGTGACTAATGTACTGTATTATCATGTTGGAATACATTGAAGAACTGAAAGAGAGAATCAGAAACAGGATAAAGAGCACAAGAGAATACATAAGATAGTCCCTAATCCTACAGGAGTGTCAGGGACTATTGGCAGGATGTTCAATGGGAGACAAATGGGAGTGAAGTCTTTTAAATTAAAAGAGGTAAGACAAGGGGACATTAGAAAGGGTTGAAAGTGAAAAGGTTGGTTGAAACCTTAAGCGAGATCTAGCTCTTTATACCCCGCCTCCTAGCAATTTATATCCGACACATTAATTACCTCTCTGAACTTTAAGAAAAATAAGATGAAAATGTTAAACTTGTGGATGGAATTTGTTTCAATCTCTTCCCCCGTCTCCCCAATAGTGGAAGCTGGACATATAACCGAGTCATAGAGATGTAAGAACGTTCTTGTTCCCTGTACAGGTGGTAAGTAAATGACATACACTGAGGGGAAGAGATTGAAACAAATTCCATCCACAAGTTTAACATTTTCATCTTATTTTTCTTAAAGTTCAGAGAGGTAATTAATGTGTCGGATATAAATTGCTAGGAGGCGGGGTATAAAGAGCTAGATCTCACTTAAGGTTTCAACCAACCCTTTCACTCATGAGCTGCCCAAAAATAAAACCCCTCAGCCACTCCACTGAGAAAAAGGGAGCAGAGCAGGGATGAGGAATGTGTATCTGTGCCACATGTAATTCATTGTCTTCCACGTCTATCTTGCCATGGTTAATTCCTCCCCAAGATTAATAGGTCTTTTGTCATTTAATGGAGGATTGTGTATCATTACAGCTATATTCCGTCCTCTATTTGTCATCGTGCTTATTATGTAGTCCCTAAGACCTTCACAGCCTGAGGTTATCTTGAGGTTATCTTGAGATGATTTCGGGGCTTTTAGTGTCCCCGCGGCCCGGTCCTCGACCAGGCCTCCACCCCCAGGAAGCAGCCCGTGACAGCTGACTAACACCCAGGTACCTATTTTACTGCTAGGTAACAGGGGCGTAGGGTGAAAGAAACTCTGCCCATTGTTTATCGCCGGCGCCTGGGATCGAACCCAGGACCACAGGATCACAAGTCCCGCGTGCTGTCAGCTCGGCCGACCGGCTCCCTAGGGCCACAATGTCTTCATAACTCCAGTCATTTCTGATCAGCAGGGTAGCTCCTCCTTTCTTTTCCTCTCTCTCTTTCCTTACTACATGGTAGTTTTAAGAAAACACTACATTAGTTATGACACCTGATAATTTAGTTTCTGCGAGTGTAATAACATCGGATTATCTTCATGTAACCTCTCCACAATTTCACTTGATATGTGTGTAATCCAATCAATGCTTATGTACATTATGGTATTATAAACAGATGAGGAGTCACAATAATGTGGCTGAAGATATGAAGACTGAACCCCATACACCAGAAGTTGAGGAGACGACGACATTTCAATCCATCCTGGACCATTATCCTGGACTCTTTAACCATCCATGGTTAAAGAGGATCTTTAACCTCTGTTCCAGTGGTATGGGAAGTTGTTTTGCAAGCGGGGATATTAGAAAGAGGTTATTTGCATGATGAGAATGTTGATTGGACCTTGGGAGAGTTAGGGAAAAGGATAGTAGGTTGTTGAACATGGAGACGAAAGTAAGATATCTCGGTGTTCAGAGGGAGTATTACAGTGAGTCAGTGGGAGCAGGATGGGAGGTGGGTTGTGGGATTGCAAAGTGGAAGGAGTCTAGTTTTATTTAGTTTTTCATAAGGGTTTAGGGAATGAGGTTAGTATGCAGGTGTTGTGTAGGCAGGGAGGGCATGAAAGGAAAAGGTTCTGGACGGAATAGGGATGGTATGCAGAAAAGGGAATTTACTGGAAAAGTGGGAAGATGAGTGGTCTAGGCTTCTGTTGCTTCTCTCTCTGACACTGTCAACCTGCTAGTCAAGGGTTCCCAGTCCCCCCTCATTAGTTAATGAGTTAGGTACTGGTTCCTCCATTCCCCTCACTCTCCTCCTCCTTCCTTCATCATGCCCCACTTAACACTTTCGCGCTCTCCGCAAAGGTCACTCAGCCAACCGAATGTGCGCGCTGCGTTTTTATCGCTTAAGCGTAAAAACAAAAATGTGTATACTCTTTTTACTCTTCTGACCTTAGTTCTCATGCTACGTATTTCATTTTGGTACCAACGTGTTCGCAATAAAATTCTCTAGAAGAACATCAGTAAAAAAAGTCACGAAACGTATAGGGATACCAGCACCAAATAAATAACTACGAAGATGACTCGCCGTGAGCGCCCATCAGCAACAAAATGTTTTTACTCTTGGGATTGTAATCACCTCCACACTTATTCTACAGCGTTAATTTTGGTATCAATGGACTCGCAATGAAATTCCCAACACGGTGATATGAATATAAGCGTAGAATAATGATGCGGCCCGCCCGCAAGAGTGTGGGAAGTGGTGAAATTGTTACCCGGTATCGGTGACGGGACGACGCACGGCGCTTTGAAAGTTTATACTTATTTCACTCTCATGACATTAATTTTCTATGTACGTCATTCATTTTTGTGTCAATGTGTTCGCAATAGAATGTTCTATGTGCCCATAGGTAAAAAATATCAACAAAGAGTAAGTTAGAATAGCGCCAAATATAAAACAACGCTGGAACATATCAGTGAGCGTCAAACACACACGAAATGTTTTTACTTTTGTTATGTTTGTCAAGTTTATACTTGTTGCACACAGTTATTTTTGGTTGTATATTGATCGGAATAAAATTCCCTAAACAGACATATGCATATAATACATGATATGGGGGAAGCATTACCAGTATAAACGGCTAAAGTCACCCACCTGCAACCCGTTTGGGACAAAATACCATTTGATCGAAGTTATCCACACCTTTCATGAACTTATTGTACCATGCAGCCTAGTGGTGAGAAAGAGAGCCTCATAGCGCGCAGTTTGAAACAAACCCAAAGTAAATCGGATAAAAATTGAATTTTATACAAATATTTTAAAAGAGGACTCAACTTTATGTCCACTATGCGTTAGCGTTAGACGAAACGGGACGCGCCGGCGCGTCCAGATAGCGCGAAAGTGTTAAGAAATACCTTTTTAGTATTGTAGTATATATACAAGCTTGTTCTTCTTTACTAGGATTGCCTCTTTTGTGGCCTCGTTAATAAACACTATCTTTATCAGTCCATTTATTTCGTTGTTCTACCTGCCTAACCTGAAAACGTCTCTACCCTGCTTTCAACCCCTCCATCTGCATTCACACCATAATCTGTGCCATTGCTTTCTACTGTTAGGCACCTTCTAGTTCCTTAACGCCTACTACAAACACTACTCTCTCTTTTTTTTTCTTTCTAACAGTTGGATAGTTTACCTTAACTCCTGCAAAGTGGCTGCATGCTGGCTACTTTCTGTAATACAGACATGGCCAGCCCCTCTCTTTTTCTCACGTGGGTAAGTATACATGCATTACCTTCCTGTTTTTTCTTTCCTACAACATTGTGAGATGAAGTACTCCCAGCATCTCTGTACAACCAAGTCTCCAAAGTGTGTGGCGTGTGTGTTATGTCAGTTGTGGGTAATACCTGGTTGATACCTGGTTGATGGGGTTCTGGGAGTTTTTCTACTCCCCAAGCCTGGCCCGAGGCCAGGCTTGACTCTACTGTTGTACCTTGTGTTGTGGGTGTTTCATCGGCATGTTGGAAGTATTGTGCATATGTTGTGTAATTACTTAAGTGTAATTAACACTTTGGCAGTCTGGCCTATCCGCGTGTTACTGAGCTTAAACGCTCTGGGCTTCCTGCGATGGTCACAGGCTGCTCAGCGATAGGAAGTTATTTTACAATCAATTCACATTTTCTCAGTTATTTGTTGCTTTATATCTATAAATTTGGTGTCAAAATGTTTGCAAATAAATTGTCCCAAGAACAGATGCAAAAACAAAAGTATTTATAATAGTTTATGCTGCTCTCCGTACATTCTCAAATGTAAATACTGTATAGAGCACTTGGTGGGTCCTGCTCAGGAATGCATAAAAATGTTTGCAATCATTGCATCTTTTCTCAGTTACCTGGATGGTAACTGGATGAGGTTCTGGGAGTTCTACTCCCTAAGCCCTGCCATGGGCCAGGTTTGACTTATGATAATTTGGTCCAACAGGCTGTTGCTTGGTGTGGGCCACAGGCCTACATAGCCACTACAGCCTGGTTGGTCAGGCACTTCTTGCACACACAAAAAAGTACCTTTTTTTTCTCGACTTTCACTTTTGTTCCGGAAATATTTTTAGTTATTTGTTAGGTCATACCTATTAACTTGGTGTTAAGATGTTCACAAATGAATACTCAAGCAAACAGATGCAATTGCATGTTTTGTTAGTGATGTGTGAACTGCGCTGCCTGTGTTGTGGGTGTTACATGCGTTACACATGTTTTGCGTATCGACTCCTTTACTAGCATGATAACGAAATATAAAACAAAGATTTAACAGCGAGCTACATACAGCATTCTTGCGCCAGACATCCCTGATAGCAGGGCGTGTCTTTTGGGTGACAACACATTCTTGCATATCATCCAGAGTAGGGTGCTGTCCGACCTCTTCCTCAAAGGGTAAGTGGTATTCAGGTACAGGACCATCCTGGCCTGTTAAATTCAAGAAAATATTACTATAAACAAATTTTTTAATTAGAAGTCTTCTCTTTTTTTTTACAATAATAATTATGGACTTTTCTCTTTATTACTATCTAATATAAATTTATTTTGTCATACTGAGTCTTCAAATAGCAGAGAATGGCAATTTTACATTTCCATATTCCTTACTTCACAACAAAAAAATAAATCTGATGAGAGCTCACTTGAACACCTAGACAGAATTTCCCATAGCACTAGTCCGCAAGCATACATGTCAATTCGAAGAAAGGCATCCCGTTGGAAATTAATTGCACCTTCCAATACCTCTGGAGCCATGTACCGTCGCGTGCCAACCTGACAAGTATATACAAGTCAAATAAATTGGTAAACAAATACACTTGATCAATTTTACACACGCAACAATGTTCGTTATCTGGATCAATGATCTATCTATTTAACCCCTGCACTGTGCACCTATTTGCACTTTCGCAAACAGAGTGGTAGACGGTTGGAACAAGTTAGGGGAGAAGGTGGTGGAGGCCAAGACCGTCAGTAGTTTTAAAGTGTTATATGACAAAGAGTGCTGGGAAGACGGGACACCACGAGCGTAGCTCTCCTCCTGTAACTACACTTAGGTAATTACACTTAGGTAATTACCTGGTTTCGGCAAAAACTTCTTGGGGCAATTGTCAAGGACATATTCTTGTTGTTTTCATAAATATTCAGGTAAATTTAATGTTTCCAAACTCGACTATTTTCATTTAAAAACACACAGAGTAATGAAAACATTAAAAAACATTAAAATATAGCCCAATTAAAAAAAAAAATAGCACAACTCTCAGAGCGCCTAAAGGCATTTTGCGCAGTGCAGGGGTTAAAGGGTTACAGGCCTATACGAACATGTTTTTTGGAAGATTCTAAGGTACGTGCAAGAATAAAATTGCCTATATGACTGCCATGCTCTTCAAAATAACCTAGCTTAAATATGCACTTGGAACAAGACATGGTAAATGGAATTCAATGTGTATAAATGCCATGTAATAGAGAATAGATTAAACAACACCAGGTCACATTAAACTAAGAAATTATGTGAAAAGAAACTAAAAAAAACTCGGGCAAGGAAATAGATTTACGGGTGGAGGACCAGAGAACCAGGTCCAATGCACAATAACAGGAGAATGATACTCTGGTACATTCTGAAACCTGATTTAAATACATAAATGGAGAAATACTTAAAATTATTTATGACATACATGAGACCTTAATTAGAATATTCTTTCCCTGTTATACTCACATAAGTTTAACAGTAATGTGCAAAAGAACTAATCAAGTTTTAAAATTAAGTTAAATGGCACGAACAAATCCACAAGGGCCGTGATGAGGGTTTGAACCTACGTCCGGGATCATCCCGGATATGCCTTGTGGCCTTAGTCAACTGCGCCACGACATGGTAAAACAGAGAACAGATTTCCCTCGTGGATTTGTTCATTTGATGCATCATGCTATTGTGATTTGTGTGTATTAAATGGCATGTATTCTTACCTGTCCATGGGTGTCACCAGCTGACTGTCCAGGGTGGAAGACCAAAGCCAGACCAAAATCAGCAATGCAGGCAGTCAAATCTGCTTTAAGCAAAACATTTTTGCTCTTGAAATCTCGATGGGCAATTGAAGGTTTAAGAGCCTCACATTTGGAAGCAGGCTGCTCTTCGTGCACATACATTAAACCCCGTGCCATTGACTCCCCAATTTTGCAAAGATCATTCCAAGTTACTAAATTTGCCTGAAATATAAAATACAAAACTGCATATAGACAAATTATCTACAATTACTAATAAACACTTATGCACAATATTAAACAGTATAGATAATGTTTATGCATTAGAGTATAACAAATCTACAATGATTGAAACTAAGCTTGGGATTTGCTGGACCAACCCTTTGACATTAAATCAACTAAAGCATTAAATTAATGTTTAATGCAGAGGTAGTCCTAATCGAAAATTAGGACTACCTCTGGAGTCCTAATTTTCTTCGAGGTCGTTTTGTTCTGCTTAAGCACTCTGGTGAAGATATTCTCAGTTTTAGGTAATTTCTGATCCCCCAACCTCCTCTCACCTAATAAAGTACACCAGATTCTGGCTCCTGGAAGGCAAATGGATCTCAAGAGGTCTGGTACAACTTAATAAGGGCTTTACCAGCGTTTGACTTGAAGAGCTACTAAGGGTGGGGGGGGGCCCTTCCTTGAAAAGAAGGCTTTGCCTAAAGGTAACTGATATACATACACTGCATCACTCATACCCATATAATATAACTTCCTAGAACTTATAATTCTTTAAATAATTAACATTACATAGAAAACCTTTAAAGGCTCACCTTGAGATAGTCACAGAGAGAGCCTCGCTCATGATAAGCAGTAATGAGCCAAAATTCTGCTTGAAGATGATCTCCGTGCTTCTCAGCTCCAATGAATTGTAATACATTTTCGTGGGACATTTGAGGGAGTGAGTAAACTTCTTTTTCTACAAACCAAGACTGCTTATCCTAGAGAAAGAAAATTAACTTGAGACCCATAGAGTATTTTCAACAATTTAAAAATATACAAACACGCTTACATCAGGTGGGCATCATTTGCTTATCTTCGATATACATGTATCATCTAAACACTTCCTTTGAAACATTACGCTACAAAGGTTGACCAGACTACACACTAGAAGGTGAAGGGACGACGACGTTTTGGTCCATCCTGGACTATTCTCAAGTCGATTGTGACTGTCAATCGACTCAATCAAGTCAATCGACTGGAGAATGGTCCAGGTCGGACCGAAACGTCGTCGTCCCTTCACCTTCTAGTGTGTGGTCTGGTCAACATACTTTAGCCACGTTATTGTGACTCATCGCCTGCCTACAAAGGTTTTACCTGTATCATTCATCCACTGACTAATTACTTTTTCTATTTCTTTACATTCTCCTTTATCCTTCTAGTTACATCCCCCTGTTTCTTTGTTTTCATTCTTTGTATATCTATTCTCTGACCCTCTCTGACAATCCCTTTCACTTTCTTTTTTATCTCTTATCCTCAGCCCCTTTATTTGATATAATAATCCCCCTGTGTTATCATTTCCTTTTCAATGAATACTCCTCCCATTGCATCCTTTTACTTCTTCCACCTTCCACTAGAGTTTCCCAATAATATAAATGCTTTGTTTTCTTTATTTCATCCTGTTCTAGTTCTATTATCGTTTCCCTTAACACTTTAGTCCGGGCATGATGCAACATTGCGTCATCCATTTACTGTCGATAATCTCGGGGATGAAGCAGCATTGCATCATCCACTAAAATAATTGCCAAAAATCAGGGTTTTTTTTCGATTTTTGGGGGACTGTTTGGTAACTGTCAACAAGCCGAATGCAATCTGTGACTACAATACAAACATGAAAGGTGTTGATCACTTTGACCAAATGATCAAATATTATCACTTCATAAGGAAAACTCACAAATGGACGAAGAAAATTACCATCTATTTTGTGCAAATGGCTATCTACAATGCTTATGTGATGTACAACTACTACACAAAAAATACTAAACTATAATACTACATATACTAAAATACTAAATACTAAACATTTGTGGGCAGGAATTGGGAGTGTAGCTGGAAGGCGTCTGGGCGCTCACTCGCGGTTAACGCGTGGCCCGTCTTCAACTCGTCGGCGGGTGGAGTATGACCAGGTTTTTTATTTTATATGCTAATGTTCCTCTAGAGAATTCTATTGTGAACCCATTGATACCAAAATGAAAGACTTAGGACGAAAATTGAGGTGACCAGAGTGAAAAGAGTGAACACATTTTATCGCTTTTGCGCGCTCCTGGGTAACTCGTTCGCACTCTCCGTTTGCTGCGGGTAATTAGCCGGACTTTTGGAGTTTATATGCATTTAGTGCTGTAGAGAATTCTATTGCGAACACAATGATACCAAATTTAATCTCGTAGGACGAGAATTAAGGTGACAAAGTTGAAGAGAGTATACACTTTTCAGAATTAACGCGCGCTCCCATGAAAGGCTGGGACCCAAAGCGCAAGTTGAGGGGTGGCGGGCGGGGCACGCCAAAGTGTTAACTGGCTTTATTTCCAATATGCTATGTGTTAGAATCGTAGAAATTAGAATCTTCAACTTCAATCCCCTTGACACTAGAGCAGGCTCTTTCACTGCCCACAAAATAATCACTGCCCACAGGCAGCTTTTGATACTTGATCATATATTTCTCCCTGGAAACTTGCATATTTAGTAAGGAGTTGTAAATGACCCCCTCCCCTGCCATTTGTGTGTGTTTCCACTGGTGCTATACCCAATATAAAGTACAGAAGGTCATACAAGTCTAGTACATTTAATTCCTTAAAATTTGTGTAGCATTAGGGCAGGTGTGTGGGTGGGGGGGTGTGACTAAGTGGTATAGCTGGTAAGTGGTTATCCTGATTCTTGAGGTTATTTCGAGATGATTTTGGGGCTTAGTGTCCCCGCGGCCCAGTCCTCGACCCGGTCTACTTTTTGTTATCAAATGTACCTAGCATTAGCATCCTTCTCCTAGCAGTGGTATAGCTGCTAAAGATATAGTGATTGGGATTTGAATATCAATGTGGATGAGTACATTGGTGTGGATATTTGCATGCGGTGAGTGGATATGGCAGTACCTTCTTGTGTACCAATCAATACCCCATCATGCGCCTGCCTTGTAAAAAGAAAATTACTTGGGTTCAAGAACTGGGTAGGGTCAGACAACTGGGTGCTATTTATGCATTGTTTGCCTGTCTATCCAGTAATAATTTGGAACTTAAATGTAAAATGATTGGCAAGTGATGATGTCATCTGAGGCAATTATATTGCTATGCAATATATTTTAATAGCAGCCATACATTTTGGCTCAAACTTGAATTAAGTCAACACAATAGGATATACTTTAGATAATGGAACAAAAATTATTGTAAAGAAAAAAATTCAAAATAAACATGTCTCAACAATAAGATAAGTTACTGGAGAAACCTAACTCAAGGAACTACAATGTGGATACAATAAGAAGTCCATCATCATGCAGAAACTCTCACATTGTAAAGTACATAAAATGTGATGTGATTGAAATCACATCACCCAATTAATATAAAAATAGAAAACACTATATGGTCCCTTACCTGAACAGGAAAGATTTTTACAGCAATAACGTCTGTGTGGAGGTTAGCTTTCCAAACTGCCCCGAATCTTCCACGCGCCTTAATTTCTCGCAGTTGTATCGGTCGCAAACCCATTGGTGGTGAGGGAGGAACTAGTGCTGCCGATTCCACTCTTGGCAACTCCATGAAGTTAGCCTGCAATATGGCAACTTTCAACTTGCTAATCAATTGACTGCTGAAGGGTGACATTTTAAGGCATCCCTCAATCCTCTTCCACATTTTATCTCTCTTGCGACAGTGGTAGACGGTTGGAACAAGTGAGGTGGAGGCCGAAACCGTCAGTAGTTTTCAAAACGTCACATGACAAAGAGTACTGGGAAGATGGGACACCACGAGCACAGCTCTCATGCTGTAACTACACCTAGGTAATTAAGTACTTCAAATGATCAACTGGTATGTATGGTTTCCAATCTTACTCGAGAAGTTGTTCAACTCGTATTGACGATTCTACATGAAATACAACAGTTTCAATCTATGATCATTAACTAGATATATCCCTATTGCACAAGGATGATTGAAAGAGGTATTCTTGGGCCAGCAATTTTCTGGATAAGTCATGTAATAATTACAGTGCTGCAATGAGTACATTTGATAGAATGAGTACAGGGAGCATTAAAGTAAATGATTACATGTGTGTATGTGTAGATAAAAATGTAAAAATGTTGCATAGAAATGCAGTCTTCAGTAACCCGGGAGATCCTGAGTTATTCCCTCTCCTCTAAGCACAAAACTACCTCTCTGATGGCACAAAATACCAAGAAGAATCAAAGGGTATCCAAGGGCCCAATTCAGGCTTCTCCTAGCCTCGACAGCCTGCCATGAAGGGTCTAGGACAGCGCCAAAGTCATCGCCCAATGCCTGGAAAAAAAGTGTCCTCCTAAGGAGATGGCATCTTCTCGAGGTTATCTTGAGATGATTTCGGGGCTTAGTGTCCCCACGGCCCGGTCCTCGACCAGGCCTCCACCCCCAGGAAGCAGCCAGTGACAGCTGACTAACTCCCAGGTACCTATTTACTGTTAGGTAACACGGGCAACAGGGTGAAAGAAACTCTGCCCATTGTTTCTCGCGGCGCCCGGGATCGAACCCGGGACCACAGGATCACGCGTTCAGCGTTCTGTCCGCTCAGCCACCGGCTCACACTCACTCCACCGGCATGGAGGAAGTATGTGGTTGTGAAGTGGGAAAACCTCCATAACCTTGGCAGAACTAGAGGGCTCAACTGCCTCCATGCTCAAGAGTGAAGAGGCAACCCCTCAGAACTTGCCAACCCACCACACACTGAGCTAAACTCTGCCCCAACTCTGAAACCCCTCAGACACTTCAGAGCCAAAAGCATTGGAGGGAGGAACAGAAGCAGGGCATACTAAACCTGCAGGGGCCAGAAGATGAGCAGCAGCTGGAGCCAAGGGCTCCTGGAGCCGAGGGCTCCTGGAGCCGAGGGTGTTAACTTGATCCGACAGGCCGTATGATCACTACATACAAAATAGTTACAGGACTAGACAAAATTGATAAGGAAGAACTCTTGAGACTTCGAACTTCAAGAACAAGAGGTCATGGATTTAAACTAACTAAACAAAGCTGCCGAGAGAAAATATAAGAAAATTTTCTTTTGCAAACAGAGTTGTAGACAGTTGGAACAAGTTCAATGAGAAGTTTGTGGAGGCCAAAACCATCAGTAGTTTTAGAGCATTATATGACAGAGTGCTGGGAAGACAGGATACCATGAGTATCCTGTCTATTATATGACAGGATGAGTAACTCTCTTTCTGTAACTACAATTGGGTAATTGAGATAAAGTTCCTGGGCACTGACAAGTTAGAGACACAAGGCAAGAGGAACTCAAGCTAAGCTGAAAGCAACACCAATCAGTGCAAAAGAAGTCGGCTCTGAAGTTCAACAGCCTTTGACAATCAACGTCAAAGAAAGTGACTTTGAAACAAAAGCCAAAGCAGATAGTAAGTTACGAGTCATGCAAACAACTGGATCACCATGAATGTGAAACGAACTCAAACAGAACCCAAAGCCTTCTACATCTGTACTGAAGAAAAGTCTAAAAGCACAGCCAGACAACACACTTGAGAGGAGTCTACAGAGCCGAGTTACACAACGAATGGATGCCAGGCAGCCAACCTCTCCAACCCTGATGTCCTAAAGCATTCTGCCTTTTAGTAGCAGTCAGTGGTAATAGCTTCTTTTCTTAAGGAATAGTTAGCAGAGTAGCAATTAATTTTCCTAGTGAATCAAAAGTTAGCTTGCAGGAGGTGTAGGGTAGTTTGTTATATTCACTGGTCCAACATTAAGGAGGCAGCTCAGTGATGGACCAAGAATTCTCCACTCTCTCACTTCCCCAATTTTCATTTCAGATATATTTGAACAGATACCTGTCATATAAAGGAAATAAGTTGACAAAGCCTGGTATACGTATAGTAGTCAGGTGGACCATAGCAGTGCTGGCTCAGGAAACGACTTACACACCTCAGGGCAGAAATTTGTTTCCACACAAAATATTCATCAACATTTTATACACGCCAAAGTGTTTACAAAAATTATCAAGCTATTTATCATGTTCTGAACAAGCACATGCAATCCATAAAAATTACATCTAAATAAAATGAGATTTTTTTTAAATTATTGAACATTTACTAACCATTTTTCGTCGTCGGTAGAGGTAGAAGAGCAAGGTAACGATAACCACGAGTAGGACGAGTGTACCCAATGTCCAGGCCACAGTTTTGACCACAATATCCTGGTCTTGAGGGGTGGCTGTTGGCAGTAATGATACTATATAATGGAATACAAACTGTATTTATTAAAGGCAACAGTGTTTAAAGCAATGTATTTCAGTGATGGGGTAAGAGAGTAATGATTCCCTGAATAACATTTCAGACAATTTTGAGTTCTTTTAAAAGCCTACTCGAGATATTAAAATTGCAGGGTCACCTAAAATTGCTTCCAATGATATCTCGGCATTAATTTTTAATGTCATCTTACTACAAAACTTTAAAAAAAATCAAGTATTAAAAGTAATAAAGCATCCTTTCTTTGGTGGGGCACTCGGTAGCTTCTTTCTGGTCCAGCCATGTTTTAGGAAGCACTAGATCCTCAAGACCCACTCTTGCCTACTGGGAGCTAGGACCAAAATACACCTTGCTCGACGAGGCATGGAAAGCACAAGAATCAACACAAAACGAAAACCATAAAAAAACACGAGCACAACACACCCCTGACTGAAGAAAATGTGGTATCTGAAGGTAGGGAGGTAAACAATCAATACCACAATGTTATTACTCCAGCCATGTTGTACCAAGCAGCTTGCAAGTGACAGCCCAGGTCATCCCAGGATATCCGGCTCACACCCGCTATCATGAGACCCAAACATTCCCATACTGCCACTACAGCAAAGACTACAGACTTCCCCTCCACTACAGCAAAGACTATTTCCTGTAGTGGGGAATTTCCCTTCCCTCCACGGGGAATAGGGTGGGGACAGGGAGCTTCTGAGGGCCCCACCAGAAATGGCATTTCATTTCATATAGACAATTTTAAGGACCAAACCAAAAAATCTTTCAGAATAATACACAGCATATGTTAGAACAATCATTGGATATACAATGATGGAACCCACATCTGGCAAAGCACAAGAAACTGAAAAGGTGCTAAGATTTAGTATGCAACAGGCTCGAAAGATAAGTGTAATATGGTATAAGAACGAGTGAACTACAGGGCTATACATGTAACAGCACAGGACAAGAGGCAATATGATCACAATGTACACTACAAGATACCAAGAGCGCACAAATGGATGTTAGCCATACAAATAAACCAGCAAAATACTAGTACAATACTTGTAGGCAGTGAGAGTGGTAAACAAGTGAAAGTTTTAACCAGACGTGGTGAAAACAGCCACCATTTTACAACTTCAAGAGCAAGTAACACTGTCCTTATGCATCAGGAAAAAGACTGCACCGGGTATAATAGCTAAGAGACGAGGCACAAGAGCTGGATCTTGCTCCTCATAGACATAACAAGACGAACACTTCCATTAGAGTGGTCACCGCCACCTCACCCTAAGAGCCACAATCTGAATCACGACTTCGTTCACAATAAGTTTCCTCCACAAAGACTATCGTCACTGTGCACACACATCACACAATGCTTCGAAATGTTTCTTGTTTTGATGTGAATTAACTTTTATTTCATCTGTTCATCTTCATTTGTAATAAAAAATTGACCCGCATAGGTAAAATTCTAAGTATTTACTACACAAAAAAATGACATTAGTTTCTCATTATATTCCGCTAAACAGACCCCGACTTTAATTTGCTTCATTCTGTGAACTTTTATATTTGACCTCATTTTGTGAACTATCACTCCATGTTCGCATTTATCTTATGCCTTTGCGAAGTCCATGTATATCACATGTGCATTCTGCTTTTCCTCTAATGCCTCAGTGATTTTGTCATCATGGTTAAGCAGCTGCAAGAGGCATTATCTTCCCTCTCTAAATCCATGTTAGACTGGGTTGTGGAGGTCATTGGTCTCCATAAAACTGGAGATCTGACTGCTGATCACTCTCTCAAATACTTTTATTATGGGGAATATTAGTGCAACTGGTCTATAATTTTTAGCCAATGCTTTACTCCCTGCTGTGTGTATAAGACCTATATCTGCCGATTTAAGTACTTTTGGTATATCTCGTGTCCAAGCTCTTCCTCCACTCTATACTGAGTGCCTGTGCTACTTACTAGCACTTTGCATTTCTTCATAAACACTGAATTCCGTGAGTCTGGACCTGGGGATGAGTGCATTTGTAATAATGTTGTCAATTTCTGTTTCAAAATCTGCAGCATTCATGTTAATATCCTTACATTTTTCAGGGGTTTGAATGTCACCCATAAAGAAGCTGTCCGGATCTTCCACCTTCATGCTGTGGAACAGCAAGTTTCTTGCTTGCGGTGCTAAACATGTCCTCATACTGCTTTTTAAGCATTTCACTGATTTCTTTGTCATCCTCTGTTTAAGAAACCTCCCTTGTAAGAATAGATCCAATACACAGATAGTAATCCCATTAACGTGACTGCATCAGTGAGAAAATCCATAGGAGCCGTGGTGAGGGTTCGAACTTATGCGGTGGATACTGCACTGGCAACATGTGAACTGGATACTGCATGTGCGTGGCGACATAAGTTCCACAGTGTGGAACTTATGTCGCCACGCAAATGCCCTATTCAACTAGACCACGAAATGGTAATAAGGATTGCAACCTGCAGTTCTGCTGAACACACAAGGATTTCCCGAGGCTTCTACTGAAGCCGGGACAGGATTTTTACTTAATCCCCCCCCACCCCCTCCAGGCATAGTTGACTAGGGCGTGTGCGTGGGAACGCCGACCTTATAAGTTTGAACCCTCATCACGGCTCCTATGGATTTTCCTAATAGAGCCAATACTGACAGTGGTTCTTGAGTTTGACGTTTTTCTTAATCTCTTGTATTACTTTATGTTCAAGTTGGATTTCTTCAATCTGACATGATTGCTTCAGTCTTTGCTCTATTTCTTCAATCTCCCTGTTTAAATGATCCCTTCTTTAAAGGGATCATGAATCATGTTTGCTTAAGCATTTCCGTTACTTTTTCCTTCTTCTGTAGTGCCGTCTGCACTTTCTTTCTACGTTGGTCCTCTTTCTGGCTTTCCGCAAAGGAACAAGCTTCAGCCAGATTTTATATGCTTCAGAAGTCAATTGTTCTATTCCCTGTGTGGGATTTTTATTACCGTACTTAAAACAGTTTCCCATTGGATTATCTTGAGGTTATCTTGAGTTGATTTCGGGGCTTTTTTAGTGTCCCCGCGGCCCGGTCCTTGACCAGGCCTCCACCCCCAGGAAGCAGCCTGTGACAGCTGACTAACTCCCAGGTACCTATTTTATTGCTAGGTAACAGGGGCATAGGGTGAAAGAAACTCTGCCCATCGATTCTCGCTGGCACCCGGGATCGAACCCGGGACCACGGGATCACAAGTCCAGTGTGCTGTCCGCTCGGCCGACCAGCTCCCTTGGCAAGTTCCTTGTTTATTTTTCCCCAGTCTATCCTTTAATTATTACAACTGATTTTACTGAATAACTCCTCTCGCTTGATACTTTTTAGGCCTTTTATGAGTATTGATGTCAGTTTGCAATTCAACGAGCTTCAATGAGCATGACTGAAAAATTGACATTAATTCATTAACTGTTGACCAGACCACACATTAGAAGGTGAAGGGACGACGACGTTTCGGTCCGTCCTGGACGAAGGGGACCGTCCCCATTCTCAAGTCGATTGAGAATGGTCCAGGACTGACCGAAACGTCGTCGTCCCTTCACCTTCTAATGGTTGGTCTGGTCAACATACTTTAGCCACGTTATTGTGACCCATCGCCTGCGAATTCATTACCTATTTGTAAGGCAGTTCATTAACTAGAGATACAGAAACTGATCCAGCGCCAACTGCATATATGAACACAGCGACTGTAACACTTACGTGGAGTAATAGGCGGCTCTGCCACTGGGTGCCATGAGAAGTTATGGTTGCAGTTGTTGTGATTACAGCAACAAAATAAATGTTTTTTCTTTAACGTTATGCTACTTGCTGCTTGAACACTGATACATTCATCGGAACACATCTGATCGTCCAGCCAGCAACCTTTGTAAGTAATCTCCAGCTGCAATAAGAAAAACTATTTATTTACCAGCAACCTTTGTAAGTAATCTCCAGCTGCAATAAGAAAAACTATTTATTTACCAGCAACCTTTGTAAGTAATCTCCAGCTGCAATAAGAAAAACTATTTATTTACCAGCAACCTTTGGAAGTAATCTCCAGCTGCAATAAGAAAAACTATTTATTTACCAGCAACCTTTGGAAGTAATCTTCAGCTGCAATAAGAAAAACTATTTATTTACTATGTTACAATAATGTAAAATAGCTGATATTGCACTACTAAAACCTGGTAATGTATGGTAATATGCAATTCAAATCTTATCACCTAAACATGTGATAACATGTTATCACATAGTTTAGGTGATGGTATCTACTTGTTATCAAACATGTTAAAAAACATGTTATCTACTTGGGATAGCTAATCTGGTAATTTTCTCAGCTATCTCCACATCAAAAATTTACCTCTCTTTTTTTTCTATTCAAAATGGCTACTAATTTATAAAAATTACAGAAATTTAAGAAAAAATGCAATCAATAATAATTCTGACAAAAAAAAAAGAAAAAGAAAAGGCTTTTAAGTGTAGGTGAAAATCGTCTTTCTGAGCCGGGCACTCGGCAGCTCCTTCAGCCATGGTCCTACTTCTCCCCTTCAACACTAAGCAATTTGGTCAAATTGACATTTTGCCCAGGTGCAGCTTATTCATCTATGCTTTATTAACCTGTGTCAAGCACTAAGTTACTTAGCGTGAAAGAGAATACCAGCGGACATTGTGCTAATCACTAATTGGCATGCTCGGCCAGGAACCGCAACCACCACCAGGTGTCGGCATTTTCCATTTCACCCGACCAGAAGCTCGATCGGGAAAAGTTGGGAGAAAGAAGAAGAGTGAATGGGAGCAGCTGAGTGCCTTGCTCAAAAAGGAAATTTATATTTACAATAAAAGTCAAATCTCCGAGCTGTGCCGCTCATTTGCTCCCTTAGGCAAGATTACTCCGAAAAAAAATAAAAGGAAAAATTAACTACAAGATGCATAAAGATATTGAACTTATCCATAATGCAGAGTAGTGCCAGAAAGAGGTGCATGGGAGTAGGTAATCCTAGTTCCCAGAGATCTCAATATTCAGACACCCAGATTCCAGCCCAAAGATATGACCATTAGGAGCACAGCCAAGTTCCATAAACTGACAGATGCTAAGATACAAATATACAGTCTGACCACTAGAACTCTCAGCTCTCTGCCTGCACAAGACATTAGCAGATAATAATGTGTAGAGGTTGCTGAACTTTCACAAACTTTCACAAATCAAGAGCACTAAAATAAACCTGTGGGTGAAAAACTTAGCTGCTCTGTAGAGCAATTGAGAAAGCTAAGTCTTGGACTAAGGCATCGTAGTATGAAGATTAATGAACAGCAGCTCAGAGTAAGCTATATAATGCCAAATGATACCACTTCACTGACACAACTGTGCAATGATGATGAACACAGATAAACAAATAAAAACCGCAAAAAGATGGAGCCCCTTCAAAACACACTCATCTCATTCTTTGCCAAGAATGAGGAATTTGGGTATGCATGGAAGCATCCCCCATCTCGAGAGAGATAAACACAGAAGGTCTAAGGAAAACATGAAACTCACAAATGTGATTATCTTAGCCAAAGCAAATAATTATGTTGCCTAAGTCCTAGAGTTGAATCTACCTCACAGTAGATGCCTTTTGGCTGAACTGGTTAAGGTGGAGCTTTCTGTTCCTCTTACCCCCCCCCCCCCTAGTCAAGCTTTTGCTCTGGGTCCTGGCAAAACTGGAGTTCTCCAGGAAAAGGATGATCCTTCTGGTGCCCTGAGGGGCCAGCCCAGCATTGTACCTGTACCTGGATTGTACCTGGATGGGGTTCTGGGAGTTCTTCTACTCCCCAGAATGCCCCCATTTGTTCCAGCAATATTTCTTCTGCTAGCTTGGTTTCAGGTGTTGCTTGTTATGTCTGAACCCAGTCATTTTCCCAGGGCTTAGCTTCTTTCAGAAGATTATTCTGGTGATGACCCTTGCTGGTTCTACCTCCACTTTCAATCTTTGCATCTGGAGTTTCTGACACATGTTAATCGCCATTTTTATAGTGATCAGGTGGCTGGCTTGTTGATGTCACGACTGTGGTCCTCTTCTTGGCAATAGTATGAAGTCTTGTGGTGTACGTTCCACCAGTTCCTCTCCTTTCGTCCCTGCTCTTCGGTGTTGGTTTCAGTTGTCCTGTCTTTTCTTTCTCGCTTTTTCTGGTTTGGCATTACATGCCGAATACTGTCACCTCATATTGTGCGGCATTTGCGGAGCCACTCCAGCTTGCATTTGAGGTTGTTACTTCCTTGGCACATTCCGTATGTTTTCCTGGGCATTGTTTCACCTCTGGCCTGTTCATGCACCACCTGAGCTTTGGACTGTGCTCTATTCTTCCTTTTTGCTCATTTTACGGTGTTCCATTTAGTCCAGGATTGTTTTCTTATGGCTTTGTTTTTGGTCTCTGACCTTCAGTTGTCCCATGGATGAGCTTCATAATCTTTCAGCATTGGGCCTTCCATTCCTTTGGCCCTGGGGGGGGGGGTCTTTTTGTTTGTCTGCAACTGGATCCAACCAGTTTTGGCGAAGAATGAGTTGGTTGGCTTCCAGATGGGTCCGTTGGTGATTGATGCTTGATTAGTTCGACCGGGGGTGCACTGTGCTCTTTGTCTGACGGCATCTCTTGACCGTTACCTTCGTGCCACCACTTCTGCTTTGGTGAGCTCATTGTGTGTTGATCTGGTTTCCTTGGTTTCCTGTTCCAGGGATTGTGTTTCTCTGGTTGTCTGCAGTGTCATTACGTCCAGCCAGCCTGCAGTCTACCCTCGTGCCTGACATTTGTCAGTTTACCGCTCTCTCAGCTGTGTTTGCCAATATGCCTTGGGCTGAATTTTGGGCACAGGGGTTTTAGATGGTTGAACAGGGTCCTGGCCGCAAGAAATCCCATGAATTTTCCTGGTCCTCATTGGCCTTATGTAGCCATGAGTCATGTGTCACAGCCCACTGTTTATTTTATGAAGTGGCACCTGCAGTGCTCCCTTTTTCCTGGTATGTCCCTTTCTTTTCCTTCACTGCGAGTAGGTAGCTACACGGAGCCACAAGGAGCTCCCCCCCCCCCAGGAAACCAGCATTGACTAAAATGAAATACCAATTTCTGGGGAGCCCAATTGGCTCCCTGACACCCTCCCTTTCCAGGGATAACAAGGGCAGTTTCTCCACAGAACCGAGGGTTGAGCAGCCGGCTGACCTGGTCTGCTTCTCTCCTCCCCCCAAGCGAGGGGAAGGGAGGTGGGGCATACGAGCTTGTGGCAGTTTCATGAATTTTCAATCTTTTTACATTGATCTTCTTGAGGTTATCTTGAGATGATTTTGGGGCTTTAGTGTCCCCGCGGCCCAGTCCTCGACCAGGCCTCCACCCTCAGGAAGCAGCCCGTGACAGCTGACTAACACCCAAGTACCTATTTTACTGCTAGGTAACAAGGGCATAGGGTGAGAGAAACTCTGCCCATTGTTTCTCGCCGGCGCCCAGGATCGAACCCAGGACCACAGGATCACAAGTCCAGCGTGCTGTCCGCTCGGCCGACAGGCTCCCCTCGAGAAGGTCATTTTGTGATTTTGAAGTGTTGATCTTCCTTATAACCAGCAGCAGTCTGTTTTGTTTTGCCGACTTTGTGGGTGCTTCCATGGCAGTGGTGGACACTATTAAGATTCACTGATAATTTTATCAGAGTGCCACTGCGCTCTGCGCCTCTTTAGAGGGGGGGGGGGGGCCAGGTTCTGACTCATGGTCCTTGGAAGACCTAAAAGAACTCTGCTATTGCTGGCACCTAATAGCTTGGTACTATATCTGTAGCTTCAGGAAGCTACCAGGGCTCACCTAAAATTGGAATTTCATCACATTCAACACAGGTTCCTATTACTATTTAGAAAAAATATCAAAAATTTTTAATTTTACAATTTGTATTTTTTATGTCATCCTTTATCCTATTCATACAAAAGGTAAAGGGATTTTTTTCAGAAGCTGTTTGAGCTTCAGAGTCACCTATTAATGGCATAGGTAACACTTTATAACCTGGGGCCTGATTCACGAAGCAGTTACGCAAGCATTTACGAACGTGTACACCTTTCCTCAATCTTTGACGGCTTTGGTTACATTTATGAAACAGTTTACAAGCATGATAACTTCCCATTCAACTGTTGTTATTGTTATAAACAGCCTCCTGGTGCTTCGGAGCTCATTAACTGTTTAATAATTGGAAACAAAGCCACCAAAGATTGAGAAAAGATGTACAGGTTAGTAAGTACTTGCGTAAGTGCTTTCGTGAGTCTGGCCCGTGGCTGCTATATGCTACCTATCACTTGATAAAGTGTCTGCAAGCATATTGTGTCATCGCTGCCTATTAATGCCTACTGCATCAAATACTGCCTATTTAACAATCCACAGCTTGAAGCACAGGGCACAACTGAAAGGTTAAAACTGCCACAATTTCTTTTTATAAAAACCAAGATACTTTTCAACTCTCCTTCCTTCTCAACTTTTGTAGTCCCCCTCATATACCTACCACAATCTGACCAATATGATCCTTCACAGCCATCATACCTGCTTGATAGGGTTCTGGGAGTTCTTCTACTCCCCAAACCCAGCCTGAGGCCAGGCTTGACTTGTCAGAGTTTGGTCCACTATCATGATATTGTATCTTTTCCATTCAACATAACTCATAAGAACCACAACCCCTCTCACCATAATTCTTCATGACATGAAGAGTCTATGAAAACCAACCAGGATCTTCATCACTAAAACATAATCTAACAACAAAATTACCATCTCTTCCTCAATTAAAAATCAGATTTCATTACTCATCGAGTTAAAAGTTGCCCAAAACGCTATGCGTACTAGTGGCTTTAGGTATTGTATGTACAGTACTACCTATCTTTATATCTAAATTTAAATCTAACAATGTTTGTACTGTAACGCTGCAACTATGTATGTACTGTTCCTAAATAAATTATTATTATTATTATTAAAAGGGTTTACAAATAATTACTAACCTTGCCTGAGTTATTAGTCCACAAAACGAAGCAATGGTTTACTTTCTCGGGAGTATCCCATACTTCGCACGCCTCCGTCATCTTCCCTGAGCAAAGAGCTGACTGAGGACCTTCGTTTGAACATTGTGTACTATTATAGACTTCACAATGGGTAACTCTTGGTGGAAGATTTTCTGCAGGCCGTGCAACACTCTCTGGAAAATTTAGTCCCTATATATATATTTGGTGGACATTTTAACATACACGTAACTTTCAAGTACTATACCTGAATAGGAAATCTTGTTATAAATATAAAATCATACATCAGCACCTGAAACCAAATTAAATTTGATAAAACAGTACTATACTGACTGTACTTTATTCAAACAATTTTGTTATTTACAAAAAATTATTTTTGATACTTCAGAAAACAGATACAGACAACAATCAAACATACAAAAGAATACACACACACTTAACAGTTTCTGCTAAGTATAATTCACAGACTAATTAATGTAAGTTCATGTTAATAATGCCTGTACACTTATGAATGAATATCAATCATCAATCAACATGTTTATCAAAGTGAGCTTGGTTCAGGCTAGTAGAACACCAGCAGAATGCCAACCTCTGGATGCCATCCGCAACACCGAGAAAAATATGCAGCCATAAGAGAACACACCCACCCCAGAAGAGCAGAGCCCTGATACTGATGACACCTCCCCATTGGCCAACAGAGGCCTAGAAAATGACCAACCAAATCCCCAGGAAAGATGCCAGGAACCACCCATAAGGACCTAGTGTGAGAACTGGAAACCCAAGACCCACAGCCTTGATAACCAGCTACCATGCCCGGAGGCCGGAAACCATGGCCTAGGGCGACCAATATAGCACTTTGGCCAACAACCATATGCTTGAAACTCCTTGACAAAGAGAATAAAATACCAATACAACTGGGAGAGCTCTTCAAACAGAAGGCAAAAAACATGGGGCTCAAAAAACAACTGGCCTTAGACAACCCCCATGGCTCAGAGTCAGAAAGGCTGAAGGCAAAACCCTATACGACTTGGGCTAGGAACCCCAAGCAAGGTGCACAGCACTTTGCACCACTATAACAACAGTGCACAGTACAGGGCAAGACACAAGAGAAACATTAAGCTCCTTCTTGCCCCAGTCTGATGGTCATTCTGGACTAAACAGAGTTCTACTCCACCAGGTTCTTTTTTTTCTCAGGGGTTTAATGATTCTACTTGTACTGTATATGTATTTCACATCATCAAAAGCTGCTCTGTGGAATTTCCTTGCCCATCAAGTAAATGGGCAAGGAAAGTTTTAATTAGCCCGTGGCCTAATTAAAACTTTACTTCTATTTAACCTTAGCCCTGTCAAATCTGTCTTCAGCTATAAGACATCAACTAAAAAATAAACTGCTCAGTGCCCGACCTATGAGCCAACTTCATCAGGATACCTGCTTGATGGGGTTCTGGGAGTTCTTCTACTCCCCAAGCCCAGCCCGAGGCCAGGCTCGACTTGAGGCACCAGGCTGTTACTTGGAGCGGCCCGCAGGCCCACATACCCACCACAGCCCGACTGATCCGGGACTTCTCTTAGAAAACAGTCCAGTTTCCTCTTGAAGATGTCCACGGTTGTTCCGGCAATATTTCTTATAGTCACTGGGAGGACACTGAACAACCGTCAACGTATTCATGATTACACCAAGTTTTGTAATTCAAGACTTAGCAATCACTAAAAATATTAACAAGACATATAACATCAGCTGGCCATCGCTGCATATGAAAATACCTGTACAGAAAATACAGTACTATCATGAGTGAAGCTTTTTCAGTATTCCATTCTTTATTTAACGTTGTCAAAGGTTTTCAATTTAAATCGTAGAGCTAATGATGGATTGCTGCCATCTTTCCCTTTGCATTACTGTATTTAAAATTTTAAATTATAAAATGAAACCTAACTTTCTTAAAAGATGCTCCCAATCATTCAAAATATTGACTTCAAAAATTTGTTAAGGAAAGTGCTGCTTCACATTCAATCTTTTCTTTTGAGAACATTTCAGCAGATCTGCATCAGAACATGCAACATAAAACAGCTACTACAAGTTTCAAGAATATATCTTAATTAGATAACTTACCTGCTATTAGAGCAGAGATGATGGGAAATGCCGCTACAATTAGCAGGTACATCATAATGCGTGACAGCCGAGTTACAGCTGTGCTACCAGCCATTGCACAGCCGGCCCTCCACACTCCACTTCACTAGGCCTAAACACTTTCTCTGTATGGCCCTTCTAAATTATATCCAGTCAGGCCTGGCATATGTGACGAGTAAGCCTCATAAAACTAATTACATCTGTCCAATTAAATGAGTCCGTGTCATGTCCATGTTCTATATACAGCACAATTTTTCAAGTATCTCATCAAGGCCTTTGTCACCTTGACCCCTCACCAAGGACTTTTTCTATTTGAGTTTACTGCCACGAAGTATGCACACACAGTTCCAAATATCCTACTCAAACTGGCATTCATGTAGGAGACTTACTGTACACTAACACACCTCAAAACTTTTCAATGTATCAGCATATCTGAAAACAGAAATGTATCAACAATTGGGATAAATACAAAGCCCACAATTTGGCAGATGAAAGTAAAGACAGTGTTTCAAATAAGCAATATATATTTAGACTTTTTAAAAATGTATTTAGAAAATAAAATTAAGAATAACTACAGTAGTACCTAATACTGTACTGTGTTTAAAGCAAATGCTTTTTGTTTAACTTATAAACACATGTAAGACAAAAACCAATAAATAACCCAAGCTATCATATTAAAACAATTAAAGACTTTGATACGTTTGACAAGTGCTCTAAAATCTACATGCCGAGTGAAAAACTTAGCAAGCCAGCTTTAATATCTGGCTGGCTCTCGGCAGTTTTCCGACTTTCAAAATCCAGCCCAAGAAAAGGTTCCCCAGGTGGCTACCTGATAAGCCTGGCTAATGCTGTCTGCAGCCTCCTGGAACCTCTTAAAGACTTTCACTTTAAATGCTATATAAAACATTTTGCAAAAATTACTGAATCAATGATTAATAGCTTAATTTTTGGAAAGAGAACTTTAAAGTTGGCAATCAAGTGTTCCTATAATTTTGCATTTATGATTGCTGGGAAAGTTTAACCCTTAAACACCGGTTATCATAATTTGTTGATTCACTGGGTAATGCGGTTTTCACCTTATGAAGATTTAACCCATTATTGTCCGAGTTTTACATGTATTTATTTATTTTATTTATTTATACTGTATATTAAAGAGTTCTTACATTCTTGTACAGCCACTAGCACGCATAGCATTTCGAGCAAGTCCTTAATTCTAATTTTCGCACACACACATTCCCAGGAAGCAGCCTGTAGCAGCTAACTTCCAGTATATCTATTTACTGCTAGATGAACAGGTGCATCAAGATGAAAGAAACTCTGCCCATTTATTTCCGCCTCTGCCGGAAATTGAACCCGGACCCTTAGGACCATGAACCCCGATCATTGTCCACTCGGCCATCAAGCCCCCAATGCAAACTGGGGTATGATGCAAATATGGATATAATAGGTAAATGTGGATGTAATGGAGTTTACCTTGACCCATGAAAATAATCCTACTACACTTAAATAAAATAGAGAATAAATCAGGAAGCGTCAGTAAAGTCGAGCACCAGGTGTTGACAAGTGCCAGACGCAGCCTTATAGAGCGCCTCCACCCAGTGAAACGATAAGTTATTTACTTAAGTTATTTAAGTGTTAAACAATAACACTTATTTTCGTGTTTTTCTTATATTCTGCATACAAATTAATAATTCTATAATGAAAATTATTTTTAGGATTTTGTTTTTTGTGTGTGCATAAGTGGATATGGCCATTTCCCTATAGCTACTGTCTAAGAGTTAAAAATTTGCTCTTAATTTCAGACGTGTAACATTCTGTGTGAACGACAAGTCTCTGCTTTTCGGCTGATACTTCCTCCCCATCTTCATGTTTCCGCTTGGACATGGGATTAAGCTTTTTTCCATCACTTCTACTAGTTTTGTTCTTCGTAACTTTTCATCTACCTTTTTACATTGTTTCCAAGTCACTTTATGATTAAAGTATCTTATCATCATTTTGGCAGCTTTGCTCTCAGTCTGTTGGATATTTCTGCCACTTCTTTGTAGGATATGAATGGTAATTTTTCTGTTTCTCTCATTTTTATTTGGAATTAATGATTCTCTGAGAGCTATACTGTAATTACAGTTACTGCCACTGAAATGATTTACATGATATACCCTAGTCTGTATAGCAGTTGCAACATTGATCTTTTCAAAAGCCTTTTTCAATAACAGTGCAACGCCTCTTCATCTCTACTTACATTCCCTTTATATAACCTCAGAAATACAGCCACAGTATTACATTAATGATCACTATTTGTGTCCTCAGCTCTTTCTTTGGTCATAACACTAGTGAATGTGTGTTTTAATGAGAACAACAATAATATCTTGAATCAAAAATATGTAAATGCCTCCGAGATTTAAAATTAGCTGTAATGCTTCCATGCAAATACAGTAACTGCTTATGATATGATTGTATAATCATAGTTCAATATTGCATTGTATAATATTGCACTGTACAATAATTATCATTGATATGATTGATAATCAACCAACCAGGTATCAACTAGGTATTAACCAGATATGGCTTGAACTACTAACAACTACAGTTGCTTCACACAGTGCATGTCAGCAATTACCGCTGCTTGATACCTGGTTGATGGGGTTCTGGGAGTTCTTCTACTCCCCAAGCCCGGCCCGAGGCCAGGCTTGACTTGAGAGTTTGGTCCACCAGCCCGGTTGGTCCGGCACTTCTCTAAGAAAATTATCTAGTCTTCGGTTGAAGATGTCCACTGTTGTTCTGGCAATATTTATTATACTTGCTCCATATATATAATACAAAACTCAATTGTGTGAGTGATGTGGGCCTCAGGTGCTACGAGCGATACCTGGTTGATACCTGGTTGATGGGGTTCTGGGAGTTCTTCTACTCCCCAATAGCAATATTTATTATACTTGCTCCATATATATAATACAAAACTCAATTGTATGAGTGATGTGGGCCTCAGGTGCTACGAGTGATACCTGGTTGATACCTGGTTGATGGGGTTCTGGGAGTTCTTCTACTCCCCAAGCCCAGCCCGAGGCCAGGCTTGACTTGTGAGGGTTAACCACTTGTGACCACTGGCGTGCGACATCATACTGATGGGCAATATCACACTGGTATGTAGCATCACACTAGTGTACATAATCAGTTTGCAGCCTCATACTGATGGCCAACATCACAATACACTGTAATGTGTAGTATCATAATGATGCCCGCCAAACACACACCGAAGCTACGACGTTGGTACAACGCTCGAACAAGTTTTAACACCCGTTATAACAACAAATATAGCAAGTTGTAACAACGTTCTAATACGTCATAGACAAGTTAAGCCAAGATGTAACAACTTTATTACAGGTTGTAACAAGCGGAAAATAGAGACAGTTACAGCACCACACACCAGGGTACAGCACCACACACCAGCACCACACACCAGCGTACAGCCCCACAAACCAGTGTACAGCACCACACACCAGGGTACAGCACCACACACCAGGGTACAGCACCACACACCAGCGTACAGCACCACACACCAGAGTACAGCACCACACACCAGGGTACAGCACCACACACCAGGGTACAGCACCACACACCAGAGTACAGCACCACACACCAGGGTACAGCACCACACACCAGGGTACAGCCCCACACACCAGCGTACAGCCCCACATACCAGCGTACAGCACCACACACCAGCGTACAGCACCACACACCAGCGTACAGCACCACACACCAGCGTACAGCACCACACACCAGGGTACAGCCCCACACACCAGCGTACAGCCCCACACCAGCGTACAGCCCCACACACCAGGGTACAGCCCCACACACCAGCGTACAGCACCACACACCAGCGTACAGCCCCACACACCAGCGTACAGCCCCACACACCAGCGTACAGCACCACACACCAGCACCACACACCAGGGTACAGCACCACACACCAGCGTACAGCACCACACACCAGCGTACAGCACCACACACCAGCGTACAGCACCACACACCAGCACCACACACCAGCACCAAATACCAGCGTACAGCCCCACACACCACCAGGTACACAACACCATACAACACCATACACCAGCGTACAGCACCACACACCAGCACCACACACCAGCGTACAGCCCCACACACCAGAGTACAGCCCCACACACCAGAGTACAGCACCACACACCAGTGTACAGCACCACACACCAGCATACAGCCCCACACACTAGCGTACAGCCCCACACACCAGCGTACAGCCCCACACATCAGCACCACACATTAGCACCACACACCAGCGTACAGCACCACACACCAGCACCACACCAGCGTACAGCACCACACACCAGCACCACACCAGCGTACAGCACCACACACCAGCATACAGCACCACACACCAGCGTACAGCACCACACACCAGCACCACACACCAGCGTACAGCACCACACACCAGCGTACAGCCCCACACACCAGCGTACAGCCCCACACACCAGCGTACAGCCCCACACACCAGCGTACAGCCCCACACACCAGCGTACAGCCCCACACACCAGCGTACAGCCCCACACACCAGCGTACAGCCCCACACACCAGCACCACACACCAGCGTACAGCACCACACACCAGCATACAGCACCACACACCAGCATACAGCACCACACACCAGCGTACAGCCCCACACACCAGCACCACACACCAGCGTACAGCCCCACACCTGCACCACACACCAGTGTACAGCACCACACACCAGCACACAGCCCCACACACCAGCACCACACACCAGCGTACAGCCCCACACACCAGCACCACACACCAGGGTACAGCACCACACACCAGCGTACAGCACCACACACCAGCGTACAGCACCACACACCAGCGTACAGCACCACACACCAGCGTACAGCACCACACACCAGCGTACAGCCCCACACACCAGCGTACAGCACCACACACCAGTACAGCACCACACACCAGCGTACAGCACCACACACCAGCGTACAGCACCACACACCAGCGTACAGCCCCACACACCAGCACCACACACCAGCGTACAGCCCCACACACCAGCACCACACACCAGCGTACAGCCCCACACACCAGCGTACAGCCCCACACCTGCACCACACACCAGTGTACAGCACCACACACCAGCACACAGCCCCACACACCAGCACCACACACCAGCGTACACCAGCGTACAGCACCACACACCAGGGTACAGCACCACACACCAGCATACAGCACCACACACCAGCGTACAGCACCACACACCAGCGTACAGCCCCACACACCAGCACCACACGCCAGCGTACAGCCCCACACACCAGCGTACAGCACCACACACCAGCGTACAGCCCCACACACCAGTGTACAGCCCCACACACCAGCACCACACACCAGCGTACAGCACCACACACCAGCGTACAGCCCCACACACCAGCACCACACACCAGCGTACAGCCCCACACACCAGCGTACAGCACCACACACCAGCGTACAGCCCCACACACCAGCACCACACACCAGCGTACAGCCCCACACACCAGCGTACAGCCCCACACACCAGCGTACAGCACCACACACCAGCGTACAGCACCACACACCAGCGTACAGCACCACACACCAGCACCACACACCAGCGCACAGCCCCACACACCAGCATACAGCCCTACACACAGCATACAGCCCCACACACCAGCCCCACACACCAGCGTACAGCCCCACACACCAGCGTACAGCACCACACACCAGCGTACAGCCCCACACACCAGCACCACACACCAGCATACAGCAGCACCACACACCAGCTCCACACACCACAGCACCACACACCAGCGTACAGCACCACACACCAGCGTACAGCACCACACACCAGCGTACAGCACCACACACCAGCGTACACACCACACACCACACACAGCGTACAGCACCACACACCAGCGTACAGCACCACACACCAGCCACCACACACCAGCAGCACCACACACCAGCACCACACACCAGCGTACAGCCCCACACACCAGCGTACAGCACCACACACCAGCATCACACACCAGCGTACAGCACCACACACCAGCATCACACACCAGCGTACAGCACCACACACCAGCGTACAGCCCCACACACCAGCATACAGCACCACACACCAGCACCACACACCAGCGTACAGCCCCCACACACAGCACCACACACCCCCACACACCAGCACCACACACCAGCATACAGCACCACACACTAGCGTACAGCACCACACACCAGCGTACAGCCCCACACACCAGTACAGCACCACACACCAGCGTACAGCCCCACACACCAGCATACAGCCCCACACACCAGCATCACACACCAGCGAACAGCCCCACACACCAGCGTACAGCACCCACACAGCCCCACACACCAGCGTACACATACACCAGCGTACAGCCCACACACACCAGCACCACACACCAGCGTACAGCCCCACACACCCAGCACCACACACCAGCGTACAGCACCACACCAGCACCACACACCAGTGTACAGCACCACACACCAGCATCACACACCAGCACCACACACCGTACAGCCACCACCAGCACCAGCACCACACACCAGCATACAGCACCACACACCAGCACCACACACCAGTGTACAGCACCACACACACCAGCACCACACACCAGCGTACAGCCCCACACACCAGCACCACACACCAGCGTACAGCCCCACACACCAGCACCACACACCAGCGTACAGCCCCACACACCAGCACCACACACCAGTGTACAGCACCACACACCAGCACCACACACCAGTGTACAGCCCCCCACACACCAGCATCACACACCAGCGTACAGCCCCACACACCAGCACCACACACCAGCGTACAGCACCACACACCAGCACCACACACCAGCGCACCACACACCAGCGTACAGCCCCACACACCAGCACCACACACCAGCGTACAGCACCACACACCCACCACACACCAGCACCACACACCAGCACCACACACCAGCGTACAGCACCACACACCAGTGTACAGCACCACACACCAGCGTACAGCCCCACACACCAGCGTACAGCCCCACACACCAGCACCACACACCAGCGTACAGCACCACACACCAGCACCACACACCAGTGTACAGCACCACACACCAGCGTACAGCCCCACACACCAGCGTACAGCACCACACACCAGCACCACACACCAGCGTACAGCACCACACACCAGTGTACAGCCCCACACACCAGCGTACAGCCCCACACACCAGCACCACACACCAGTGTACAGCACCACACACCAGCGTACAGCCCCACACACCAGTGTACAGCACCACACACCAGCTTACAGCCCCACACACCAGCACCACACACCAGCGTACAGCACCACACACCAGCGTACAGCACCACACACCAGTGTACAGCCCCACACACCAGCACCACACACCAGCGTACAGCACCACACACCAGCGTACAGCACCACACACCAGTGTACAGCCCCACTCACCAGCACCACACACCAGCGTACAGCACCACACACCAGCGTACAGCACCACACACCAGTGTACAGCACCACACACCAGTGTACAGCCCCACACACCAGCACCACACACCAGCGTACAGCACCACACACCAGCGTACAGCCCCACACACCAGCACCACACACCAGCCCCACACACCAGCACCACACACCAGCACCACACACCAGCACCACACACCAGCACCACACACCAGCACCACACACCAGCCCCACACACCAGCACCACACACCAGCGTACAGCACCACACACCAGCACCGCACACCAGTGTACAGCACCACACACCAGCGTACAGCCCCACACACCAGCACCACACACCAGCACCACACACCAGCACCGCACACCAGTGTACAGCACCACACACCAGTGTACAGCCCCACACACCAGCACCACACACCAGCGTACAGCACCACACACCAGCACCGCACACCAGTGTACAGCACCACACAACAGTGTACAGCCCCACACACCAGCACCACACACCAGCACCACACACCAGCACCGCACACCAGTGTACAGCACCACACACCAGCGTACAGCCCCACACACCAGCACCACACACCAGCGTACAGCACCACACACCAGCGTACAGCACCACACACCAGCACCGCACACCAGTGTACAGCACCACACACCAGTGTACAGCCCCACACACACACACACCCTCCCCACCTCAGCAAGACACCTTAACCCCTCATATAATTAAGGAACACGAGTCAAGACGGTAGATAAGGAAAGAGGAAGACGCGCCACAAGACGCTGCTCGTGCCACCTACGAGCACCATCTTCCCCAGCGGGAATATCCTCAGGTTAAATAACTTTTTAACACAGGTCAGCCACTGACATGTCTTCCAGGATCACAACATTGCCCCGTCCACTTGTTCCAAAAACACCTGGCCGCCGGCGGCCCCTCGTATATCACCGCTCACTACTGCCTCTGCCGGCATCACAGCGTCTTCCCGCACCTAGATTGTCTCCCTTACGACATAACCTAAGGCGGTACCTCTCATAAGAAACATTATTTCAGCGACACATCCCAATCTGTTAAGGAAATCCAATATGGCGTGTGTTTTTACGAGGCATAATCCAGTGCCTGTAAGTCATCTAAAAACCTACGCCTGGACCACGATGTTATGTTATTTTTTCAGCTCGTTGCAATTGTTGCAGGGGAGGAAAGGATGCTGTGGCGGTTTGTTTTATTTTAGTAATTTTTTTGATTGCTTGAATATCGATTATAAAATTGGGTGGGTGGTTTTTGGCTCTCGTCGCCTTATGAGAGAATCAACGTATTGGAACATTGGGAAAAAGGGTCTGATAGGCTTAGGACACTAATCGTAAAATAATGTGATTTGGCTCTATTTCCTTAACTTACTAGTTAAAGAGCACAGTGCATGCATATTACACGAGCCTCTGAGTAAATAGTAACGCCTTAACTCTATATGAACCCCCACAACTCAACTTCCCCCAACAAACAAATACATGATTGTGCACCATTGATGGATGTTGACAAACTTGTACGTTTAACTTGCATTTCATTTTTTACCTATTATTACCCCATCAACCCAACCCTAGCCACGCATAAAGAAACGCATCTAGATTTATTTCCCCTTGCCGCTGCCCCCAAGACATGACTAGTTAAGGAGGAAGACGTAGAGATAATGTGAAGAGAGCGAGTGAGTGGCAAGGCTGGAGCCCGCACGTACGCAGTTTGAGGAGCGCCTCTACAAGCTCCCTCATCCATTCATTACCAATTCAAATACTATTTATTTATTTATATTTATATATAAGACGGTACATTGGCGGGTTAACGGAGGACATAGAAATTAAAATGATTTTACAGTCTTGTAAAGCCACTAGCACGTCTAGCGTTTCGGGCAAAATTAAAATACAAATCAAAATACACTACACTACACCACTACACTACACTACACCTTTGTTCAACTCACTACACTACACTACACTACACTACACTACACTACACTACACTACACCACTACACTACACATTTATTCAAATCAAAATACTTCATTGCAAAAGTGTTGGGGGGTATATTTAGATTTTAAATTTAGATTTTTTATTCAGGTAAAGGTACATACAATGAGTTACATACATAATGTTGGATTTAAAGATAGAGATAGTACATACAATACCTAAAGCCACTAGTACGCATAGGGCAAGTGTATAGTGTCTATATGTGCACTATTATCTTAGAACAGGGCGAAAAGTACAGTCACTTGAAACAGCTGAACAAAGGTAGCACTAACCTCTATAATTAACATATGTAAATATATATATGTATACAGTATAAAGGGGTACCACCTCTGGTGCAAGTGTAGGGACCCATAGCCTCGGAGAAGAGAATATATAACATTCAGAGAACTTGCCATTTAACGCTAAATACGTATGTGTTCACTTCTCCTACCACCCCCTTTTTATTATATAAAAAGTATAGTATATATAGTAGTTTATATATATAATATACGTATATATATATATATATATATATATATATATATATATATATATATATTATATATATATATATATATATATATATATATATATATATATATATATATGAACTCACTGAACTCTATTAATTGACCCGGCCTGGATTCGAACCCATGCCGTTCATGATTACCCTTAAACGTACACAGTACCCCGACGACCGCACCAATGATTGGTGGTCACGGTACTGTGTACGTTTAGGGGTAATCCTGGACGGCATGGGTTCGAATCCTGGCTGAGTCAATTATAGTTCTTAGTGATTTATGGCTTGCGTGTTCCTGTAGTTTTCTGCAGGTGCTCCTACAGTCATGTGCTCCACACCCACCCAACTGGGCGGCAGCTTTACAGTCATGTGCTCCACACCCACCCAACTGGGCGGCAGCTTTACAGTCATGTGCTCCACACCCACCCAACTGGGCGGCAGCTTTACAGTCATGTGCTCCACACCCACCCAACTGGGCGGCAGCTTTACAGTCATGTGCTCCACACCCACCCAACTGGGCGGCAGCTTTACAGTCATGTGCTCCACACCCACCCAACTGGGCGGCAGCTTTACAGTCATGTGCACCACACCCACCCAACTGGGCGGCAGCTTTACAGTCATGTGCACCACACCCACCCAACTGGGCGGCAGCTTTACAGTCATGTGCACCACACCCACCCAACTGGGCGGCAGCTTTACAGTCATGTGCACCACACCCACCCAACTGGGCGGCAGCTTTACAGTCATGTGCACCACACCCACCCAACTGGGCGGCAGCTTTACAGTCATGTGCACCACACCCACCCAACTGGGCGGCAGCTTTACAGTCATGTGCACCACACCCACCCAACTGGGCGGCAGCTTTACAGTCATGTGCTCCACACCCACCCAACTGGGCGGCAGCTTTACAGTCATGTGCTCCACACCCACCCAACTGGGCGGCAGCTTTACAGTCATGTGCACCACACCCACCCAACTGGGCGGCAGCTTTACAGTCATGTGCACCACACCCACCCAACTGGGCGGCAGCTTTACAGTCATGTGCACCACACCCACCCAACTGGGCGGCAGCTTTACAGTCATGTGCACCACACCCACCCAACTGGGCGGCAGCTTTACAGTCATGTGCACCACACCCACCCAACTGGGCGGCAGCTTTACAGTCATGTGCACCACACCCACCCAACTGGGCGGCAGCTTTACAGTCATGTGCACCACACCCACCCAACTGGGCGGCAGCTTTACAGTCATGTGCACCACACACACCCAACTGGGCGGCAGCTTTACAGTCATGTGCTGCACACCCACCCAACTGGGCGGCAGCTTTACAGTCATGTGCAGGCTGCACCTACAGCAAGCAAATTTGGGATTTTGCTAGGCTTCCCGACAACATCATTATGAATAAAGTACTTGCAGCATACACTATAAACAGCGCGAATGTTAGAATTTATCCCAACTCAAAAACTTTAAGATTTTCTCAAAGGAACAACCTGTCCAGATCTCACCCATACTCAGGAAAATATAATCATTAAGTAGCATGATGGTAGTATTTTTGTTTAAATTTTCCTGCAATTTATTCAGTATTAAACATTAAAAACCTCATTAAATCCACTTTAATATAGGTATCCCATAGTGCTGCAATAGTGTCTTAAATCAAATTTACAAGTACAACTTTTTGCTCACAAAATATAAATATATACATATTATTCTCTATTTCATTGCTCGGAAATAATCATCATCAACCTGTCATTGATAAGGATCGAGGGTTTTGTGAATACATCTATACAAGAGTTCCCGTGGTTTTAAATCCATTGTTTTGTGAATATATCTATACAATAGTTTCTGTTGTTTTAAATGCATTTGACATGAAGGTTTGCTCACGTTGCTTGCCAGTTAAAAAGTGGGAATGTTTCCTCTGGACCAAGAAGTCCTACATTTGTTTACTGGTCGCCATTACAAATTCTTCAGCGGTACAAATCTACATGAGAACATTAATTGTGTAGACATAAAAGTGTGAATTGTGGTTAAATAAAGACCCATAATTAAGATTAAATACAGAACACGACGGTAGGGAAGTCCCGCTGACTTTATGATCCACAAGCATGATAAGTCCACAACGCTATTCAAGTTGGAGCTATTCTAGCTCCTGAACAAAGGTGAAGCCACCGTCGGGAGAATATCACTTATGACATGTTACCTTTGCTTCCTTGAGTGCCAGGAAATTCCCTACTTGAACTGTATAACATGAGCTATATCAATGAGGAATTCCCTGTCTCATAAATCAACAGTATAATCATTCCAATTCCCAAATCTAATTAAGATAATGCTTTCCGCCTAGTTTCCTTACTATTTGCCTACGCAAAACATTCGAGAAGAGGTCCTAAGCAGTTTCTTTAGATGAAATAACCTCTCGCCACTGCGTATATTTCCGTGCATTACATTAATGCAACCATCGTTTCTTTACCAGTTTCTTCACCTCTGCCCACTAACCAGTCATATAGACCACCTTCGCTGATTACAAGACTGCTTTTTATATATTGTATACAGACGTGTCATTCTCAGTGAGTTCGCCAGAATAGATGTTGACGGTTGGCTTCGATTTTTTGCTGGATCAGAGGTTACTTATTCAACAGGAAATATATATTGTTCCAGAGGCATACAGGTGTAACAAGAGACTTTGAACTAGGCGGTGGCTGAGCGGACAGAACACTGGACGCGTGGTCTTGTGGTCCTGTGTTCGATCCTGGGCACCGACGAGAGACAATGGGCAGAGTTTCTTTCACCCTGATGCCCCTGTTACCTAGCAGTAAATAGGTACCTGGGAGTTAGTCAGCTGTCACAGGCTGCTTCCTGGGGGGTGGAGGCCTGGTCGAGGACCGGGCCACGGGGACACTAAGCCCCAAAATCATCTCAAGATAAGATGGCGGGCTGCCTAATTGTAGAGGTAATTAGGTTACTACAAACATTTCTCTGTAACTGGGCTGATTCAACCCGTCCTTGACTTAAGTCCATTACATCCTGCGGTTGACCCCCACAGACGCATTCATAAATTTTAACACGCTGTTCATTCAAAACAGGAATTTTCTCAAATATAAATTAACATTATTATATATTTGCGTATTGTGCATGTACTGTATAGGCATTGGTTAGGTTAGGTTAGGTGTTTAGGTTCTGTTGGCGATTATTTGCATGTGTAGTACGTGGGTGAAGCATTTACAGCGTTGTGGTTCGAACACAATTCGCCAGTGAAGCACTTGTTCCGGAAGTGTTCGAATGCCATCAGTTGTAAGTCGCGTGTAAACCGTTTTTCATTCATAAACAGGGGGGTTGGCGGGTGCATGGAATCACTTTTTGAAGGACGGGCTGTTGGAGGACGGGCTGGCTGATTCATGAAAAAGCCGGATCACTCTACGAGGGAAGGAGCAGCAGGTAGACTGGAGGAGCGTTGTGCGCCCGGCAGCGGGGTGCCCACACCACCAAGGTCTCGTGCAAGATGCACATCTTGGCCTTAATCTTTGACCAAGTTTTAAGGTCTTAAGAAGTTGTGAGTAGTTAGGATGGTTACAGCCAGTAAGGCAGTGTGTAGTGAAGATAGTAAGTGACGATGGTCGTTTGTACTGATATATAGTGATGATTGTGTAGTAAAAGTGGTTAGTGATGAAAATAGTGTAGTAAAGCCAGGTATCACGAGAGAGAGAGAGAGAGAGAGAGAGAGAGAGAGAGAGAGAGAGAGAGAGAGAGAGAGAGAGAGAGAGAGAGAGAGAGAGAGAGAGAGAGAGAGAGAGAGAGAGAGGATAATATAAATGAACTAAAAAGCCCCAATAGTCGCACTGCAAGAAATCTTCTGGCACTAGCTATCATTATAATTAAATATGTGTACAGATGAACTGTTGAGACCTTTTGTGCCCTATGAAATCCTTATGCGCAGTCGGCTCACAACCAGAGGTCAATCTCCAGGCAGAACTAGGCCTTTATTGACGTTTTCTCGCAACTTATACTTTTCTTCACCCAACAGTAACTAGGTGTCATGAATGTAGGCGACTGGTGGATCCTTGTGAAGGTCAGTCTGTGGTCTAAGGTCCCTAGGGCGAGCCTAAGGGGACTTCGATAAGCATACAGGTTTCCAGTCTCCCGATAATAGAAAACGGAAACCGAGCACAGGAAATCAGACGCCTATATGGCGGCAACATTAATAATTCACTGTGTCGGGGACAGGAAGCCAGAGTGTATTCATACACGTTTGGCTTTTATCAAGGTCATCTCCCCTATCTATGGTTCATCCAATAAAATCAGCAGACTTCTAGATGTTACTACTGCTCGGCTTAGACTCGGTTACAAGTATCTCTGGGAATTCTCATTATCTCACGGGAGACATCTCCCGTCGCAGGGTGCAGTCGCACCTCCATAGATCTCCAGTATCATCTATTGACACTGGTGATGGCTCAAAAGGGCCACCACTTACGAGCTATTCATGCCCGTGCCACCTTTTGGGTGGCTTCATCTTCATCTTAACACATTCACAAGGGAGACATCTCCCGTCATGCAGGGTGCAATCGCACCTCCACAGATCTCCAGTATCAGCTCTTGATACTGGTAATATCAAGAGTAATAATAAAAATAATATCAATATTTTGAGCCACCAGTAATATACTGGTGGCTCAAAAGGGCCACCACTTACGGGCTATTCATGCCCGTGCCACCTTTTGGGTGGCTTAATCTTCATCAATCAATCTCATTATCTTCTGATGTAGAGGGGGTAGAAATAGCCTAAGCTACTCTATCCCTTTGAGATGTATTTCTTTCTTATCTCAATAAACATACTTGAGCTTGAATTGAACTTGCTGATGTAGACCTGACCAAATGTAAACTGTGAAAACAAAATTATTCGCACACCCTCCGTCACTATGTGATGGTGTGCGAAAAGATACGTGAATTCAGAGACAATTCTATAACCAATGTTCCAACGATGTATAAATATTTCATTCAAAATGATCTGCTACTAGAAATTTTAGCCAAATATTCCCAGTTTGCTAACTGTAGGTAGTAACTGAGTGATTGTAACCTATCCACCGCTGCCCACTGGATGGGGGGCGGTGTGCAGGACAAACATATCAATTGTGACACTAGGCTCTCCACATATGTCAGTTGCTTAATTTAGAACCTGTACTTGTGATCGATCTCGAACCCATTGTTGATGTGACGACTTATACTGAATTTTGTAACTAGCTCATCAAGATTATAACTTGCTTAGCTAAATGAATTGTGGGGTTCAGTCCCTGAGCCCATTATGTGCCTTTGTAACCCTTTCCACTACCGCCCACAAGATGGGTATGGGGTGCATAGTAAATGCATTAAACTGAACTGAACTCACCCCCCCAAGACTGAATTGTTGACTCCACCCAGGATGCAACACCACAACAATCTATAATTCCTGATCACAACATGCCCGAAACGCTTTGCGTAATAGTGGCTTTAGGCATTGTATGTACTAGCTATACCTATAAGTTAAACAATCCTTGTAAATATTTATTGTATGTATGTACCTTACCTAAATAAAATTGTATTGTTGTATTGTATTGTAACAATCTATAACTCCTGATCACAACAATCTAACTCCAAGTCAGGGTCCACGCAGGAATATCCATGCAAAAAAAAAAAAAAAAGTTACAGTCCACTACTTCTCTAAAGTTCAGTGAAGAATTTATAGGTGGGAAACACGCTACTCATACAGTTTTTATTGTCTATCAACTGAAAGTCATCTCGATCAAGTTTTGCATTTGGGACGGTCATAATTTTTTGCTTGGATGCAATAAAACTCGCAAAATCTAAGAATAGCATCAGTAAATAAGTCATTAATACGAGCTCCAAAAGTTAATGAATTCGAAGAACCTCTCCTCTCGATCACATCAGGGGCGCGGATCTGAATTTTGCATAAGCTTGCGTTTGGCACGTTTGTGTTCATAAAAGATGGGTTGCTAGCAGTTGATAGCGGAAAGGATTGCATCATTCTTTACCTTGACTTTAACATAGCCTTTGATACTGCGACTCACGAGAGATTCATTAGAAAGTTAGAGGCACATGCAGTGTTGTGGAGGTTATATCCATCTTTGGCTAACCCTATTTTGTTATCTAAATCAATGACTGTATTTAGTATAAATGGAGTAAAATCAGAGTGAAAAACTATAATTTTATTCCAGCATAGTTGAGGCAGTTGATAGTGGTAAGATTTGTGACGTTAATGTGTACCTTGGGCCAGATTCACAAAGCAGTTACGCAAGTACTTACGAGCCTGTACACCTTTCTTCAATCTTTGGCGGCTTTGTTTACAATTATTAAACTATTAATGAGCTCTGAAGCACCAGGAGGTTATTTATAACAATAACAACAGTTGATTGGGAAGTTTTCATACTTGCAAACTGTTTAATAAATGTAACCAAAGCAGTCAAAGATTGAGGAAAGATGTACACGTTCGTAAGTACTTGCGTAACTGCTTCGTGAATCTGGCCCCTTAACTTTAACCGCATAGGTTCGAACCCTCATCACTAAACCATCACAGCTCCTACGGATTTTCTCATAATTATTATTATGTTATTTGGAGGATGTCGAGCCGGACAATTTCTTCAAAAGATCAGATGTAACAGGAACGAGGAACAACGGGTTCAAGCTCAACAAGACATAAAACAGGAGATGCTTTTTCACCCATAAGGCTGAAAACCCGTGGAACGGCCTACCCGCCAAAGCCGTAAACGCCAAAAACTCTGATGGATCTTAAAATACAGCTGGAAAAGATCATCAAGGCAAATTTGGGGGGACCTTTAACAAGCCGCCGGCTTCCTGTCCTCATCGAGACCACAAGTATTAGTGGCCCTCAGGTAAATTCAGGTAAATATGTACTCACGCCTTCCCGTTCTCACCCCGTTCTCATTCTTTTCCCTCCACTTGTTCTCTCCATTCCTCTCGTTGTATTGTCTACCATAATGGAACACCAATGGACATTTTCTCCATCTTGACACACTATAACACCAATAAAATCGAAGCATTTAAGAGATAAAGGCAAAAAAGTATGAGCATGAGGGGCGGTGTTGTGCCTGCGAGAGGGGGCCGTCTAATTATTTTCTAATTTCTTTATAAAAAGATACTTTCTCAGATTAAAATGATGTTTTTTCGTGTTGTACATTCAGCACCAACATTATAATGAGTAAATATATCATATTTATTCCTTACTAACGTAATGCCAGGATGTTTTGTGAAGCTAGTGGTAGCTTGTGGTAATTCGAGGGAGCGTTGTGAGAGTAACCTTGGCGTAGGTGGGAGAGGGACCGGACACGGGTGACAGGCGGCCCCACAACTGCTCCTACCACGCTCCCTGCTGCCTCTCTCACACTCTCACACTCCAGACATGGCACTCAACACACCTGTCATAGTCTCCGCTGCCCGCACGCCCGTTGGTGAGTCCTGTTTCTGGCTGTACGCTCCAGGGTCCAGTACACTCCAGGGTCCAGAGTGTCTGGCTGTACGCTCCAGGGTCCAGTACACTCCAGGGTCCAGAGTTTTTGGCTGTACGCTCCAGGGTCCAGTGTCTGGCTGTACGCTCCAGGGTCCTGTACACTCCAGGGTCCAGAGTTTCTGGCTGTACGCTCCAGGGTCCAGTGTCTGGCTGTACGCTCCAGGGTCCAGTACACTCCAGGGTCCAGAGTGTCTGGCTGTACGCTCCAGAGTCCTGTACACTCCAGGGTCCAGAGTTTCTGGCTGTACGCTCCAGGGTCCAGTACACTCCAGGGTCCAGAGTTTCTGGCTGTACGCTCCAGGGTCCAGTACACTCCAGGGTCCAGTACACTCCAGGGTCCAGAGTGTCTGGCTGTACGCTCCAGAGTCCTATACACTCCAGGGTCCAGAGTTTCTGGCTGTACGCTCCAGGGTCCAGTGTCTGGCTGTACGCTCCAGGGTCCTGTACACTCCAGGGTCCAGAGTGTCTGGCTGTACGCTCCAGGGTCCAGTACACTCCAGGGTCCAGAGTTTCTGGCTGTACGCTCCAGGGTCCAGTACACTCCAGGGTCCAGAGTTTCTGGCTGTACGCTCCAGGGTCCAGTACACTCCAGGGTCCAGAGTGTCTGGCTGTACGCTCCAGGGTCCAGTACACTCCAGGGTCCAGAGTTTCTGGCTGTACACTCCAGGGTCCTGTACACTCCAGGGTCCAGAGTGTCTGACTGTACGCTCCAGGGTCCAGAGTTTCTGACTGTACGCTCCAGGGTCCAGAGTGTCTGACTGTACGCTCCAGGGTCCAGAGTTTCTGACTGTACGCTCCAGGGTCCAGAGTGTCTGACTGTACGCTCCAGGGTCCAGAGTTTCTGACTGTACGCTCCAGGGTCCAGAGTTTCTGACTGTACGCTCCAGGGTCCAGAGTTTCTGACTGTACGCTCCAGGGTCCAGAGTGTCTGACTGTACGCTCCAGGGTCCAGAGTGTCTGACTGTACGCTCCAGGGTCCAGAGTTTCTGACTGTACGGACCTGTTTCTGACTGTATGGACCTGTTTCTGACTGTACAGACCTGTTTCTGACTGTATGGTCCAGTTAATGATTGAGTGGTCCAGTTTCTGACGGGTTTGGTTTCTGACCTTTTGCTGGTGTTTATTTTGAGAATACCAGGCGAGGTATTGGCTTCCGGATCCTGCATGCTTTCTAGACTGTCTGAAGGAATTGGTAGTATTCTGTGCAAGCCTGAGGGAGGGGGTGGGCGGCTGCCTGTGCAAGCCCTAGGAGGGGGGGGGGCAGCTACCTGTCCGAGCCCGAGAGGGGGCGGGCGTTCGGCTGTCCGTGCGATTCCGAGAGGGGGGGGGCGTTCGGCTGCCCGTGCAAGCCCAAGGGGGGGGGGCATTCGGTTGCCCATGCGAGCCTGAGGGAGGGTGGCGTTTGGCTGCCTGTACAAGCCCGTTTGGCTGCCCATGCGATCCCGAGGGGGGTTATCTTGAGGTTACCTTGAGGTGCTTCCGGGGCTTAGGGTCCCCGCGGCCCGGTCGTCAACCAGGCCTCCTGGTTGCCGGACTGATCAACCAGGCTGTTGGATGCGGCTGCTCGCAGCCTGACGTACGAGTCACAGCCTGGTTGATCAGGTATCCTTTGGAGGTGCGCGTTCGGCTGCCCGTGCGAGCCCGAGAGGGGGCGGATGTTCAAATGCCCGTGCGATCCCGAGGGGGGGGGGCGTTCGGCTGCCCGTGCAATCCCGAGGGGGGGGCGGGTGTTTGGCTGCCTGTATTACTGTTTGTATTTTACTGTTTGTGCCTGCAGAATCAAGCTATTGTTCTTGGACCCCTGCCTTTCTAGCCAATCTGTTTTTCCTCTATTATGTCTACTTCATATATTTTTCTAACACAAGCATGCACACACATCCCCAGGAAGCAGCTCGTAGCAGCTGTCTAACTCCCAGGTACCTATTTACTGTTAGGTGAACAAGGGCATGAGGTGAAAGAAACTGCCCATTTGTTTCTGCTTCGGCTGGGAATCGAACTTGGCCCCCTTAGGACTATGCCCACTCAGCTGCGAGTCCCTTAGGTAAACACTATCAGTGACTATGGTGGAGTGAGATCTACCTCTTTGTGCCCTACCTCCTAGCTATTCATACCTGGCATTCCAATTACCTCTCTGAACATTAACATTTTCATTGTATTTCTTTTTAAAGTTGTGGATGGAATTGGCTTCTAACAACCTTCTCTAATAAATTCCACTTGCCTACCACCTGCATAGGGAATGAGAATTTCCTTACATATTGACTCAAATGCGTGTCTAGCTTCCATTGACGTTCCCTTATCCTACCCCCTTCTTTTCCATTTAAACAGGCTTCCTTTATCCAATTATCTATTCCCCCTTAAGATCTTGTATGTACCGGTTATCGTATCCCAGCTCCATTTCTTAGAGTTATAATTTCTCTTTAAGGTTGTGAGGTTAAGGATTGCATTCCAGCAGCCACTTGGACTGGACAGTAGAGAGATGATCTCGCTTCTTGCAGGTTGGCATCGAATCACCAACCGTCCAAGTGGTTGTACATCATTCCTTTCCTCCTCTCGAACCCAATCCTTATCCTCATTCCTTCAAGGTGCTAGATAGTCATAATGGCTTAGTGCTTTCTTCTGATAATTCCCTTCCCTTACCTCCAGCAGCCATTTATCTACCAATTCCTGAAGGACCCTACAGTCCTCTTCAGCTTTTACCCGCCTTGTTAACTTTGCATTATCAGCATCAGCAAACATCAACATATACGTGCTCGTTTACATAAATAAAAAAAAATAAAAGTCCTAGGACAGTGCCCTGCGGAACACATTCTCCAGCCTGACGTATCCTCTCTGACTATTTACCCTTTGTTTCCTGTTTGCTAAGTACAGTACTCATTTATTTATTTATTTATTTTATTTATTTATTTATTTATTTATTTATTTATTTATTTATTTATATACAAGAAGGTACATTGGGATTGTGAGGATACATAATATAGTACAGTAATTACAATCTTGTAAAGCCACTAGTACGCGCAGCGTTTCGGGCAGACTACAGGACTCCTGTACCCAGTCCTGTGCATTTTCAGTTATCCCTGCTTGTCTCTCCATGTTGTGTATTACTCTTTTTTTTTTTTTTATAAGGAATTGTATCAAAAGCTTTTTGGTAGTCGAGGAAGATGAACCCATTGTTCATTCTCTTTTTATATGTTGGTGACCCATCCATAGAATTCAGTCAAGTATGTTAAGTATAATTTTCCCTCTCTGATGCCGTGATGTACCGCGGTTATAAAATTTACTCTGCTCAAATATTCTACAAATTCTTTTTCTGATTACTTTTTCTAGAATTTTGCATGGAATCCATGCTCATGACACTGGTCAGTAGTTTCCTTTCCTGAATATTGGAACTATCCTCTTCATACTTCAAGTCAAAATGACTTGTAGTTTGTAGTTTCAGATTTGTTCTCTAACTTGAGCAAATCTGAAAACTATACAAATGCTAAGCAAAAAGAAACTCCTATTTTGCCTACCAATAAAGTAGTTTACATAATATTTTGTACGAACAGCTCTTGATTACAAAGCCAAATTGTGCTCTTTATTGTGTACTTATTTTGTCTTTGTATATCCAGTGAATCCTGCTAAAATAATAGTGTACTTATAGGAACAATTTGGTCAAACATACAAAATTCAACTGATGGATCTGATTACCCTAAATGGCGTGCTTAATTAAAAAATTAAACGGTAACTAAAGACCCTAATCTGCCCTAGGATTAAATAAGCAGTCTTGGGGTAACTATTCACTACCATATGCCTAATTTAGTACAGTACACATATTGAGATATATATAAGAGTTGTTACATTCTTGTACAGCCACTAGTATGCGTAGCATTTCGGGCAGGTCCCTGGAATATGATCCCCGCCGCGAAGAATCGTTGTTACAACCAAGTACACATTTTACTGTTGCGTTAAACAGAGGCTACAGTTAAGGATTTGCACCCAGTAAATCCTCCCCGGCCAGGATACGAACCCATGACAAAGTGCTCGCGGAACGCCAGGCGAGTGTCTTACCACTACACCACGGAGACTGTAAATGTGGTCTACAGTATTAGGCCTAGGGAAGTTTAGGTTGGCTTTTGCCTTTATCATTCTCTAAAAAATAAATAGTACATAACGTGAACTTTATTGGCTGCAACAGTACATTACATTTTTGTATATTTGTCCAAATAGTTGTTATAAGTACTGTACATACTAACATTTTTGGAGCGTGGGTTGTGTATATTATATATATTGTATAGCTTGTGGAAAGATATTTTATTATAGTGTAGTAAGTTTCTCCATATACAAGTTCATCTCCATACAGCATTTGTGTATTTTATATATTCTTTCAATATTTTATTGCATTTGAATGCAGTTATATTAGTTGATATATTGTCCGCTTACGGGCTCACCATAGCCCGTGCTACACGGACACTTCGTTCTGAGTAGCGAAATCTGAAACAACATTGCCCACAGGATCTTTTAATGGGTCGCTGTCATCACTCCGGTCCCATGAGCTGGGCTCACTAGTCATCAAGAAGGCTCTCTCTCAAGCAACAATTGTACCTGAAGATGTTTCCGAGGTTATTCTTGGTCAGGTAAGAAATTTTTATCCAAACACAAGTATCTTCCAGTCTACGTCTTAAATAAATTCAGATTGATTAGACACTAATAAGTACTAGTATCTTAAGTATGTGCTGTACTGCCACACTTGAACGTTGTGTTAATGATTTAAGTACAGTAATTCATTATAATATTTATTTTGCAATTAACCCACTAATGTGATGATTGCATTTTGTAGACAGAATTTGATGTCACATTGAACATACCGTGATACAGACTAATCACCTGTTTATCAAAACAGAAAATCTAAGAAGAAAATTGTCAGATACAAGATATAACTTTGATTTCATTCCCAGGTGCTGACTGGAGGACAAGGTCAAAACCCGGCCCGCCAAGCAGCTGTCAATGCAGGTCTTCCCTACACTGTCCCAGCATCGGTTGTCAACATGCTCTGTGGTTCAGGTCTGAAGTGAGTGAGACGTGTATAATTAACAATACTATACTGTGTATATATTTTTCATGTACGGTACATCACTGGGAAGGAAATACAATTTATATATATTTATGGGTCTGAATAAAATTTAAATTTAAAGTAGTATAAAGAAACAACAAAAAATAATTGTTTGAATGATCAAAATTTGAAAAGGGTAAAATTTCTTTTACTATAAACCAAACAGACTCATTTAAGCTTGATGATGACTTGCCGAGTGTAGTACACCTTTTGAGTGCTTTTAAGAGTGTAAATACAGTAGACTTTTGCTGTTTCAATTTGTTGAATATAACCATGTCCTTGTATATGAAAGAAATCATCTTTTTGAGTTTTTCTTGCGTGTTTTTCTTTCTGTACTGTAGCCCTCAGTGGCGCTAAAAGAATTTATTCAAAGTGGCACTAGTAACAATCATGGGGTCGGCCAAATGTAGTTTTCTTGTATTTTATGCACTTGTGCACATTAAAGAGCCTGAGGGCTGAGTGGACAGCGCTCGGGGTTCATAGTTCTAAGTGAGAGTTTTATTGAGTTTCAAATGGGAAAAAATGAAAAAGTAAGAAATCTGGAACATCTGGTTTTAACCATAAAACATTACAGTAATGTTGCATAGCACAAAGTTTTTCCAAGACAAATCTAGGACAATATGAGGTCCTTATGTAGTTGTTCCTGCAAGCCTTTATCATTTTAAATTTTAAACTTACCATAGCAAATTCTGAAGAATTTAGTTTTTTTTTCTATACAATGCATATACAGTAATGACTTTTAAAATGTGAAATTTGTTTTGAAATATTAAATTGGGTAAAATGCTTGAATCATTTTGCAACAAGGATGTTCCATAACTGGTGTAAGAAGTCAACATGTGAAGCCACTTTCCCTTTTAGAGCAGGCAATAGTGTTAAATTAGAGGGAATACAGTACAGAGAACATACAGGGCGCGCATAGACACGATAAAGCACCTTAGTTATTGAGATTATCCCAAAAAACTTTAAATGTACCTTCTGGAAAGGAGATGAGGGAGGTATCACATAATACTGTATTTTCATGGAAAATACTGGAAGGCCAAGTCCCAAATTTGCACAGAAGAATAACGTACTGAAGCAGACAATATGGTAGGAAATGCATAATAGTGCCAGTGAAGAGTAGAAGTGCCATAGGTACAATCCGAGAACACTGAACATCAGAGGCCCACACCTGTTTAGTATCATCCCAGCAAGTACTGGCATAAGAAATATTGCCAGAATAAAAGAGAACTTCTCCAAGGAAAGCACTAATGGTTTCCTGCAAGAAGTGCTGGATCAAATGGGTTGTAGCGAATATGCTTCCTGGGGATGTGTGTGTGTGTATGTGTGTGAAAATTAGGATTAAGGACTTGCCCGAAATGCTTTGCGTGCTCGTGGCTGTACAAGAAAGTAAGAACTCTTGTATATATAAATAAATAAATACAAAAAATAAATAAAAATATGTTGGCCCGTGTGCCTCTCCAAGCAGTGGTCTGTTGGACAGCTCTCACATGTCAGGGCCAGGCTTGGGGAGTAGAACTCCTAGAACCCACTCCAGGTACATGTACAATAATTCATTTACTGTGTATTCAGGTGTCTGTTGGGGAAACTAATGTTTAGCCAGCTTATTGTGACCTTGCCCACCATGTATTTATGTGTCAAGTTGGTCCTATGCCAAATACGAATGTAAATTTGGTTTAAACATTTTAGTCTATCTGCAGTTTCATACAGATACTTGACTTTAGCAATTAATGAAACAATTTTGGCAAAGATTGAATAAATAAGCAATTTTTGTTAAGAGTTTCTCCGTCCTGATTGTGCCGTCAGTGGTGAATAGTTTGTTGTGCACTCTAAAATCTTCCTGTGAGTAGTAGTGCAGAAGGATTAGAGGGCACTAATGATCTTAATGAAACACCAGTATACAGGTACATTGTTAAAATTTTTATATGTACATTTTGTATGAAATGACAGATGCTAACATAGCTATTGTGTACACTATAATTGCTTTGTGTTATGGTATAACATTTTGGATTAAAGGTACAGTATTTAGATAGCTCCAGACGATTGTAAACTGTTTCTTCATTTAATTTAATTTAATTTTATTTTTTATTTATATATATATATATATACAAGGAGGTACATTGGGTTTGTGAGGATATATAGTATAGTAATTACAATCTTGTAAAGCCACTAGTACGCGCAGCGTTTCGGGCAGAATGCAAGCTTAGTTTCGGGCAGAATGTAAGTTAATGCAAGCTTAGCAAGGGCATTGTCTTAAATAATGTTCCTGAAGATCTACATGTGAGGAGTCTATATGAGTTTTCACTTATTTTTAATTTAATTTGTGTATAGATCTATATCTGGGTTAACAAGAAAATATCATGTTGCATTTTTCTTTGCATTTTCCTTTTGTCTTCTTAGATATGGTGTGTTACCAAAATTTGTTAGCTAATGCAGTTAAGTATGTTGTGCCTGGTTGATACCTGGTTGATGGGGTTCTGGGAGTTCTTCTACTCCCCAAGCCCGGCCCGAGGCCAGACTTGACTTGTGAGAGTTTGGTCCACCAGGCTGTTGCTTGGAACGGCCCGCAGGCCCACATACCCACCACAGCCCGGTTGGTCTGGCACTCCTTGAAGGAAACAATCTAGTTTCCTCTTAAAGATGTCCACGGTTGTTCCTGTAATATTTCTGATGCTCGCTGGTAGGACGTTGAACAACCGTGGACTTCTGATGTTCATACAGTGTTCTCTGATTGTGCCCATGGCACCTCTGCTCTTCACTGGTTCTGTTCTGCATTTTCTTCCATGTCGTTCACTCCAGTACGTTGTTATTTTACTGTGTAGATTTGGGACCTGTCCCTCCAGTATTTTCCATGTGTACATTATTTGGTATATCTCTCATCTCCTTTCTGCCTTCCTGATTCCCATAAGTACAGGGTATACAGTAAATAGGAGTTAAATATTTTATCGTTCATTAAATTCCAACACTAACCACTGATCTTCGTCAAACAACAGTTGTCGTTCTGAGAGTTGTGCTATTTTTTTTAATTAGGCTATATTTTAATGTTATTTAATGTCATCACTTTGTGTTTTGAAATGAAAATAGTTGAGTTTGAAAACATTTTGACATTAACTTTACATGACCATTTATAGAAACAACAAAAATATGTCCTTAACAATTACACTATGAAGTTTTCGCCAAATACAGGTGCGCAGTGCAGGGGTTAAATCTTGTCGACATACAATTATAGAAGTACAGTACTGTATAGTAAAACCGCTCAAACCAATGTTAATTTATTAAATATTGTAGAGTGACAGCTTTTGTCCCAGTTGGTCTTGTCTCAATGCTTATATATTTACTTCTATAGTTCTCTGGTATGATGGAAAATATTAAATGAAATGGCATAATTGGTAGGTTTAAAACTGAATTACATTGAAAATCATTTGTGACTTTTTAATCTGTCTACAGATCTGTGGCTATAGGTTGCCAAGCAATAATGGTCGGAGACGCATCGGTTGTGGTTTGTGGTGGTCAGGAAAGTATGAGTCAGGCTCCTCACGCTCTACACCTGCGATCACCAGTTAAAATGGGACCGGCCACGATGGTAGACACAATGATGATAGATGGATTAACAGATGCGTTCCATAACTACCACATGGGAGTAACGGGTATGGATGTTGATTTTTAATTCCATTTTAGCCTTTCACTTCAGTGAGGCTATGAGTCGCTCTTAGGATAGAAAACTGATTTAGGAAACAAGATTAAATATGCTAAAAAATTTCAGATGTTTATCGTTTTACAGTACTGTACTGACAGTACTGTTCAATATATTATCACAGAAATTCAGTGTAATGCCACATAAATTGCTATAATAAAATGTTTCCTCTTGGTTATGTTCATAGCTATTTCTAGTGTTGTTTGCATGGCATATTTTCTATACCAAGTTTCTCGTTCCTCATTTCTGTATTATTACCTTCATGTCCTCCTACTTTATAAATCATTCCTATACACTCTTTCCTAGCATTGTGGATTTGAATAAAAAGCACTGAGCTAATGTAAGAAAACGTGTTTGCAGTACAGTTGGCAAGAAAGTTAAATTCGGTGAGATAAATTGTGTAAATAAGAAAGGCAACTATAATATAGAGACAAAAAAAAAATCAGCAGGTTTCAATACTGTAGTTTGGTGGGAACAAAGAGTCGGATCACTCTGGCCCCTACCCTACCCTATATATATTGATGCTCATTCTACTTTTATAACAGCATTCCTTATGCTATCTATCCTAACACCACATGCTCTTCAGATTATCCATCTATACTACTGTACTTTTTTTTATATTTCTTTACAATGACTTCTTCAGCATTTTGTATCCATACATAAATGTTGGAAAAGACGCTACAAGAAGTGCATTATACTGTAGTTGTATTGCTTCCTATCATAAGTCAAGCCTGGCCTTGGGCCGGGCTTGAGGAGTAGAAGAACTCCCAGAACCCCATCAAGCAGGTATCTATTTTTCTTAAGAATATTTATTGTACCATTTAATATCTCGCTTGTTCCTGCACTTTAAAATATTGTAAAATAATTTTTCATAAATAATACGGTACAGTACAGTACTGTAGAAGCTGGATAATTTGGATCCCGTAAATCCGGAAAACACCCTAATCCGGCAAAAAGCGTTGCCGGATAAACTTGCCTCCTTATCCATCACTCAGTATGTCCAGTGAAGCCGGACTAGCGGATATTTGGCCGGATCAGCGTATACTGATAGAGTTTGAAGCCTAAAAATCTCTCCAAAACCAAGGGTCGACTTGCAGCAGAATATAACATGTGAACCTTCACCACTGAGAGATAAACGAGTGAAATGCTGGGCCTAACACTCATTGTACACCACCACCAGGAAAGGTGGGAATCAGGCAGAGTTCAGACAAGCTGGGAGGCTTCAGGCAAGCAGGGAGGCTGGAGTGAGTGTGGGTGTCAGGGGTGGGTGGGTGGGTGTGGTGGGCGTCAGGAGTGGGTGTGGTAACCACACCGTACAACCCCAACCACCAGGGTGGGTGGGGGTGTTAGGCATCAGGAATCAGGAGTAGGTGCACTTCAAAAATACTTCATCCCTCACATGTCTGGTCTCACCCTAATCTTTATCATCCCTCTTTTTCTCATTATAAACAGCTAGCTCTGTATATGTCATATTTTACAGTCCTTGCAGACAAAACATTATTGTTAATATACTGTAGTGAGATTCTTTCCTATTTCAGCTGAAAATGTTGCAAAGAAATGGAATTTAACAAGATTGCAGCAGGATACATTTGCCCTTAAATCTCAAGAAAAAGCCGAGGCTGCTCAACAAGCAGGCTACTTTGACCAGGAAATTGTACCGGTTTTAGTTCCAGGCCGGAAAGGTGCAACAGAAGTGAAAACGGATGAATTTCCACGACATGGCTCCACTTTGGATGGGTTATCCAAGCTGAAACCTTGTTTTGTTACTGTAAGTTTAGAATTTTATTTGTTCCTCCAGTAATTAGTAATATGCAGTTTTTTGTTATTCTTAATGGTAGGTACCCATATTGTCACTTTTACAGTACATACCACAGTTCTATAAAGAGTACATACAGTGAATGTGATACAGTATTCCGTAGTTGGTGTGAATATTTACAGTTTTATAATGTACAAAGCTACTCAATTGTATTCGGTGTACATCTGTGTTCATTATATTCTGTAGTCTTTATACTTCTTAAACTCTTGTACAATGTTTGTATTATAATGTAATATTTAATGACTTGGTGATACTTTGGTCACCATACAATCAGGCATATAATTACAGTATCAGTTGTAATTCTTGTACACTGTAAAACAATGGCTTGAGCAGAATCTTACTACCAAACTTTTCATCCAACTGTTCTACATTGTGTATAAGAACTTGTATTTACATGTCCTCACTTTATAAACATCTTAAACTGGTAGCTTCAGGTCTGCTTAAGATTATTTAGCTGCCATAAAATGTCATGTTTCTATACAGTACAGTATTGTTAAATTTTGTTGTATTATATTTTTTTGCCTATTTCCCCAGTACAGTATATGAAGCACTTGTCTTCCTTATGTGCTTTCTCGATATAACAGTATAAAGATGACATGTTAAATTGGAAGGAAACCTTATTTGTAAATACTGTTGTAGGCGATGAGTCACAATAACGTGGCTAAAGTGTGTTGACCAGACCACACACTAGAAGGTGAAGGGACGACGACGTTTCAGTCCGTCCTGGACCATTCTCAAGTTGATTCAACTTGAGTTGAATGAGAATCGACTTGAGATCGACTTGAGAATGGTCCAGGACGGACCGAAACGTTGTCGACCCTTCACCTTCTAGTGTGTGGTCTGGTCAACATTTGTTAAATACTGTTGTTTCATTCAAAGTTAAGGAAGCTCTTAGAGTAAAATGTTCTTTTAAATAGTCTTCCAATATTGTGTTTAAACTTTAAATGCTGTGCATTTGTTTTGCAGTATATTGACAACAAGCAGTCCTCAACACTGTTCTCTTTTCTGAATATAATCTCATTAGTTATGGAGGAATTATAAATTGCCGACAAGACTTGGTAAATTTGAAACAAATATAATCTATTAGCAAAATGTTCTCTTTCATTTATACTTAAAACAAAAACCATAGTGCTTCTGCCACAGGGAAGGGGATGGAACTATCAGGAGGAAGCGCCAAGCCATTAAGGCTATATAGCACTTGGAAGGGGTCAGGATAAGGATTTGGGATGAGATGGGACGGGATAACACTGAGATAATGGCCTGCAGTCCCTTCATCCTTTGATCTCGGTGATTACTGAAAACTATTTTGTATCATTGCTTGTAATAGAGTATTATTAATTTTGCTGAACTTTATATTGCAGAATGGCACTGGCACAGTAACCGCAGGAAATGCATCGGGTATTAATGATGGTGCAGCAGCATTGGTGTTAACGAGCGAGATGGAAGCCAAGAATCGAGACATCAAGCCACTAGCCTCCGTCGTGTCCTGGGCCCAGGCTGGAGTGGACCCAGCCATTATGGGTACTGGACCAATTCCAGCAATTAAATCAGCAGTGAGTAATGTTACTGAATGCTTACTACTTGACAGTACAGTGTATCTTTGTAAATGGTTACTGTTATCAGTAATGGGAAGCATTTGTGTATATATGCTTCAGGCTTGTATTTAGGTACCCCCCCCCCCCCCCACCCAAGATGTTGACTCTCCCCAAGATGCAACCCACAACAGTTGCTTAATTCCTGAATACCTATTTACTGCTAGGGTAACAGAGGCATCAGATGAAAGGAAATGTACCCAACTATTTTTGTCCTACCCAGGAGCCTTGATTGTTAGTTGAGAATAAACTGTACTAAAGTACCTCGTGTAATAAACAAGTTCGTAATGGAGAAGTGAAGAGTACTGTATTTAGAATAAGGAGTTTCAAGGAATTGGATATGGCCTGGGAAGCTAGGGGCCAGATTCATGAAGTAGTTACGCAAGTACTTACGAACGTGTACATCTTTCCTCAATCTTTGACACCTTTGGTTACATTTATTAAACTGTTTACAAGCATGAAAAACTTGCCAATCAACTGTTGTTATTGTTATAAACAGCCTCCTGGTGCTTTGGAGTTCATTAACTGTTTAATAATTGTAAACAAAGCCACCAAAGATTGAGGAAAGATGTAGAGATTCGTAAGTGCTTGCGTAACTGCTTCGTGAATCTGGCCCCTGGGATGTGTACAGGTAGTGGACAAGGCAGTCATGTAATGTTGCCTGGCAATAGATCTGTAGTCGAGAAGCTTCATGTGTACTACAGTACTGTATTCACGTTAATAATATTTTTTTTTCACCTGCCATATTGTTTTTGGGACAGAATTGTAGAATATGGTGGTAATGATGTGTATCCAGATTTGAGTATTGTATTTTGATTAGCACAGGAAATCTTGTGCTATATTTTGAAATCACACAGGAAAAACAAAATTTAAGTCTTAGTGTGACAAATGTTGAAAAGTCTTGCTTTAGTCCGCTGAAAATGATTTAATAAATAATAATAAATAAATAAATGTTTATTTAGATAAGGTACATACATACAAGAGATTTTACAAAGATTGATGGATTTATAGATAGAGCTAGTACATACAATGCCTAAAGCCACTATTACGCAAAGCGTTTCGGGCATTTGTAGCATGACCTGTTGCCAGCGTTACAGTTATTGATATCATTTATGTTGTTATTATTGTTGTGAATTAAGGGGCAATGACGATCGTGGGATTGGATCGTTATTTTTGTTGTTGTGAATTAAGGGGGTACAGTAACGACGATCGTGGGATCGGATTGTTGTTTTTGTTATTGTTGTTGTGAATTGAACGACGATTGTGTGATCAGATGCGCCCGTTTTTGTTATTGCAGCATTACAGTGTGCACGGAAACAGAATTTTAGTCGAAAGCACTGTACTTTTTAATTTTGTTGCATTAGGGGTTAATGCAAGAAAGCTTCATCTTGTGTGCATAAACTCTTATGTTGCTTCACTTGGTGAGAAAAAATAATAAGGCAATAAGACAGTAAATTTGTAGAGTGCATGGCCGGTTGACCAAGCGGACAGCATGCTGGACTTGTGATCCTGTGGTCCCGGATTCAATCCCGGGCGCCAGCGAGAAACAACAATGGGCAGAGTTTCTTTCACCCTATGCCCCTGTTACCTAGCAGTAAATTAGGTACCTGGGTGTTAGTCAGCTGTCACGGGCTGCTTCCTGGGGGTGGAGGCCTGGTCGAGGACCGGGCCACGGGGACACTAAAGCCCCGAAATCATCTCAAGATAACCTCAAGAAGATGGCATGTAAGTGGAAGCCGATCACTAGTGTAGCTCATGTGCAGTATTACAAATAAATATTAAGACATATGTGGTAGGTTTGTATACAGTACAATTGTTTATTTTTAATATATGTGTATAATTATTTGTGGTGTATGGGAGAGGCAGAGACAAGAAAATGGGAATATGATGAGAGTAAAGGTATGTGAATAGATTACTTAAGCAATAAAATAGCGAGTGAAAGAGGAGACAAACACTTCAGAAAGAAGAAAGAAAAAAAAAGTTTTAGAAAGTTATTCAGAACTCAAAATTCTTCTTGGAAAAAGTAAGAAATTGCAGTAGGAACAGTGATGGAGGAGTAAATGGGAGTGCTAATGATATTAGAAGTAGTGTAAGGTACTATTTTGAAAGTACTACTGTACTTTGGTGAAAGTGATGCTGGTGTGTTAGGATTTGATGGCGAGAAGAGTGTAGGTTGATTGATTGATGAAGATTAAGCCACCCAAAAGGTGGCACGGGCATGAATAGCCCGTAAGTGGTGGCCCTTTTGAGCCATTACCAATATCAAGAGCTAATACTGGAGATCTGTGGAGGTGCGGCTGCACCCTGCGTGACGGGAGATGTCTCCCTCGTGAGAGTGTAGGATCTTGTACCGGCTGATGTATCTATGGAGGGACATGTGTGGGAAAGCTTAGGAGTGAATTATATGGAGTTTAGGGAACAAAATGAATGTAGAAAATTTGCCTGAAGGCATAAAATTAATACTGTGCCAGGGGAAATGGAAAGGTGTGTTTATGATTTTATGATTGAAAATGAAGGAGAAAGTAACATGTGCAAGATGAAAATAGCATGTAGTAGCATGAAAGTAGAAAGTAGATTTAAAGGTATTAGTTTTATAAGTGTAGTGGACAAAGTATATGAGAGAATAGTGATGGGAAGAGCACAGGAAATTACAGAAATTTCACAGATGTAAAAGATCTGAAATCAGAAAAAATGTATATATACTGATAATAAATATGATTATTTCAGTTGAAAAAAGCTAATTGGAGCATAGATGAAGTGGACTTGTGGGAGCTGAATGAAGCCTTTGCTGCACAGAGCTTAGCTGTTATTCAAGAGCTTGGCATTAACTTAGAGAAAGTTAATGTTAATGGTGGTGCTATTGCCTTGGGGCACCCAATTGGAGCTTCAGGTAGGAAATGTTCTCTCTTGATTGATGTATTACTAAAGTTTTTCTTAGTTCCTTCAAGTGTGTATAAACTGGAAACTAATATTCATTTTGCGTACCAACAAGCATTTCGACCAGTGATTATTTAAGCATTGAAATATTTTTAATTCTACTGTTCTTTCATGTGTATGGGTTGAGTTAGTTATTTTCCGTCTCATTATTGTGATATAATATCGGTCTTCTGGCTCTTACTCAGACTACTTGTACACTTACTTATTACCTCCTTGCAGGTGCAAGAATTCTGGTGACATTGCTGCATGCAATGCTGCGACTGAACAAAAAACGAGGAGTGGCCGCTCTCTGTGTTGGAGGAGGAATGGGCATTGCTGTATGTGTAGAAAAAGTTTGATGATGATACGAGTAATATGACAGTGATAATTTTCCAAATTTTAGGGATGGATTACTCAAATCTCAGTACAGGTATTGTATGTGTAAAGACACTGCGAGTCTCATTGTTTATTATGATCTGGTCTGTTTTAATGTTTTATTTAGCCTAATACAGCATATTGTAGCTCAAATATGGTGCCTTTTATATATTAAGATAGTTTAATTTTTTGAATCAATTATATATCTAGAGCAGTTCAGGGTAATAGAATTATTGTTACAATTTTTTTTTTTATCGTAAACATTCCTGGCACTTTCCTGGTCACGTAATGGTGTGACTTTGTGCTGTTGCCTCCCTTGCCAGGTGGCTGATCTTGCTCTCTCTTGATTTTGGAACATTCCATGCTGACCAGTTTAAATGTTTGAATTGGAGCAATCTGTTATATTACATATTATTTTCCGATTGTACACTACTTGCTTTTCTCTACATTCGATATTTTTTGTTGCCTTAGCGTGAGTTATCGGGTAGATGAGCAATTTTTTAATGTAATTGCAATGAGTCAGAACATTGTAAGTTTCACAGTTCAAATTATGGGAGGTGATTGTAACCAATATTTTGTAGTAGTACAGACCACATCTGAATCTGTTATCCAAAATCTCCATGGCAGAAACCTACACAGTATATATTGTATAGAGACCTTTTAACTTAATTTGCTTATTCAATGTTCTAACTTGCGTGGGTTTGAACGACAATGCGAGTCATCGGAATAACCTGGCAATACAGTTACAAAACCTTGTCCCTGTTTTCCCCCCACATCTCTCCTCCAACGCTTTATACGTCAGGGAACGTAATTAGGGGGAAAAAAATTGTGTGGATGGCTTTCCACTTGAAAATTTAGAATTTTGTTCAGTGTAGGTCAGAATTTGACTTATGGATGTGCCAGAGGAATTATTCTGGAAATGAATTTGGGCTTCTCTAAAGGCTTCTCTATTCCTTTCATAGAGAACCTTGACCAAAGAGTTTTGGGTATAGGAAAGGCAATGGTTCTGGTTTTTAATGTAATTTGTAAAGATATTTGTGTGTGGCATCTTGAGGTTATCTTGAGCATTGTGCTGAAGGCTGGAAGAAGAGAAAAAGATCAGGGGAAAGTGCCAAGCCACAACGACTATATAACTGGAGCTATATAGTTGAATGAATGAAAGAAATGTTATATAGAGCCACAACAGCTATATCTGCCTGAAGGCTGGAGATTACTACAGCCCAGTAAGAACTTTATCTTGAACAGGTTTAGGTTATTGTTAAAAGGTTCAAATAGCTATCATGTTTGGTTGTATTTAAAACATAATTTATATTATTTTTATTATAAAGATTAAATTATTAGAAAGCGAAGATTATATATAACCAGTTTCAGGATATTCTGCTCCCACATTTGGCGAAAAGCCAAGTTTCACCGGTGGCTCCGTAATCGGCCAAGTTTCACCGGTGGCTCCGTAATCGGCCAAGTTTCACCGGTGGCTCCGTAATCGGCCAAGTTTCACCGGTGGCTCCGCAATCGGCCAAGTTTCACCGGTGGCTCCGTAATCGGCCAAGTTTCACCGGTGGCTCCGTAATCGGCCAAGTTTCACCGGTGGCTCCGTAATCGGCCAAGTTTCACCGGTGGCTCCGTAATCGGCCAAGTTTCACCGGTGGCTCCGTAATCGGCCAAGTTTCACCGGTGGCTCCGTAATCGGCCAAGTTTCACCGGTGGCTCCGTAATCGGCCAAGTTTAATTGGTGATGCCAGAGTCAGCCAGGCTACTGTTGTTGCCTCGTACTGTACCTGGAAAAAGGCATCACGACCTGGATAGATGTTGAGAAATATTTTGAAATTATTGTATAAAATGCTGTAATGTACAGTATATTACAGTAATTACATCACCATTTGACCCTGTAGCACAGTGGTCTGTGTCCTCGGCTCACAACCGAGGTACCCGGGCTCAATCCCCGTGTGGGACAGATATGGTTGTGCACATTTCCTTTCACTTGCTGCCTCTGTTCAGCTGGCAGTAAAGTAGGTACGTGGGAGTTGGGGAAATGTTGCAAGGTGCATCCTGAGGAAGGTCGGTAGATGGTCTAGGTGGGACCTCGATAAGCTTAAATACAGGCTTCCTATTCCCGACAGTGGGAATTATTATGCAAAACAACCCACACACACACACACAAACAAGAAACATACACGTGTGCACGCAAACAAGAAACAGGCACGTGTGCACACGGCTGAGTGGGGCCTGATGGCTGAGTGGACAGCATTCGGGATTCGTCGTCCTAAGGTTCTGGGTTTGATTCCCGGCGGAGGCAGAAACAAATGGGCAGAGTTTTTCACCCTGATGCCCCCCTGTTCACCTAGCAGTAAATAGGTACCAGGAAGTTAGACAGCTCCTATGGGGGCTGCTTCCTGGGGATATGTAACAAAAAGGAGGCCTGGTCTAAGACCGGACCGTGGGGATGCTAAGCCCCGAAATCACCTCAAGATAACCTCAAGAAAACACAAACAAGAAACATTCACGCATGCATATAAACAAGAAACATGCACACGTGCATACATACATACATACATACATACATACATACATACATACATACATACATACATACATACACAATTTTTTTTGTTTTGAAATGTACTTCCAGAAGAACACTCCATTTTACAATGTGTAGTTTACATAATGGTCTGAATGATGTATATTGCTCTAAGACATTGTATTCATCTTACTGACTTGCCTTACCCTTACATAAGGCAGCTCCATGGAATTAATTGACTAAATATAATGCTAAATGTGAATTCTCGGTACATATTCTGTATTATGAATCATTATGTGAAGAGCATTTAAGAAACCATAGATACTTACACTGTCTTGTACAAAAGGCTGTAATCGTGTAAAAATACAAAATATATTAATACTTTTGTACAAATATTTTTTTAAATTTTGAGACGATCTATATTTGAAGCCGTAACTGATGAATCTCATTGTGATTTTCTGCTTAGTTTTTGTTATTGAGGTCCTGAGTGCGGATCTTTAGCTTTGGTTTTGAGGCGTTTGACATATATCTGATGGTTTTTGTAAGTATTAATTTACTCATTGTTTACTCTTGGAATATTCATATCCAAATTTGTTATCGGAGTTTAATGGTTATTTATGAACTTTATTATCATTACTTTGTTTCCCTCTTCCATGGGGTGGTGAGGTACCTGCTTAGGAGAAATAGGAAGGCTATACAGTATTAGGAAAGAAGGTCGAAGGTGGTAAAAATGCCTACACTGTAAAATGCCTGGTTGATCAGTCCGGCAACCAGGAGGCCTGGTCGACGACCGGGCCGCGGGGACGCTAAGCCCCGGAAGCACCTCAAGGTAAGGTACCTATTTGCCATATGTTGTGCACAGCATAGCAACACTTAGCCTCGGAACCATCACCCGCCAACAAACCTTTCAAAGCAGCATCCACATGCTTTACATGATTAGATATAAAAGTGCTTCCATGAGTTATTACTTATGATTTTTAAGTATTTGCTACTCTGAACTGATTTCACCTAGTCACTTGTTACTTATGCAGTTTAAAAAAAAAATCCTGGGATCAAAGAGCCAGAGCTCAACCCCCACAAGCACAACTAGGGGAGTACACACAATCTCTGCTTCCTTACGCTAACCGTGTCTGTCCATTTTTCACGACTTTCCTCCTCTTTCTACCCATCGGCCCACTTCTATTGTTACCCGTTGTTCAATATGTGAACCATCTCGATACATTTTCCTTAATCATGTGATACACTTGCTTCTGCATTTCATATTTTTTCCATGATTTTCTTTCCTTATTCTGTCCAGTTTCTGAGAGAATTTAGTCTTAGATTGTTCATTTCTACTGTTCTTGTTGAATTTAGTACTTGTGCCATATGAATGTATTTCATTCATACATATGGGAAGCATTACAGTACTGTACTTCTTTCATCCAACCCTCTAGCTGCCTCTTCTTACCCGAGCTTTCATTGCTTCGGTCATTTTCCTTGCCTAACTTGCTCTGTTTTACTCACAAATTGTAATTTTTGTTAACTGGAGATCTAATTAACTTAAACTGATAAACATCTTGTAGGTCTTCTCCGTTACCATTATTTAATATTTCTCGTCTTTCCAACGTCACTTACATTTGTTTTGTTTATCATTTCCTGCCAGAATAACGGCACCATTGGCATGCGTCTTACTTGATAAGGGACTCCAGTTAATGGTATCATCCATTAATTTCACACCCTTCTGTAGTTCTGTATTATATTGACTCTCGTGACCTCATGACCCAAACCATACAAGTGTACCTAAACAACCCTCGTATACTCCTACATAAATGTAAGACTGGTCTCTCATTATACCTTTAACTCTTACACATGCTGTGGAGAAGTGCATATATTAATGCTTGTTACGGCACAGTGTATGTAGCAATAGGGGCCCTGACAGCTGGGTGGACAGCGCTTTGGATTCGTAGTCCTGAGGTTCCAGGTTCCAGGAAACAAATGGGCAGAGTTTCTTTCACTCTGATTCCTCTGTTACCTAGCAGTAAATAGGTACCTGGGAGTTAGACAGCTGCTACGGGCTGCTTTCTGGGGGTGTGTAACAAAAAGGAGGCCTGGTCGAGGACCGGGCCGCGGGGACGCTAAGCCCCGAAATCATCTCAAGATACCCTCAAGATAACTCAAGATACTGTACTACGATGTATCGTTACATAAAGCTGCACATCCAAATTATGATCCCATTATACAGTAGTAGGAATGATATAATAAGTGATATTTTTCTATTTAATATACATATCTAATCTTTCATTATAATATTCACTTTTTCCTGAATGCTGGTGCTTCTTCACCCCATGAACATGGAGGTAAGAATAATGAATTATTCAACAATTTCCCCTGACTGTATTCACCTACTTTACACAATTGCCCCTTTATTAAAAAAACTGAAATCCTCCTAAGAATTCTTGATCTGCTTTATATGAAAAAATGTACTAGTAATATGTATCCTGTTATTAACACAAAAATGACAATTAATCTGACTAGGCCAAAGAGTAGTGAGCTTAATGCAGGTATAGGCCACTTCTGTAGCCTCTCAACATGGTTTTAATTCATTCCATGTAGTGATATTTTGCTTAGTAGTCTTTAACTTTTATGTAGCATTCGTCACATTATATCTCCCCAAGTGTGTACCGAGATGAACAAATCCACAAGGGCCGTGACGAGGATTCGAACCTGCGTCCGAGAGCATACCAGACGCAGACGCTGTGTACCGAGATGTTTCGTCATTTTGAGCAAATGAATGAACATAGACAATAAAGATAGTCAATTCGTGATCGTCAATTGCATGGACAATAAAATGAGTCAATTTTGAGAGTAGAAGAGGACTGTTCCTATGGAGAGCGATTTACAATTCTCTGCCTGGACTTGTAACTATTATATATGGTGCATTTATACCTTCAGTACTCTGAAGTACTTGTTTTCGAAATGGTGAATGGAGGTGACTTCTACATCCTCGACTCCCAGCTCATTCCACATTCTTGCCATTCATATTTTCTCTCATCTGGAAAGGCCTCCTTCCATATCATTTATTTTTCCAAAATATCTTAGGTTTTAATCATATCTCCTCTGGTTCTCTTTTCTTGTGGAGGTGTTAGCGAATTCCCTAGATCTGTCTTCATAACTAGGCTTTATCTCTGGCACCAGTCTTGTAACATGTCGCTGAACTTTCTCAGTTTTGTTTTTGTGCTCCACAAGGGGGCGTTCCATTCTAGTGTGGCAATCTAGAGCTGGTCTAACTCAGAGTATAATGTTCTGAAAGATACCTTGCTATGGATTTTGTAAATGTTGCTGCTGCTGCTGATCTATTTATTTGCATATCCAGTACTAACTGTGGTGTAATGGTCCAACTCATGTCTTAGTAATTTTCAGATTCCTTGAATTGCCTTCCTCTTGTCCTGTATCATGCTGTCTTTACGGCTTATTTTGACCTCTCCCAAAACTTCATTACCCTACACTCGTTAGGACTGAACTCTAGTAGTTAGTTGTCTATTCAGTCTTCCAGCTTGTTTCTCTCTTGTAGTACAGTAATAAGTAATCCTATTTAGTTGTTTCCCCTCATCAAATTTGCTATATCTACAAAATATGTCTTGTTAGATGTTGCTGTGGATGATTTGCTAGTGATAGTTCTGGTTCTCTGTGGTGGTGCTGCATTGTATATGAGATGCAGCCAATAGACAGGTATAATTGTTTGCCTTATCCTTCTTTTCTTATATTGAAGTGAGTGGTTTCTTGTATTCTCCAAGCTGAAGCCTCCCCCACTCCATCGTATTATGAAAATGGGATAATGATGACAATAATTATCTCATCCCTGGCTTATTGGGTTATTACAGTATTTTTATGTTTAGTAACTTATAAATAATTATAGACTTATGGGTGAGTGGTGCGAATTATATTCTACATTTATTTACATAATTTGTTATTAGCATATTATTAGTTGTATGCTTGGAAAGTATGACAGCTGTTACTTTTAAAAAGTTTTTGCACGCTAAATGAATATCATGAATATTGTCTTATTGAATCATAAAGAATTAAGAAATTGAGAATTGCAATGTATGTAGCATATAAAACATTTATTGCACCATAGTAGGTAAGTTGCAAGGACACGGAGACTTGAATGTTGATGCGTATTGGGAAGGAATATTGAAGGTGTACTAGAATGTAATGCACAAGATGTTCTTGGGAAATGGAGGTGGAATGTTCTCGGGAACTGGAGGTGGGATGTTCTCGGGAACTGGAGGTGGGATGTTCTTGGGAACGGGAGGTGTACTGCGGGGATGTGTATAGCTCATACAATGGCTGTAAAATACAATAGTAGTAGTAATTTGTGCATACTGACTGTGTATGAGAAGCATTTTAGGGTTTAATGCTGCATACAGTATAACAATAGTTTCAGTGCTGTATTTTATAATCATTTCATATAAGTGTATAATTTGCTTATTGAATTGCATTAATGTACATTAATATGCATGACACATACTGTTTAGGCCATTTTATAGTCTTCCAAGTATGATATAGAAGCGTGACCAGACATTTACTGTATTTGTGTGTATGTAGACAAGCATGCGCACACATACATATGTACGTACATGTGTATATATATACTGTATACATGTTGTACCAAATAGGCCAAGTTGCCTAACAAGTCAAATTTTTTTGTGTACATATTTTCTCAAAAAATATTTCTTATGGAATGATAAAGCTTTTCATTAAATTATATATGATTTTAATTTTTTAATTTGAGTTAAAACTAACCAAAATTTGATTGTACCTAAGTCAGCATTTCATAATAATAATATTAATTGGACTAAACCAATTTGAAAAGAAATATTTTAAAATGATTAAAATCACTTTGCCTATTAGGCAAATTGGGGCTTACATACTAGGCCAAGTAGTATGGTTTTGGCTATTAGATTCACCATGTACACACACACACACACACACGCATATTAGTAGGTGGATACAGATCTAGTTATACAGTTGTTAATAATTTTGCTATTTTTCTGGGTACTGTAGTTGGTTTCTCTAAAAGTGGGCTGATGTGTATAGATATAGATATTTAGCAGGATATAGCTACAATGTTCAACAGTGTTGGAGAACATTGTGCGGGGAACATGCAAAAATAGGTGAACACTAAACGCTACTTGTTACAGTTAAGAGTTTATATTGTTATACTGTAATTGTGATAACCGGTTATATTTATTAAATATGTAATTTTGTTATAAATTTCATACTATTGTTATGTCTTTGAAGGTTATATCATTGTTGTTAATCATCGGGTACTTACAAGTAAAAATATCAAAGTCCCGTGGAAGTAAAAAAAATTCCTTTATAAATAATTTTTATGGCTGATAATTTTTACATGAACTTTGACAAGTTTCAAGATCTCGCATGCAATGTATTACAGGATGTATGAATGAACAGTATACAGCACCCTAAAAAATTTAGATTATCATTCCTGTTTTCTGAATGATTGCCGCTTTATTTTTTACTAGTTATCCAAGAAATTTTAAATTTTCTTTAACGCATTTATTGTAATACAATAAATATTTCAACATAGTCAGATATACAAATAATGTACAGTATAAAGATTTTGTTTGCATATGAATGGTAATTGTGTACAAAAAATTCTGAAACATTAATTTGTTCAGATAACATTGTGTAGCACAACAGCCTGAGCTTGATGACCCAGAGGCAGCAAAATGCAGCTTTAGTACTGTCGTGATTTCTGTTACATTTGCAGTCACCCTGAGCTGGCCTTGATGTTTTCAATGGCCAATGGTTTGTGTCAGTCTTTCAGCTACAGACTGTAACTATGCACCACCAGCCAGTCAGCCAGCCCCAGGCTACAGTGGTGTGCAAGTCATTGCAAACAGCATCATCCAAATCCTGATGCTTAAGTTTCAATATGTTTGTCATTTCTCTTTCCACCTCTGCTCTCAATAGGATGAAAATCCACACTTGTGTATTTATGAAATTTATGTAAGGAATTTACACCAAGTCTTTCACGTTCTCCCGAGTGCTTTGTCAAGGTCCGAGTGTGTGATTAGGATGAGACTTACATCTCAATGTCTAATCTCAACATCTAATCAAGATTAGACAAGATTAGACATTGAGATGTAAGTCTTGTCCTAATCACATACCCAGACCTTGACAAAGCACTCAGGAGAGTGTGAAAGACTTTGTAAAATTTATGTAAGGAATTTACACCAATACACTAGTGTGGATTTTTATCCTGTTATTATGTCTGAGAAGACATTACCATTACTGCTCTCAATTTTATTCAGTAATATAGGAGAGATGTTAATGAAAATGCTGGAGTAACCAGAGGTCAGATCAAGCTCTCGTACAAGGGGAAAACCTTGGTTAGTGGGCAGATTTATTTCATTTTTTTAGTTTACCTGTTTTATAAAGGTCTGGATATTTGAGGGTGAAGTGTACATGAAAGGTAATTTTGTAAGAACTGTTTTTACCAGCTGACAGACCTTGTTAAAACTGCATGCGAGAATAGACCCATATTTTGTTCCAAACTTTTTATGGTACATTTCTTGGCTTTATTCCAATGGTTAAGGTTATAAATTGTTTACCAGTATATTACTGCTTTTCCTAACTAGGAAACTTTTGTTAAAGTGTTTACTAATGTTTATCAAATATTTTATCATTTTCATTATTCTTACTAACATTAGCAACAAGAATAAATTCTTGTTTTCTCATAGGTGATTGGAGTGATTTTTATAATTTATATATAAACAAAATGATGTATTTTTTCTTCTCCTTACCTTACCTTGAGGTGCTTCCGGGGCTTATCGTCCTTCCAACAGAGTTCAGAATTTCATCCAGGTTTTGTAACTTTAAATGTAGTGCAAGCTGGAAATGAGTGTTGGATATACAGTGATGTAACCCAAATATAACTAATGTTATAATGTATATGGAAAAATGGAACAAAATTCAAATGCTAATTACCTGGAAACCTCTTGGAAAAAAAAGTGGGAATACTCCAAAAAGATGCCTATACCCATTCTCTAAACGTAACGCTACACCTCATCTCCTAGCATCACAACCATCACTCTCCAGTTAACTATTGACAGGGAAAATTGAGTGGTTAACATTCTTTAAGCATTTGCCACAATCTGCCACAATCAGATTCTCAAAGTTGAGAATCACTTTGATAGATGGTCAGCTCCTATAACATTATGTACAATACCACGTCAAATGTGTCCTATTCTAGTAGCCTTCTTTATCTTAGTAATACAGGAAGTGGGAAACAACCTAACCAGAAACAAGTATGGATTGGTCATACACAATCTTGGGAACGTGGTGGAACAATGCCGTTCTGAGAATGAGGTAAAGATCTCTCGTTACACTAACAGTCGTGTACCTCCTTGTAGAATGTCCTAAATATTTTCCTGTTCCTTTTAGTTGTGTACCTCAATAAAATTCCTGATAAATCCCATTACTTGTCCAATGTCAAAGTCTTCATATTGGCATCCTGGATATCTGTCAATATTAAAATCTTGGCCTTCGTGCCATCTTTTGATAATAATTGTACTTACTTTACATAGAGTAAATTGTTCAGAAGATAAACAATGGAAACAATAGGACCACGAACTAATTTTTATTAAGTAACAGCATATAAAAAGTTACAAAAGTATATTATATAAGATACAAACAGTATAACAATAGTGTTTTCAATAGTGTTAGTTTCTAATAAACCTTGCATGGAAAAACTGTGCTTAAAAGTAATGGCTTAAATTATGTGCACTAATATTATCATTACCGTTTTCCCATTTTCATGGAGTAGGAAGACATCAGTCCAGAGAAAAATGGCAAATAATATAGAAAAGGGATATTGAATGATACTATTAATTAGGACCTTTTGACTGTTCTACAACACTAGTGCTAAATAGTCATACAGACTTTGTGCCTTCTCTTGATATTTACTTAAGCATTTTATTATATTCACAATATGGCATATATAAATAAGCACCACCACTAGCAGTATCTGACCAGTTCATAAGACCAGGTGTACAATGGTTCTCATAAATTGTCATACACAATATTGTACAAACAAAAAGCAGAGGTATTCATTCCCATCTTATAAACTGCTTCCACCGAGCAGTGTTCCTTAATATGTGCCATTATAGTTCACTCTTGCTCCTTTCACACACCATGCCTGTCCTTCTACTCCTACCCTCGGATACATATACTTCACCATTTTACTATCGTTCATTTGTTCAACGTGTCCGGACCATCTGAGCATGAACAAATCCACAAGGGCCATAATGTGGGTTTGAACCTACGTACGGGATGTTCCCAGATGCGCCTTAGTCAACTGTGCCACAACCAAGATGCAGCTGGGAACATCCCATACGTAGGTTCGATCCCTCATCACGGCCTTTGTGGATTTGTTCATTTTATATAATGCGCTATTGTGATTTCTGTGTGCATCTGAGCATGTTCTCCATGTTTGAATTGATTTTTTCTCTCCTATTATCACACATGCATCTTACTCTCCGTTTTTTCTGCTCTAACTCTTAACACTTGGTCTCTACATTTATACCACATTATCTTTAGATATGCGTCAGCACTACCACTCTTTCATGCAGCCCTTTGGTAACATCTACTCCTCTCGTATTGTCTAGCCAGACTTTCACTACACAGTCACTTTCCTTTCCCACTTTCAACTTTGCACAAACTTATTTTATCAAACACATATCCAAAGCATTTAAACTGACCACTTTTTAATATTTCACACTCACTCTAGAGTTAAGTGAGAAGGTAATGGAGACTAAAACTGTCATACGACAAAGAGTACTGGGAAGACGGGACACCACAAGTGTAGCTCTCATCCTGTGACTACACTTCAGTAATTACTCGCATACACATTAATACAATTTCCAACTTGTCTTCCTAAGCCTCTCATTCTGTTAAAGAACAGCATTATCTGCATTTATTTAATCTGGCACACTAAAATTAATCATATTAGGCCTATACACTGTTTACACCCTCTAACATTCTTGCCTTGACTTTCCTCGGGAATCGACGAAAGAAATACTGAACCACTAAGGTGGCATATAATAAACCTGGCATACATTTACATTCAAATATTAACTCTTACACAAACTACTTCCTGCATAGAATCTTCTCATAGCATTTAACAAATTGGTTAACTACATACATGTCAAAATTAATTTTTTTTAAATTAAACTTACAGAATTATTATACAGTATAGAGGTATAGTACTATGAACAAGTACATATATCAGTATCATCACTGTTTTAGAAAAACACAATTGTATGAATACGGTAGTTTGTTTTGGTCAATGATTTGAGATTACCATTTCAAACTTTCACGATTCCAAAGTTTTGTAGGAGTGTGTACTTATGGCCTCAAGTGACTTTCCGAGCTTTCATGGGGCACAGTTGCTCTTGTATCAGGTGCCTAAGAAGCAATGAATTGTTCTTTCGTAATGGTTTGCCATCAAGAAAACAGTTTGTTTATATGGACATATTTGCTTAATATTACAATAGTGTAATACGTTTTAAATATTTAAAGGTTATATATAAACTTGCTTGACACAAAAAATATTTGTGGTTAAAAACTTTCTTGAATAAAACAGAAAATTTTAGCTCTGCTTTGGAAACATGTTAAAATTATCATTATGCTCTTCTAGTTTAACCCTCCTCCATCCTATCACTTAATTATTTATCGATATATTATTGATATCAAATAATCACTTGATAAAACCTACATGGTTACCACTCACTCTAGGTGAGGCACCTACAGCATAATAATTTCTTTTTTAAGAATCCTGCTACCCATCTTCATATGTAGAAGTATTTCCACTGTGCATCTACATAGCATTAAAACATGAAATGCTAATATCTTAATTTAAAGAACCTGTATACCAAAGTTCAGTAAGTACTGTACAAAAACAACTATCCAGATACACAGAGGAATATAGTTGCACATCTAAGCTTCTTACAAATTTCTGCCCTTGTCTTGGCATAATGAATGGTATCTTAGAACTGAATACTCTGTAACAAAGAGAGCAATGTATAGCTGTCCTGGCTTATAGTCAATACATGAGTCTTCAAACATATACTACCTAAATCTTAAGGTCACAGCGTACATCACATGAAAAATAAATACATTGAAGAATACTGCTATTGATTTGCAACATTTTGGGAAGAAAAGGTTTAGTGGCACATTAATCTTCACAATTGAGACGTCTCATACATTATATGTGACATTTTTAGTGCAGCATGAAGGCCCCCGTCCACTTTCATGAAAGTTGTTGGCAAAAGAAAAAAGTTAAAAACCTCATAAGTGGACTCATGATGCACACCCCAAAAAAAATTATTTTACCTCATTCATATATAAATCGTTAACACATTGAATGGACAAGAATTACTGTAAGATGGTAATACAATAAAGTCCATTATCTTAAGGTTGCATACTCTAGTGTACAGTACCAATACAGATAATTATAAGTGGTTAACTGTACAGTAATGAATAATTACATAGTTAATGATAAATAATCTTATTCTGTGCAATAATACTTAACTAAGTCTAAAGTTCGTCATGGCGGCCAAGTCGATGGCAATTACAGTCCCCAAATCTCTTCTCATTTTCCTTAATGGGCACATATTCCATACCTTCCCGTATATCCACCTTGGAATTAAGCCGTTTACTCCATTCCTGTTGAATAAATGTACAATTATATAATTAAAGGATACACTTTACAGGATATTTTAAACATTGCTTAAGCATTTTCTTTAACTTTAGATTTCATTTGAATATACTGTATAGGGTACATGGGTTTCAAGGTCAATTAGTAATACTGTATGTATGTATATATATATATTGTGAATGCATAGCAAAGTTAAAAGAAGAAAAGAAAAAAATTGGGTGAACTGGAAGGAGTTCTAATTTGTTTGAAGATCAGATGCCAAAAACAAAGGAATAATTCATACGAACCAAATTTTGTATTTGCTGAACTGGAATTCGCTTCAAAATTAAAAAAAAAAATTATATTAAAAATTGACTAATGAATCTGGTACTGTATATTAAAATATAAACCAGATGAGTAAAGTTTTCTTATATGGGATCAGATTGTACCTGGAGCAGGTTCTGGAAGTAGTAGTTCTTCCCAAGCTGGGTTCTACTCCCCAAGCCCGACCCAGGGCCAGACTTCTTTATTTATTTATGTATATACAAGAAGGTACATTGGGTTTGTGAGAATACAGAGCATGGTAATTTACTATCTTGTAAAGCCACTAGTACGTTTCAGGCAGAAACTGACTTAACTTGTGATTGCTTGATCCAACAGACTGTTGCTTGGAGTGGTCTGCAGGCCCACATATCCACTACAACCCAGTTTGTTTGGCATTTTTTTTTTTGCAGAAACTAATTTTTGTTTGGAGAATTACACTTGTGTTCTGGCAATATTTCTTAAGCTTGCTGGAAGAATAGTGAACAGCCGTGGACTTCTGATGTTCATAGTGTTCTCTGACTGTGTGCCTATTGCACTGGCTCTATTCTGCATTTCCTACCATATTGTTTGCTCCAGTGTTACACCAACCCAGTGAAGCCTGAAAAGTTACCCACAACCCAAGAACCTCCAGGCCCATAGTTTACACAAAAAACAATGAAGTCTAGTCATAAGGGAAATCAAAAGGTGCTTTCGCAAATCAGGAAGCCCATCCGTGCCATGATCCAAAATTGGGGTGGCTGCTTACTTCGTGAAGAGTTCAAGGGCATACTGTTCTCAAACGGCCCAACCCAACATCATTTGCAGTCTGTTTTTTAGTCATTTTAGGAAAGATGACCTCATACTCGCTACAAGCAAGCTCCAGGAACACTGTTACCACCCAACCTGAGAACACTGATGCCAAGTCAGTATCTGCATTTGCTCCAAGTTAAGAGAGTGAGCAGGACTTTCATACTACTACATGGTAAGGACCATTCTTTATTGCACCTGTATTAAACAGCATGAAGTAGCATCCATCACAAAACACGACACTGTGTGTGTGTGTGTGTAAATTAAGAAAACTGTATGAGGATGCCATGCAAGTTATGACTATGTGCCACCCATTCCATTTACAAGAATATTGTAAAAAAGGAGAATCAAAGAAACACTACACTGAAGGTGTAGTGTATCTTTAGTGTAAAGACCAGAAAGTGGCAGGCCAGGAACCCAGCATTAGTGCCAGAAGCACAACCCTTGGGCAATGCCACAAGTGCACACACACTTGTCCACACAAGTGCCTTTAAAAACTTGTGTAAGGAATCGTTCAGGTCTTTGTATACTGTACCACTTATGTAAGACCAATCCTGGAGTATGCAGCTCCAGCCTGGAATCCATACCTAGTTAAAAACAAGACAAAGTTAGAGAAGATTCAGAGGTATGCCACCAGATTAGTTCCGGAACTGAGAGGTATGAGCTACGAGGAAAGGCTAAGGGAGCTGAACCTCACATCCCTGGAAAACAGAAGAGTAAAGGGAGACATGATAACCACCTACAAAATTCTCAGGGGAATTGACAGGGTGGACAAAGACAAACTCTTTAGCACGGGTGGAACACGAACACGGCGACACAGGTAGAAACTTAGTACCCAAATGAGCCACAGACATTAGAAAGATTTTTTTCAGTGTCAGAGTAGTTAATAAATGGAATGCAATAAGTAGTGATGTAGTGAAGGCTGACTCCATACACAGTTTCAAATGTAGATTTGATAGAGCCCAGTAGGCTCAGGAACCTGTACACCAGTTGATTGACAGTTGAGAGATGGGATCAAAGAGCCAGAGTTCAAACCCCCCAAGCACAACTAGGCGAGCACAATTGCTTTTATGTGCACAACACAAGTGCACATAAAAGCAATTGTGAAGAAGAAAAACAATAACAAAGCAATGGCTCAGGTATTGCAAACACCACTTAGCTTTAGTGTGAAACAGACAGACTCGTCAGAGGCACCGTACTCTCCGAGACTGTAACCAGGCATGTGAGCGAGGGGGCAGGCTAGAGTGACCTAGAGAGGGAGCCGGTCGGCCGAGCAGACAGCACGCTGGACTTGTGATCCTGTGGTCCTGGGTTCGATCCCAGGCGCCGGCGAGAAACAATGGGCAGAGTTGCTTTCACCTTATGCCCCTGTTACCTAGCAGTAAAATAGGTACCTGGGTGTTAGTCAGCTGTCACGGGCTGCTTCCTGGGGGTGGAGGCCTGGTCGAGGACCGGGCCGCGGGGACACTAAAAAGCCCCGAAATCATCTCAAGATAACCTCAAGATAGAGGGCCACCTGGTGGTTACAGGCACATCACTACTAGGGTGTTTACACACACTACGGCAATGTTTTTCTTGGGGACACGAATCCTGCATATATATTTATACTTGAGGCATGTGTTGAGGTCCCAACCCCAAAGGTCAAAATCTTGACCTTCCTTAAGATGCAACCCCCATAACAGTTGCCTAACTCCTGGGTATCTATTTTCTGCTAGGTGACCAGAGGCATTTGGTGAAAGGAAACATGTCCAACTATTTCTGTCCCGCCTGAGAATTGAACCTTGGATCCCCAGTTGTGAGTCAAGGACAAAGTCAACTGTACTACAAGACCCTAAATTGTTACCTCCAAGTACCCAATTTTCTTTAAACTGAAGGGATGGGGGGGGGGGGAGCACCCTCCCAGAAAACTCTCTGTAACAGTTGACCAGACCACACACTAGAAGGTGAAGGGACGACGACGTTTCGGTCCGTCCTGGACCATTCTCAAGTCGATTGTGACACCCTATGTCACCCCTACTGTCACCCTACTGTAACACCCTATGAAACTGTACCAAGTAGGATCATGTCAGTCTCTGTACTGAGACTTCACCATTGTCTTCTCCAGTGTATTCACTGGGGATGTCTGAAACAATCCTGCTGCCCTAGAGGGAGGTGTAGAGTTGCCCCCAGCTGCATTTGATCTTCAGCCTAAGGAAGAACTGGACAGTGCCTAAGGAAGAAATCAAGTAGTCTAGGTCAGAAATGCCATGTAAGTTGATACATAAATAAGACTTACCTTCAGTAAGACAGCATGATAGCAATACACATCTTTTGCCATGAGATGTTTCTGCGCATACTGCCTGCCATTCTGGGCAATCACTTTGGCCTTGTCATCATTAGTCCTTGCCCACTTAATCTATGGAAGACATTTTTTAATTACATAAAATTATATGTTATGATTGTTTTTAAATTCATTGAATGTTATGCCCTTTTCTGTACTATGTTCATGCTATATGCGGTGCTTGTTTATTTTGTGTTATGATCGAGTTGTGTGGTCTCAATTCCAGATTATATAAATATTTTACATATTTTGCAAATTAGAAATTTTCTATTTATTTATCTTTAGCAGCTTTAGCAACAAAAGTCAGTGAGAAATGCCATGGGGTACACTAAAGACTGCATCAACACACACACTTGTGAAGGAGCTAGTACCCTGTACACAACAACAACAAACACATGCATTATGTCAGAGACTCGGAAGATATAAATGAAGTGGTATGGGCTCAACAAGTTAAGTCACAATTCTGCATATACAAGAGCACTGAACTGAAAGATGTGTCAGCAAGGCGGACAGCCCGCCTGCTTTCATACCTCTCACTGTATTTCCCACTTCTATACTTCCCTTCACCTATGCCTCTCCTTCCTCTTCACTAAAAAATGAAAGAACATACAGGGGAAAACAGGCACACTATAAGATTTGTAAACACACATGAGAAGTTCTATATAGTAGAAATATATTAAAAGTAAAGCACAACTGAAATATAAAAAGTCACCGCAAAAATATGTCAAGATTCACAGATGTAAAGTCCTACTTTAATTAAATCTAGTCTCTGCTTGGTGACTATGCACCGGATAACAGTTAGAGTAAATGGACTGGTTTTGATCACTGAACCCATGACAGGTGTGATACTGCAACTTCATATGGTGGTTGATGAGAGTGATCAGGCAGTCCAACTGGTTGTTAGGGACAGTCCTCATTGGTGGTCATTTACGATGTTAGGACAGGGCACGTAAGGACTATTGAGCTTTGTAGAATGCTGTCTGTCATTCTAGGCTGGACTGAATATGTTTCAATGACTACATAGTATATCTATGACCCTCCAGGGATATTAAAAAATTCCGTCACATGGAGCACTATACTTCCCAGCTTGATTGTGCACATTCCTATCCATGGTTTATCATGCCTTTCCATCCTGCAGGCGACACCTCAGAAAGCTCCAGGATTATTTCATTGTTATCTAGATTGTAGTATAGCATAGAAGTGCACAAGTTGTGTCCCAGATACTATAAATATACCAAGATCAGCAATAGAAGGTGTTACTTAGACAATCAACTAATTGTCTTGGTCAGCATATTCACAACATAAAATTATTGATTACCTTTTCAATCAGGTCAGAGAGGTCCCTCTTAAAAGGAATGTAGTGAACGTAAGGCTCTAAGTCATGATAGAAGAATTCATAATAAGACGAGTCTTGCTTCAGCACCACACTGTTTCCACCCAGGAGATAAGGGAGGCGGTAGGCTGCTACTGTTCCATCAATGTTGATCTGGTATTTGTACTATATGGAAATAAAACGTTAATTACAAGGTTGCACTATAATACTGAAAGGTAAAACTGTTAACTATTAGTTTAAAAACACTTACAAAAATACCTAAAAAGTTGTAAATAGATTAATATTAATGATTACAGCATCTTGTCAAGCAACTATGTTTTGAGCTTGTGAAAAGTCCTTTCTGAGGCAATTGTTCTGCTGCTCCCAAAGGAATAGTGATCCTCTGTGCCTAGTTAGGATCATGCTAGTCAGGTAGGAAATACACAGCAATAATGCTACAAGGGCATTTGTATGTACTCTAGCTCATATAGCATTCTTGCAGGAACATATAAAAGTTTGGGAAATAACCGAGGAACATAGCCACCATGCTAGACTAACATACAGATGGGTCTGTTCTTCAGCCAGGCATAGATTCCAGTGATGTCTTGCTTATGACCATCAAAGAAAGCCCAAACTAGCAATCAAAAGACCTACCTAATAACCCCAGCCCAACTAGGTGGCATAATATAGTTCAGAGAAAATTTGCTGAATGTGGCCAGGAATGTAAAGAATTAATGTAGCATAAAAGTGAAGAATGAAAGAATTATCACTAAGGAAACAAATGACAAACCTTACTCTGCATAACAGTGCTTCTTTTCGCAACTATAGCCAACTAATTTACAATGAAACTCTGCAAACATTTTTCATTGTAATATAATTGATATATAATTAAATTTTTACCATATTAAACAGAGATTTTAAATTAATATATTTTACAATTATGTTTGGACACTAATTATTTTAGCAGATTTATTTATCTGTTCTTTCATGTACCCACATGCACCTAGCTATGGCATTAACAATTGTGGTTGACTTGTAGCGGGTTTGGAGCTTTCCACTCTTCCCTGGAAACACAAACCGAAACTGTCTATTTTCCGCTTGTTACAACTTGTAATAAAGTTGTTGTATCTTGGCTTAACATGTTTATGACGTATTAGAACATTGTTACAACTTGCTATATTGGTTGTTATAACTGGTTAGGTGTTAAAACTTATTCGAACGTTGTACCAACGTCGTAGTTTCGGTGTGTGTTTGGTGGGTTGTAGCTTACACATCCATCACAATGTGGCTGAACCGACACAACGTGACAGGGGCCCGACAGCTGAGTGGACAGCGCTTCGGATTCGTAGTCCTGAGGTTCCGGATTCGATCCCCGGTGGAGGCGGAAACAAAATGGGCAGTTTCTTTCACCCTGATGCTCTGTTTACCTAGCAGAAAGTAGGTACCTGGGAGTTAAGACATCTGCTACGGGCTGCTTCCTGGGGGGGTAACAAAAAGGAGGCCTGGTCGGGGATTGGGCCGCAGGGACGCTAAGCCCTGAAATCATCTCAAGATAACCTCTCAAGAAGATAACGTGTAGGAACCACGTGAACTCCATTTTAAAGCAAAATGTCTTATATTAGCTGGTAAAAGGTTGTAATCAAGGACCACTGATACTAACACATTCTTCTCTTATTGTGTGTATACAATATTTCTAAAATACAGTACATATCACATTTTAATCCTCAAGTAAGTTATTTTAGTGTTCAGATTAGGGACCAAACAATCAAGCCTTTTCCATGTGATGCTAAAATATATATTCTACTTTAAACACAATTAAATACTCACATCAAAGAATTTGAAGAATGAGACATGTTTTTCCTTAGGGCCATATTTATCTTCTTGATCTTTAAAAAAGAAAAAGTTGGTAAGCGAGGCATTTATCAAGTCCTTATTTTCCCTGGCTAAAGTGATGAGGTCAAGCCTTTCCTGGCGTGAATCACGGCCTCGCCAGAATCCCTGCGGTTTCTTCTGCTCCCATGGTATGTCATTGTTAGACTGAACGGATAATATGTCAAGACTCACTCTGCAAAGCAATATACAGCATATATTTTAATTTCAAGAGCACATTAAGAATACTTTATAAAACATCAAAATAAAAGAATACTCTAGGAAATTATATTTAACAAATGCAAAGAATAAAAAAATATATAAAATGTATATTATATTGATTAAATTAAGAGTAAGGCAGAATGTAAAGGATCTTTCTGAGTAAATCTATTTGGGTGCTCCCTAAGGCAAACTTCCATGATCAGAGACAGGGTTCATACAGTCAGGCAGGATGATACTTGAGCACAAGCACCACAGCAATCATTCCAAATGTTCCTACGGGGTCATCAATGATGAATATCATTGATGAAATTGGTGAAAATTTATCAAAAATCTATTTATGATGAAAATTCATGCAGTGATGAAAATCTCACTGATGAGCCATCAGAGGTACATTCATTACTGCTTGAAACTCTTATGTAGAATTGTACTAAAGGAAGAAGGGAAGCCCAATGATACTTAATGTGTGTTGTAAGTAAACATTAAGTGAGGCTTCACAACTGCTTCTTAGAAGCACCAGTGCCGACCTAAGGCTTCCAAAGAAAGATCTTGCCACATTCTTCCCGATGGAAAGAGCAAAAGCTGTATGCAGGAGAGAAAGATTTATTATTGCTTTTCATACTGACTCAATGTCTTACTTCATGAGGTCACATTGTGTTGTGACCTCTTGAGGTAAGTCTCGGATACAGACATCCAAAAACATCAGAAATTATAAGATGAGAGAAGTTACTTGTGATGCACAATGGTGCTAAAGAATGCAGGATAAACAATGTTCGACCAGCATGAAGAGACAAGAGAATGAAGGTGCTGGCCTCCACTACTACCCAAGAAGTACTATAGTATATAAGGTAGAGAGATGGCTTAGCACTACACCTAGGCAGTGAAAGGCAGGAATCTTGGGCAAATATATGTTGATGAACACACTATTGTGACATACAAAACACTTTAAAGGCGTGATTTTTTTCAGCAAATCATGAGCCTAGTGTAAGCAATGGGCCGCCTATGCTTCACTATTCGACAACCCGAGTGATCTCCCGCCAAACACACGACGAAACTACGCCGTTGCTACAACGTTCGAACAAGTTTCAACACCTAACAAGTTGAAACAACCAATTTAGCATGTTGTAAGAATGTTCTAATACGTTGTAAAAACATTATAACAACTTTATTACAAGCTGTAACCAGCAGAAAATAGGGACAGTTACGTTGTGTGTTTGCAGGGATGAGCCTTCTAACAGGGAGCAAGTATGCAAGGACGGACAAAGAAACAGCTTGAGGGGACCATGACGAGTGACAAGCAAATAATTATGACAAAAATGATGACATATGAGAATAATAAGCGTCATACGAGAGACACAGGCTAGAAAAGCATTTTAAACTGGGAAGCAAGGCTGGTAATAATGTCATGACTACCACCACAAGGGAAGCTCTCAGAGGAGAAAAACAATAACTCGCTGAAGAAATGTGACCTTTCTCTACTTATTTCATAATGGTAGTAAACTGAATGACCTAAAGAATAATGCCAATTGGCTTAAGACAACAGGGAACACCCAAGTTGAACTTTGTTCAAATCCAACTAATGGTTCAAAATGGTGAAGTGCTATAATAAGCATGAAAGACAAGACAACATGCAACAAGAGCAAATTAATTTGATAAGGTTAGCCTGACCTTCAGCCCAACATATACAAAAATATAAAATAATATCAGGATTATTTACAAAACATCAAATGTGAATCAAATGTGAATGTCTACAGTTGTCTCATGCTTATCAATAAAGTGTGAATCATTCATTCATGAACACTGTGTGAATCATGTTGTAAGAAATTCATCAGTGTGCCACAAAAATCTATGTATTGTATTGTTTCTGTAAATATTGAAGACAAACAACCTCTTATAATTATTACATTTGCTTACTGTTCGATACAAAATAAACACCCAAAACATTACCTAAGCCTTTGGTCTTTACTTGGTCCTGGTCATAATTAACATTTTGTTTCAGCAATAGTGGTTTACAGGCTATTCTAATAAACTTATTTTCAAAACTAGGCAAAAAAATTAAAAAAATTATTTGCTAACAGTACCTGCCCATCATCTCTAAGGTAGAGTCGGTGATGTCATAGGTGGGCAAAACAATATCGGCGGTGTCTTCAGAACCACACCATGAGAAGATGGGTATAAGTGGCTTCATCTGTTGCTCAAGAATATTCAAGTTTAGTTATGACCATATGTTCTTTACTTGTTGACCAGACCACACACTAGAAAGTGAAGGGACGACGACGTTTCGGTCCGTCCTGGATCATTCTCAAGTCAATTTTGAGAATGCCGGAAATTTTGAGATTTTGAGAAAAATCGACTTGAGAATGGTCCAGGACGGACCGAAACGTTGTCGTCCCTTCACTTTCTAGTGTGTGGTTTGGTCAACATATTTCAGCCACGTTATTGTGACTCCTCGTCTGTTCCTTACTTATTAATTACAGTATTGACTTTTAAGATTTGCTTTATTCGGATTTATTTTAAGCCAAGTCAAAGATAGGCTTTGAATGTATTTGAAAAGTGCTTTTCTGAACATACTGTATACACTGCATCCTAAAGTAAGATTCTACTGTCATATGGAGAGAATTGCATACAAGCAGGATGACATTCTAGATCCTGGCAGTGCTACTACACACAATTTTTTGAAGGTCTTGTGTAGGGTTATACTGTACTGGTATTAAGAAGCAGTATTAGCAGTTCCCGTGGCGCAGTGGAAAAACACTTGTCAGGCGTTATGCAAGCGCTTTAGCCAGGGTTCGTATCCTGGCTAGGGAGGATTTACTGGGTGCCAATCCTTCATTGTAGCCTCTGTTCACCCAGCAGGCAGTGAACAGAGTGAACAAAACAAATGGGTACCTGCTTGTTAAATTATTTGGTGGGTCATATTCCGGGAACATAGGATTAAGGACTTTCCCGAAATGCTATGCATGCTAATGGCTGTACAAGAATGTAAGACTCTTGTATATATAAATAAATAAATAAAAAATAAAAGCACTGGAGAAGATCATCCAGTTAAAATGAGTTACAGAAGACTCAAAATCATACATTAGTCACAGCCATTAAAAGGCCTCCTTTTCAATCCTGAGATCGTAGAGTAATGTACCGACTGCTGGTTTGCCGATTTGGCCATCTACTCCTCCTGCTACCAGGTTATCTTGTGGTTATCTTGAGATGATTTCGGGGCTTTAGTGTCCCCGCGGCCCGGTCCTCGACCAGGCCTCCACCCCCAGGAAGCAGCCCATGACAGCTGACTAACACCCAGGTACCTATTTTATTGCTAGGTAACAGGGGCATAGGGTGAAAGAAACTCTGCCCATTGTTTCTTGCCGGCGCCTGGGATCGAACCCGGACCACAGGATCACAAGTCCAGCGTGCTGTCCGCTCAGCCGACCGGCTCCCTATGGTAGTCGCATCTGATCCATAACACGTCCACCTCATCAAAACTCATCCCATTATTCCGAATATAAGAAAGAACTCTACAAACAGGAGAAGTCAGGTAATAAAATCAGATGCATGGACAACTTAGCAAGTTTGCTCATAAGGGCACTATTCATATATATATACTATATATAGTATACTGTATATAGATACCCCACTTGGTTGCCCCCCTAACCAAGTGTAGGACACAGATGAAACTTGCCAAAAAGCAAGAGAAGCACCTACCTGAAATATGAAAACCATGCTCAACCCAAGGTACTGACCTGATGACAGAAGCACCTATACACAGCCCCTGGTGGAGTGGTATCAGGAAGAGAGGCACAAATAAGCCACACACTGATGGTGGAGGCAAAGAGAGCTTGGACAGGTACCCAGTTGTAAACATATGGTTCGAACCCCAGAAGAATCGGACTCTGATCTTGGCACAAAACATTTCTGAGATGAAGGCTTTAAAGATAGCAAGTTTTGTATACAAGAGTTTTACATTCTTGTAAAACCACTAGTACGCGTAGCGTTTCGGGCAGGTCCTTAACTCTAATTTCCCCCGAATACGACCCCGCCGAATCGTTTAACAACCAGGTACCCATTCACTGCTGGGTGAACAGAGGCTACAGTTAAGGACTGGCGCCCGGTCAACCCTTCCCAGCCAGGATTCGAACCCAAGCCATAGCGCTTGCGGAACGCCAAGCGAGTGTCTTACTACTGCACCATGGGGACTGCTAAGTGTCTGAAGGGCTTGCACGTGCATAGACTTGAAGTTCACTCAGTTCATTACTCTGTGTATAAGTCGGGATACTCAGGCCTTTGTACAAGAGACCAAAGTTCTGGGACTGACAATAATTTTGTCAGACTGAAAATGGGCAAAAGTTGCACGACAATGGTCAGCAACTATATGTACTTACCTATTAGTGTTGGCTTGTAAGAGAATACAGAGGGAGTGAGATCTGGCTCTTTGTGCTTTGTCTCTTAGTCTTTAAAATAAATTAAATTAAATACCTGGTGCATTGATTGCAATTCTTGATATTAAAGTTCTGTTGTATTTTCTTTCGAAATTGTGGCTGGATGTGATTAATAACTTTTTTCGATGCAATTTACATCTCTGACTAAACTGTGTACAGTATATAGCTTATACTGATGTTCCCTTGCACTATCTTCTATCCATTTAAATAAAAAATTTAAAAAAATCAAATGTTTATTTAGGTAAAGTACATACATACAAGGGATGATACAGATATTAATGAATTTATAGATAGAGCTAGGACATACAATGCCTAAAGCCACTATTACGCAAAGCGTTTCGGGCAGTTTCGGGTAAATAGGCTTTCCATGTCCACCTTATCTATTTCCTTAGTATCTTGTATGTAGTGATAATATTCCCTCTGTTTCTTCTCTCCTCTAAGATTGTGAGGATGAGTTCTCTTAACCTATCTTCATAGCTGAGCTCTCATAATTCTGGTACTGTACTAATCTAAATTGGTTGCAATCCTCTGCACTTTCTTAAGTTTCCTTTTGTGATTCACAAGCAGCAAAAGCCATGCTAATGCTGCATACCCCAATAATGGTCTTACATATGCAGTGTACTGTATGTTTAGATTTATAAATAATGTTCTTATGTTCTCATATGCCACTGATGTTATCCTGTTCACATGAATTTTTAGTGTTAGTGTTGGAATTTTATCCTCACCCGGTCGGGAGTCGGTCGGCAGAGCGGGCAGCACGCTGGACTTGTGATCCTGTGGTCCTGGGTTCGATCCCAGGTGCCGGCGAGAAACATTGGGCAGAGTTTCTTTCACCCTATGCTCCTGTTACCTAGCAGTAAAATAGGTACCTGGGTGTTAGTCAGCTGTCATAGGCTGCTTCCTGGGGGTGGAGGCCTGGTCGAGGACCGGGCCGCAGGGACACTAAAAAGCCCTGAAATCATCTCAAGATAACCTCAAGATAACCACCCAGGTCCAGCAGCCATATATCCGTCCACTCCTAAAGTGTACCAAGGTCTTCTGAACCACTCGGCAGTCCTCCTCAGGTCTTACACTTACAGTATTAGCATTGCATCATCTGCAAACACCGACATGTATGAACTCACTCCCTCGGATAGCTTTTTACACAAATTGTAAAAAGCAATGGTCCTGGGGCAGCCCTGTGGGATCCCACTTTCCACTCCTAATACACAATGTAGGACTGAGAACAGGAGATGCTTTTTCACCCCACAGGGTTTTTAACCCATGGAACTGCTACCCGCCAAAGCCATAACTGCCAAAACTATGTTGTTTTAAAATATACCTGGAAAAGATCAAGACAAATGGGGGAACCTTTGACAAGCCGCCAGCTTCCTGTCCTCGTTGAGGCCACTAGGGTAAATTAGGTAATCACATTCTGTGGTCGAGTAGTTAATAACCACTGGTATTGTATGTAAGAGAACAGATCTCAAACCCTGTCTATGTTAGACAAATGTAAATATATGTTCAGTATGTTATTGGCGAATGCTCAATAACTTATGTTATATTTTACAGCTCTCTCTAACTCTAACTAACTAATGAGATTTACCACATTAGGGATTAGGTGCTGTCACCTGGTGGCAGTAGTTAGTTAGGATTCTCCTCGACAATCTTAGGGGGTTGCCAAAGACAGCTTGTTAAAATATCCAGTGAGTATGATTTTGTTTCTTTATCTCACTGTAGTTTGATGATGACCTCCATTACTCTTTAATAAGTACCGTATCAATATGACATGACTTTACAAGGTCATACGGTACAGGTTTCCGGTAGAACCGGATCCCAGAATGTCAATCTGCTTGTCTGACAATTTGCTCCTCCATATCACAAGGGAATCTTACGTTATAGGACCATGTGAAATTGTGCAGAAATAATTTTTGTTAATGTAATACAATGTGCGCACACACACACACACACACACACACAAAATAAATAAAATAAGGGAAACGGAACACTACAAGCACAGTCCTACGTATACCTGTACATATAACCACATATAGGTAATCACACATGCACACTTACTATGTAATTACTGTTGTTTTTATTACAGTATAAATTATAATGTCATTTCTGATTATGCAATTTGGATGGCTAGTACAACTAAAGGAAATAAGATGCATTTGCTGAAAGCAAGAATACAACCACAAATTACAGAAATACTGTATGCTGTATAATGAATTTAGAATGCATTGCCAGGGGGTGTGTAACAGATGAGGTTTACTTTGATACATTTGGTGAATTTGTCTGAGTGGAAATATCATATGAACAGTTTAGGATGTATCCTGTCAAGTAGGGCATTCATTCAGTACAATCAATTATGGATTCCCAACTTATATCCTAAATACAGTACCTTATTGCTGTGTGGTAATGTCTTCCTCGAATAGATCCAGTGTTCCAGTCTTCCATTGCTAATGAAAGTTATGTCATTACTCACTTCCACCGATGTCCCCCTGTCCTGCCTCTTTTTAATTTAGATAAGACTTTCTTTATCCACTTTATCTATTCCCCTTAAGATTTGGTACATAGTTATCCCCTCTGTTTCTTCTCTCCTCTAAGGTTGTGAGGTTGAGTTCTCTCAGCCTGTTCTCATAGTTGAGGCCTCTCAATTCTAGTTGTAAACCTCTGAACTTTCTCAAGTTTTAGTTATTGCTTCACAAGGTGTGTGTATTCCATGCTGGAGGTGCATACTCAAGTAATGGTCTCAAATAGGCAGTGTGTTGGACATCAAAGCCTCCTGGTTAAGGCTCTTAGATGAAATCCTTATGTTTGCTAACTTCCCATATGCTGCTGATGTTATCCAGCTCACATGAGCTTCTGATGTTAGTGTCGGGATAATGTCTATTCCGAGGACCTTTTCTTGTAATTGCCTTCCATGCTGTTGCCATGTAATGTACTCTAATACTGGTCTTACACCTGTAGCGACTAATCCTTATACTCGCTCCATTATCTCAGCAGACTAGGACAGTACACAGTGTTTAGTGAGTTTCATATTTATTTAGTAGTCCTGGATACAGCAGTGTTGTAGACGTTGAGACGGAGCTTGGAGCAGAGCACAAAGCTGAGCGTGGCCGGAGTCGCGGAGCTCTATGTGGGAGAGCGTTGTAGCTGGATGTGGTCCTAGTCTGCTGCCTGTTCTGTGTCGAAGCTGTAGCGTCTTGGAGACGATTAGAACTGCCTACGCTGAGTGCTACATTCTTGACTGGAAATTGTACTGTTGTCTATTCTCATATTGTTTCCTTATATTTGGTGACTACCCTCACCTTTCTCTACTAGGATAGGAGGATGTGAGAACTGTTACCTGTAATTAGGGATAGGATTATAGCTTGTGTAGTTAGTGCTAATTAGTTACACCATTAAGATAATGAGATAATGGAGCGAGTATAAGGATTACTCACTACAACGGTTCTAAAATTTGTTACCATAGTATAGGCTCCAATTGCCACACTCTTCATGTGGTCCTCTGGTGGCAGCTTATTATCCAGAATCATTCCTACATCTCTTTTCCTACTTCAGGTTTTTCATATCTTTTCACCTAATTTGTAGTTTAAGTGCTTGCAGCTTGTGCTTCCCTATTCCACATTTCATTATGTGACATTCCCTATCCCACACTTCTCATTATGTGACATTTATTTACATTGGAGTCGTTCTGCCATGTGTTGCTCCACTCCCTTATTTTGTCTAGGTTATTTTGAAGGGAAACAGTCATCTAAGTCCTGGACTTTCCATAGCAATTTAGCATCATCTGCAAGAATATTCATCTAACTGTATTTCATCTGGTAGATCATTTATATAGATAATAAACATTACTGGTACAAGAACTGAACCTTGAGGTACTCTGCTAATGACATTTCTCCAGTCAGATAAATTTCCTCTGATCATTGCTCGCATTTGTCCGTTGGTTAAAAAATGTATAATCCAGTTCAAAAGTCTGTCACCCATCCAATGTGTTCTAACTTCCAGAAGTCTCTTGTGTGGGACTGACAAAGGCTTCATTTAAGCCCAGGTATATGCAGTTGGCCCAACCTTCCCTCTCTTTTTAATATCTCGGTGGCTCTATCATGGAGATTAAATAGATTTGTTATACAAGATCTTCCTGTACAAATACAAACTGCTTGTCCATTATTATGTTGTTGCTTTCTAGGTACTCTGAATATTTGATTTTATGAATTTTTCTAGCGTTTTTGCTACCATGTTCGTCAATAATACAGGTCTGTAGTTTAGTATGTCTTCCTCATTTTCATTCTTATAGATTGGAACTACGTTTGCCCTGTTTATAGGATCCCTGTTTGTAAGGATGTTTGGAAGATACTGTAATATAGCCGGTCAGCCGAGCAGACAGCACGCTGGACTTGTGATCCTGTGGTCCTGGGTTCGATCCCAGGTGCCGGCGAGAAACAATGGGCAGAGTTTCTTTCACCCTATGCCCCTGTTACCTAGCAGTAAAATAGGTACTTGGGTGTTAGTCAGCTGTTACGGGCTGCTTCCTGGGGGCGGAGGCCTGGTCGAGGACCGGGCCGTGGGGACACTAAAGCCCCGAAGTCATCTCAAGATAACCTCAAGATATACAATGGGGCACTAATATAGGATGCGTATTACCTTAGTACCCTTGGTGAAATTCCATTTGGCCTGACTACTTTATTTCTGCCTAGTTCCCTGAGCATTTTTCCTACTTCTTCTCTAGACATTTCATTAGTAACAAAAATACAAAATCTTTTCCAGTTTGTCCAAATTCAATAGTACCAAATTCTACTTTCTAATTGTCCATTACGTCAATATGTGTATGATAATCCACATTGTTACTGCAAGTACTACCTAAACAGGAGAATGGACTTATACCCTGGAAACACAAACCGAAACTGTCTCTATTTTCCGCTTGTTACAACTTGTAATAAAGTTGTTACATCTTGGCTTAACGTGTTTATGACGTATTAGAACGTTGTTACAACTTGCTATATTGGTTGTTATAACTGGTTAGGAGGTGTTAAAACTTGTTCCAACGTCGTAGTTTCGGTGTGTGTTTGGCGGGTACTGAACACGTGAAAATTTGGAATAACTACGTAAATGAGCTTAACATACCTTTGGATTAACAAGTGGCCAATCACCTAAATTAATAATAAATTCAACATCAGGAAGAGTCATCTTCCTGAGCAGGGAATGAAGTATGTTGTCCATGAACATATTGAATCCCACATGAAGGCCATAACACTTACGATACACCTGTAAACAAAGTCAATCAATTTAAGATTGGCAAGAATATCTGTTATTAACCGATTTGTTTATATTACCCTTTTGTCTGTTAAGATAATATGAATAAGCGTGCTTTAATCACAGGAAACAGAAAAAGGAAAAAAGATAGTGCCTGGTCGGGAGCCGGTCAGCCGAGCGGACAGCACGCTGGACTTGTGTTTACTAGTTGTGTTTTTGCGGGGGTTGAGCTTTGCTCTTTCGGCCCGCCTCTCAACTGTCAATCAACTGTTTACTAACTACTTTTTTTTTTTTTTTCCAACACCACACACACACACCCCAGGAAGCAGCCCGTGACAGCTGACTAACTCCCAGGTACCTATTTACTGCTAGGTAACAGGGGCACTTAGGGTGAAAGAAACGTTGCCCATTTGTTTCTGCCTCGTGCGGGAATCGAACCCGCGCCACAGAATTACTAGTCCAGCGCGCTATCCACCAGGCTACGAGGCCCCCAAATCCTGTGATCCTGTGGTCCCGGGTTCGATCCCGGGTGCTGGCGAGAAACAATGGGCAGAGTTTCTTTCACCCAATGCCCCTGTTACCTAGCAGTAAAATAGGTACCTGGGTGTTAGTCAGCTGTCACAGGCTGCTTCCTGGGGGTGGGGGCCTGGTCAAGGACCGGGCCGCAGGGACACTAAAGCCCCGAAATCAACTCAAGATAACCTGGTAGTTAAAGAAGCATGTAGATTTCTGAAGCCAATGGTAAGAATTGTTTTTCTTGTTTATTTTCAATGCGGAGAGGATGTATATTAGTGTACATCCATTCCACTGCTTGTGGAAAATAAAGATATAGGCATGGAATAACACAGCTCAATCTAAAATTTAGGCTGTTGGATTGAACTTTTGAAATGTGTACAGTGTTAGTTAATAGAGAAGAGCAAGTTATCAGGAAATATACAGAAGTTGTAGGATGGCAGATAAAACCCAAGAAATGAAGAATGAGGTCATTTATATTGTATTATACAGTATTACATTGTAGAGAATAAAGAGAAATCATTTATGATAATTTAGTAGAGATGATTGATAATAGGACTACATTGTGAATTTACAGAATAGTAATAAATATATAAAGGCAACCAATATCTTACAAGAAGAAAAAGTTCAGAGATAGAATATATAAAATATGGGTACTATGAAGCCATAGGGAAATATAATGGGGAAGACATGCATATTTTAACAAAAACAAAATTGCTTATAGCCATTTCTCTTTTGGTAATTATAATATTGGAACATTGCACAGCTACATTAAGAATGTTCAAACAAACTTAGTTTATGGATATTCATGTGCAATAGAATTGAAGCAATCTGGATGAGAACTCCAGTAAGAGGATCTGCTATGTACACCTGGTATTTTTGTGGTTGTACCACAACCACAAACCAATTGGTACTACAACCAATGCACTGGTACCACTGGTACCATTGGTACCACAACCAATGCATCCAGATGTTACTGCAAATGTTTACCAAGCAGGACTTTGGCTAGTAGGCTAAGAAAAAAATAAGTATTAGGTCATACAATTAAAAACAAAAATTCTGCCTTGGAATTTGCTAATGTCGATGGCAGTCACAGAACAAAATGTGCATATGTAAGCAAAACTGCCTCTAGCATACAAAATTTCATGCACAAACTTCCTTCTGCCTATTATGGGATGAAAATAATGCTACATTAGCAAGGGCAAATTTTTGGGGGACTGGATTCCCATTAAGTTTTGTGAAAAAGTTAACGAACATGGAGTGAAACACAGGGAAAGCAGTCCCCACGAGTTTCAGGCATTAATGCTTTACTATGGGTAATGTCCTTGCTTCCTTATCACCCAATCCATGAATCTTAGTGCCATTCTGTATATCTTTTAAAAAGTTAATAAAAGGCATCTGATGAATGATGTTTTGGTTTTTTAACGAAGTGATGAGTATAAAGGTATTAAGAGGTAAATAAGGAAGAGCAAACTCTTAACCGACTGATAACTGGGCTAAAGCTTGAAAGCAGGTAAAGGAAACAACTTTAAAAACCTTAAAAACTTCTGCTCCATACCCCTGATCCTTATCCTGATCCCTTCCAAGTGCTATAAGTCGTAATGGCATGGCGCTTTCCCCCCTCTGATAATTCCCTTCCCTTTCATCTCAGGAGTTTGAGGTTGAGATTCAGCAAATTCCGCAGAGGCTGGTGAGGAGCTGGGCTGAGACGCTAAAATAAAATGGTTAGTATGGTATGCAGGTACACCAGGTTATGGCAGCTTGGCAGAGGAGGATCATCAGAGGATGATCCTTGATGAAAAAATCATCAAGGCAAATGGGGGGAGGGGGACCTTCGACAAGCCACCAGCTTCCTGTCCTCGTCTAGGGCCACTAGGGTTAGTGGACCTCAGGTTAATCAGGTAAATCAATTATAAATGTATAAACATTTATGAGTAAAGTTTTGAATTTGAATTTAAATCCTAGCATGACAGAACAGCTGTTTGTCTCTGCAAATTAAAGTATAAATTTAACTGCATCCTACATACAGTACTTACTTTTATGTAATTTTTTTTTTAATATTTGCTTAAATAATTTTAACATAAATGTTTATTATTTTCACTAGAAAAATGCAAAATATTATGCTGAAGAATAGCCGAGATTGTTTGCAACAGATTTCGTGTTGCAGTAGATGGGGTCGAGCATGAATCAATGTATTCGAGGAGAGTTGCACTTATATAACTAAAATACAAAACAAAAACTTACCTTGTTGTTCTTGATTACGTAGTTGCAGAAACTTCGAGACCCTGCTTGATTGAATCTTTCGATGGCTGCATTGAGAGCCAAACCAAAGTCCACCTCATGGAAATTTTTGAGATCTTCGTCAATTTGTGCATAGGAAGAGGGACAACCAACTAGTTCCTGCCAACTAGTAATGTCTCCCATTGGACAATAACAGTCTTCAGAGTAAACAGGATCTATAATTCAAACCACAGGATAAACACTTTTGTCATTGAAACAATAACTGATACGCTACTGAAAAATTAACTTCCATATTATATAATGGCATAATTTGTTAATTAGCAGACAATATAAAAATGGGGCCAGAAATAAATTCAGAAGACTCAAAATCACTTCAATTGATATTGGACGAAATATTAGCAGGTGCAGTGTAATGATAAAAATTGTAGGGTTCCGAACCTAGGTAACGATGATAAAGAGTTGAAGGATATCTGGAGGATAATGTTGAAATTGTAAAATCTGAATAGGAAATGGTCTGGGAGTCCAGATTTATAGACATTCATCTTAAGACAATCAATATATAAATGTACAGAATAAGGCAAACGGGATATGGGGATTTATTTCAAGAAGTGAAAGGGATACTGGGATTTATTTCAAGAAGTGAAATGAGATACAGTACTGGGATTTTTTCAAGAAATGTTGGTAATAAAACCTCTAGTGCTATATCTTCAGCTTTATCTTACTCTTTGTTAGGCCCTATTTAGATTATGTAGTTCCATTTCGGTCACCATACTATAAAATGGATATTAATGAATTTGTGTGGAAGGATGACAAGTTAATCCAAGGAATTAGAAACCTCGTACATGAAGAGATCAAGAAAGCTTAATTTACATTCTCTAGATAAACAAAAAGGGGTGACATAACTGAAGTACTGTAAACAAATGGATAAAAGGGAATAATGAAAGGGATATTAATAATGTGTTAAATATATCGCCACAAAATGGAACACAAAACAATGAATACAAATTGGGTAAGTATAGACTCAAAACAGACTTGGGTAAATACTAGTTTGGGAATTGGATTGCAGATTTATGAAACAAGTTACTGGGTAGCATAACAGCCAATCTCTCTAATGACAAGTGTTAGTTGAAAAAGAATTATTGCATTTTATGTAAATGCATTACTGTCTACATTCTGAATTGGGGAGAGTTTGAATAGGCCTCTGCTGCTCTAGTGTAAAATGTTAACCTGCCGTGGCTGCACCAGGTCCTAACCAGTGATCAGTAGGGTCACGCTTTAGGGAGCAACAGCCAGCATATACTCTCTGATTATTCCAGGATATTTCTTTGATGCTATCGTCGGATAAAATAATTAATCGATATACAGTACTGCGGGGAACTTACCTAAAATTTTATATGGAGAGTCTGCAACATGCTGATTATTGTACAAGACATTAATAGTTAGTCCTCTACATGTCTGGTATACGCGATATCTGAAAAAAAAATTATTTAAACAGTCTGTGACATAGGTAAAGTATACATGTACTCTCTCTCTCTCTCTTTATATATATATATATATATAGACATTATCATCATAATGTTGCACATTCTCTTAGAAACTGCTTGTTGTGGGTCCTAGCTCACTTGGTGATAAACAGTATAAAATTGCTTATTGCAAATGCTATACTGTACATTAATGGTTTTCAAATTCTGAATTATAGAAAATCACTACAGCAACCATATAATAAAAATGCACAACCAATATAGATATAGTAACCAATCTTATGAAACCAGTACAGTAATGTGATTTTTTTCGTATCAGAATTATAAAACAGTTTAGAATACAAGAAAATCTTTTAAGAGATTATCCAATGGAAATGGAAAACCAAACCAAGAATTGGACTAGTTACAAATAATCATATATCACAAAACCCCAAAGAATCGATCCCCTGATCATTAACCAAAATTTGAATGATGGCAAGAGCTTTACGTTACACAAATGAGGCCCAAGTTCTACAGCAACAGTAGTAATGGGTCCTAAAAAGTGAGAGCATCATTACGGTATTATCTCCAGTCTCCCCAAAGTCCCAGCATGGACTGGTGCGGAGAGTTTGAATAGGCCTTTGCTGCTCTGGTGTACAATGTTAACCTGCCGTGGCTGGAGGATAATATTGAAGGATAAGGAAAAGGCTGGAGGATAATATTGATGACCCGCAGGCCGTACCTACAGGCCGAGTGCTGTACCACTGTACCACCACGCCACAACAGCAAGGACGAGTATTTATCAACTCATTCTTGTTTGAGGAGCTGTTCACTTGAGACAGTTAAGCAAGTCCCAGCTGTGTCTGGGTACAAGTGACAGGATGAACAACCCAGCGGGTTTTCTTCCTATTGGAGATTGTTGTACATTCTGCTATGGCGGTATGTTCACTCACAAGATGAGTGGCGCTGCCCAATAAACTCGCCCCCCTCAACTACAGTTATAAGTTATATCAACAGTTATAAAAGCCTACTTTACCTGACAATGTATGATCCATCATATCGATCAAGGACTTGTGCCCACTTCCTGCAGTATGAGCCATGAGTTGTGTCTCCATTGATTTGTACGCTGAAGGAATCCCCAACAGATTTCTGAATTCTGCCATCAAAATAATATATAGAGTAAATAAATTACCAGTATAAAGTGATTAACAGTTTAAATCACTATCTTACAGAAAGTAGTGAACAGTGTTACTAAAATTAAAATGTACATAAATAAAAATATTAAGAAATGTTATTCAGTTCTCCCTTTTTAAGTAGCATTTATGAAAGAGAAAATTTCAGTGTAACACAGCAAAACTCATATTATTCCTCAAAGGTTAAAGTTCTCAGTATATTATTTTAAATCATACATAAACAAATCAAAGTTTTGTGTAAACATTGTAGGTGAATAGGTTTAAATAAAAAAGGCATTGTGTAAATCTGAAGTAATTTACCACTCCAAAATATCACTGAGGAACAATATAGTACTGTATTCATTCAGAATTTATATTAGCTATGCTAAGATCCTTTGTTTGGTAGACTATTTGCATCACAAACATATACAGTACTGTATAAATCTGTATTTATATAAAAAATAACATTACTCTTGCCTGAGAGCAATTTTGCTGAGTTTTCAATGAGAGTGGAAAACATGCCTGCACTTCAAGCCTCTTGAGGTAAACTGGGATACCCTACTGGAAGCATTGAGTATGGAGCACCACTTGGCAAATGGAATTTAATGTGAATAACTGCTATGTTATGGAATGTAGAATAGGAGAAAATAGACCACAAACAACCTACACATTATGCGAAAAAGCTTTACAAATTACTGATAAAGCGATTGAGGGGTTGTTCTAGATAGAAAACTGTCACCTGAGGATCACATAAAGAACATTATATGAGGCGCTTATGTTATGCTTTTCAATTTCAAAATGGCTTTTAAATACTGTACATGGATAATGAAATACTAAAGAAACTGTTCACAACTTTTGTGAGACCAAAGTTGGAATGTGCAGCAGTCGTATTGTATTGTGCTGGTTCAAATCCTCATTAAGGAGGGTTTCTATGATTTTCTCATTGATACATCATGTTAATGTGATTCCCTTGTGCATTATTCTAATAATAATTATTATTATGATTATTATTACAGTATTATCATCATCGGTATTATTAATATTGGTATTATAATCAGTATTATTACTATTACTGTATTATTATTGAGAAAATCCGTAGGAGCCGTGATGGGGGGTTTGAACCTATTCGGTGGGTGTTCCCACGCACACGTGCTAATGACTAGACCACGACATGGTATAAGGATTGCAACTTGCAGTTCTGCTTAACACACAAGGTTTTCCCGAGTCGTCTACTGAAGCTGGAACAGGATTTTCGCACAATTTCGCCCCCCCCCCTCCCTCCCCCTTGCACTCTGGCTCTGCCCTCTAGGCCTGTTCTACCTCTGACACTCCTCTTTCAAGGTGTCGCCAGGGGCACTAGTGCCGTGTGGGGTCACCCGGACACACTAGTGCCACATGGGGTCACCCAGAGGCACTAGTGCCACATGGGGTCATCTAGGGGCACTAGTGCCACATGGGGTCACCCAGAGGCACTGGTGCCACATGGGGTCACCCAGAGGCACTGGTGCCACATGGGGTCACCCGGGGGCACTGGTGCCACATGGGGTCACCCGGGGGCACTGGTGCCACATGGGGTCACCCGGGGGCACTGGTGCCACATGGGGTCACTGGTGCCACCCGGGGGCACTGGTGCCACATGGGGTCACCTGGGGGCACTGGTGCCACATGGGGTCACCCATGGGCACTGGTGCCACATGGGGTCACCCGCGGGCACTGGTGCCAGATGGGGTCACTGGTGCCACATGCGGTCACCCGGGGGCACTGGTGCCATGTGGGGTCACCCAGGGGTACTAGTGCCACATGGGGTCACCCAGGGGCACTGGTGCCACATGGGGTCACCCAGGGGCACTGGTGCCACATGGGGTCACCCAGGGACACTAGTGCCATGTGGGTTCACCTGGGGGTACTGGTGCCACATGGGGGTACTGGTGCCACATGGGGCACTGGTGCCACATGGGGCACTGGTGCCACATGTCACCAGGAGGCACTAGTGCCATGTGGGGTCACCCAGGGGCACTAGTGCCACGTGGGGTCACCAGAGACACTAGTGCCATGTGGGGTCACCCAGGGTACTAGCACCGCATGGGGTCACCAGAGGGCACTAGCACTGCGTGGGGTCACCAGAGGGCACTAGCACCGCATGGGGTCACCAGAGGGCACTAGTGCCATGTGGGGTCACCAGAGGGCACTAGCACCGCGTGGGGTCACCCAGGGCACTAGTGCCGTGTGGGGTCACCAGAGGCACTACTGATGTGTGGGGTCACCCAGGGCACTAGTGCCGTGTGGGGTCACCCAGGGCACTAGTGCCGTGTGGGGTCACCAGAGGCACTAGTGCCATGTGGGGTCACCAGAGGCACTAGTGCCATGTGGGGTCACCAGAGGGCACTAGTGCCATGTGGGGTCACCAGAGGGCACTAGTGCCACATGGGGTCACCAGAGGCACTAGTGCCATGTGGGGTCACCCAGGAGCACTAGTGCCATGTGGGGTCACCCAGGAGCACTAGTGCCATGTGGGGTCACCCGAGGCACTAGTACCGTGTGGGGTCACCAGAGGGCACTAGTGCCATGTGGGGTCACCAGAGGGCACTAGTGCCATGTGGGGTCACCAGAGGGCACTAGTGCCATGTGGGGTCACCAGAGGGCACTAGTGCCATGTGGGGTCACCAGAGGGCACTAGTGCCATGTGGGGTCACCAGAGGGCACTAGTGCCATGTGGGGTCACCAGAGGGCACTAGTGCCATGTGGGGTCACCAGAGGGCACTAGTGCCGTGTGGGGTCACCAGAGGGCACTAGTGCCGTGTGGGGTCACCAGAGGGCACTAGTGCCGTGTGGGGTCACCCAGGGCACTAGTGCCGTGTGGGGTCACCCAGGGCACTAGTACTGTGTGGGGTCACCCAGGGCACTAGTACTGTGTGGGGTCACCCAGGGCACTAGTGCCATGTGGGGTCACCAGAGGGCACTAGTGCCATGTGGGGTCACCAGAGGCACTAGTGCCATGTGGGGTCACCCAGGAGCACTAGTGCCATGTGGGGTCACCCGAGGCACTAGTACCGTGTGGGGTCACCCAGGGCACTAGTACTGTGTGGGGTCACCCAGGGCACTAGTACTGTGTGGGGTCACCCAGGGCACTAGTACCGTGTGGGGTCACCCAGGGCACTAGTACTGTGTGGGGTCACCCAGAGCACTAGTACTGTGTGGGGTCACCCAGGGCACTAGTACTGTGTGGGGGTCACCCAGGGCACTAGTGCCGTGTGGGGTCACCCAGGGCACTAGTGCCGTGTGGGGTCACCAGAGGCACTAGTGCCGTGTGGGGTCACCAGTGCCGTGTGGGGTCACCAGAGGCACTAGTGCCGTGTGGGGTCACCAGTGCCGTGTGGGGTCACCAGAGGCACTAGTGCCGTGTGGGGTCACCAGAGGCACTAGTGCCGTGTGAGGTCACCAGTGCCGTGTGGGGTCACCAGTGCCGTGTGGGGTCACCAGAGGCACTAGTGCCGTGTGGGGTCACCAGTGCCGTGTGGGGTCACCAGTGCCGTGTGGGGTCACCAGAGGCACTAGTGCCGTGTGGGGGTCACGATGGGGTCACTCAACCCAGCGCTAAAACCACGCATTACAACCATCTCATTCCCTTTCACCTCACTTAAAATATATCACAAATATGACACTCTTGACGGAAATGACACTTAACACCGTCTTAAGTCTCATTCAAGAAAATAAACTTGAAAACCTCATCGCCTTGAACTTGGAACCTTAAGAAAACTTCCTCTACCTGTTGCCCTTCTTGTCATACGCCTCTATGAAGAAATACCGCACAGGGAAGACAATTCTCTCTGGCTGCAAGCCTGGCCCGAAGACTCTGGTGGCCTTTACATCCACCTTGACCTTCTTGCCTCCTTGAGCGTGACACAAGACGCTGAGGAAGATGAAGAGCGAGAGTCTCGCCTTCATGATGCTGCCTTCAGGACGTCTTGGAGGAGACTAGCCATTTCGTACACACCATTCACATTATATCTATTTTCTACCATTTCCCATATATACTAGTGTCTTTCGTGTATATATATGATTGAACAATATTAAAAACCATCATATAATGCTATTAACAGTTAATAATCTTCTACTTGATAGGTATATGGTTATTAAATGGATAGATTTAATCCGGGTTTATAAGAACGACGCCAGCGTTAGGAACACAAACATGATCGAACGCACAAAACATTAGACCGTGGCATTTTTTAGGTAGACTTCTGTTACATTTACTGTTTGATAGTTATATTTATATATAATAATATCTATTAAGGGTAAACGCTTAACATGTAATATTAATTAAAAGAAATGTCAGGAGCCACACGTCTGTCTCCACATGTTTTATGTGTTAATTTTGAGCGCTCTTGTACTTGTGCGCTGGCTGACGTTCACAACCGATGTTTTATTTTTTTTTTATTTATAGAAGGTTCTTACATTCTTGTACAGCCACTAGCACGCATAGCGTTTCGGGCTATGCGTACTAGGTCTTAATCCTATGTTCCCAGGAATACGACCCGTCAAATCGTTTAACAACCAGGTACCCATCTTATCAAGTTGTCAATGTAATCAATCACAGCTTTAATATACCAATGTGCTTTACTATACTTACTAATCTCTCTCATCTCATTTTTTCTTGCAATGTATCTGTTATCATTTTATTAATTCTGCTAGAATTTACCCACTTAAAATTATCTGTTAGATTAAGGACCTGCCCGAAACGCTGCGCGTACTAGTGGCTTTACAAGATTGTAAATACTATGCTATGTTTTCTCTCAAACCCAATGTACCTTCTTGTATATAAATAAATAAATAAAAATAAATAAATAAATACTGTTGGGTAAAGAGACTACAGTTAAGGATTGGCGGCCAATAAATCCTCACCTTCTGAGGCTAAATGGCTATAGAGGTTTTCACTTGTATGCTGATGGAGGAACTAGGGGGGTCTCATGTTATGTCAAAAGTACCATACCTGCCGAGATAACTGGAATCCCTCAGAGATATAGAGGTAATGAAAGCATTAGCTTGCGGATACAATTAAAGGACCGAGAGTTAAATTTCATTAATCTATACATCTCTGATAGCTCCCTTGATTTAAGATACTTGCCAGATTCCTTCTTTTCTGAAGATACACTTGTGGTAGGGGATTTTAATGCCAGACATCCAGCTTTAGGATCAAGGGGTAAAGCAAATAGGAATGGTTGCAGATGGTACCAGTTTTTGCAGGAACATGAAGATGTTCAACTGCTGGGCGAGCCCTCTCCTACTCTTCTGAGGGGAGGGAGATTAGATTATGCTTGTTTAATAAATGCTGAGGGCATAGAGGGGAATTGTCTTACTGTGGATGAAATGCTAAGTGATCATTTTGCATTACAAATACAGCTTAAACTAGATAAAAAGCATGCCTGCCTTCAGAGGAAAAGGTTAAAGTTTAATGAGGGAGAATTAAGGGGTCTTGTTGGCCATATTAAGCCTTGGTATGATACTTATAAGCCAGTTTCGGCAGAAGCATTTTATGAAGATTTAATTAAGGAGGTGGATGTATTTAATGCAACATTGAACCGGAAAACATCTAGTATAAAAAAATGCATAGTGTTTACACAGATTTATTTTGACTAGGGATATCAAAGACATATTTATTTCTGGTGTGGTGCACCTCAAGGTAAGGTATGTCATGTAAAGGAGGAAATGTATATGTTTATCTCTCAGAATGTTCGGCAATACGTTTATTGCTTGTGATGTGTGTCTATGTATGTATGAACACGATGTACTGAACGGGGTGAGAATAGCTTGAGCTACCTCATCCCTTTGTGTGGATTTTACCTCAATAAACTTATTTACATTTAAATTTCACTATGTCTAAGATATCGGCGACTGATTTCAAGCAGAGCTTATTTAGAACATATGGAGAATTCAGCAACATCGGTGTTAGGAAATCTGTAAACTGCTCCCACAGTGTTGCCAGCTTGGCTACAAATAGCGAATTGGGCTACTTTTGAGAGCCCCGCGCTCCCAAATTTTTAATTTCGCTACTTGCTACTTTTTGGGGTAATTTAAGAGCAAGATGTGCTAATTTGGGCTATAAATGTTAAGAATGTACAATTGCGAGTTACATGAAAGTAACTAAGCTATAAATAATTGTAATTAATAATAATTGTAAATATTAATTAATACTAAATAATATTATTTAATAAATCAGTCCCAATTCAATGCAGAGTTTTCTTCCAAGCACAGAAACTTGTAAATATAAATACAAGATAATAGATAGATCGATAAATAAATAGACAACTTTCAAATATTGCACCAAGTAATGGCGAGAGGAAAAAAACTAGACAGTATACATTATTATTTTTTTTTTTTTTTTTGAGATATATACAAGAGTTGTTACATTCTTGTAGAGCCACTAGTACGCGTAGCGTTTCGGGCAAGTCCTTAATCCTATGGTCCCTGGAATACGATCCCCTGCCGCGAAGAATCGTTTTTTCATCCAAGTACACATTTTACTGTTGCGTTAAACAGAGGCTACAGTTAAGGAATTGCGCCCAGTAAATCCTCCCCGGCCAGGATACGAACCCATGACATAGCGCTCGCTATGTCAGCGAGATGTATTGGCTCTCTCGACATTACATTTGATATTAGTAATGGATGAATGGTAATAAATTGGTGTATGTTTGTATGTATACCAGACAAAGTCCATTTAATGGCAGAATTTAGCCATTTTGTGTAAAAACTTTTATATCTCATATTATTAATTATAACAGTAATCGAGAAAAGTAATACACTTCCTCCTTTTCGCTGATGTCATCTAACTGGGGTCGTAGGGTGGGAGGTCGCACAGGATCGTCCGTCGTCGTAGGATCAGGTTGTGTGTAGTTTGTATATACAAGAGATGAAACAGAGAGCCATGAGCTAGAGCGATGTGCTGAGTCCATAAGGAGGCTGAGCTTCCAGAAATACCTTCCTGTGATTGGCTGTTGCGGGGAATACCAACACTCTTTTATGAATAAAATTTAAGCTAAGAAATAGGTCCTTGTGCACAACAACAACGTTGTTGTGAAAAAGAACAATAGTCTCTGATTTGCACCTGATAGAAATCTCCATTTAACTGAATAATTTACTCGAATAAGAGGGCAGAGCAGCGTATCATTATTTGTGTCAAGGCAACCGCCAATAATGACGTCTCAAGTTAGTAGCCAGCCCATGTTTATATAACATCTTTTATTTCCTGCAATATTTAATTATCACTTTATTAACACTTTAAATAATGAACACTTCACTTTTTTGGGTAAATTAAAGTTAAAGCAGAATTCCATAAGCAGGACTGGTGGGCTGAACTAAGATGATTTACTAAGAGGATGGCACCAATAGCTGATCCCTTCCTGTGATTGGCTGTTGCGGGGAATGCCAACGCTTATATGAATAAAATGCAAAATAAGAAATACGTTCTTTTGCTCAATAACCTTGTTGTTGTTGTACAAAAGAACAACTTTTTCTGTTTTATACAAGACAGAAATTTCCATCTAACTGAATAATGTAGACCAATAAGAGGACGGAGGCATATTGTATCGCCAATATTATTTGTGTGAGGCAACACCCTCTGATGACGTCACAAGTTCGGTAGCCAGCCCATGTTTCTGTAACTCTCGTTACGTCCTGCAGTATTTAATTATCACTATATTAATACTTTTAAATACTTAACATTTCACATTTTAGGTAGATTAAAGTTGAAGCAGAATATCATAAGCAAGGACGGTGTTCTGAATAAAGATGATTTATTAAGTAGATGGAGCCTTTAGCTGATCCCTTCCTGTGATTGGCTGTTGTGTGAATGTCAACAAAGAATATCTACCCCCATACCATCTGTGGGCGGAGCTTGGAACCTCCTACCCGAGCACAACAACCCGCCTTATGGGTTGCTGTTCGGCTATTTGTAGTGCGTTGGAAAAAAACTAGATGGCGTTAGTGGTATTTTATGGGGTAATTTGTTATAAGTGTAATTTGATGTCAACAGATGGCGTAAGCTGTACCTTATGGCTACTGTTGACCAGCCAGTTGATAGTGTTCTCTTCTGCCGACAGATGGCATCAGCTGTGTTATTAATAATTCCGAATTCCCTTTTAAAAACTGATCTACAAATCCCTTGGCTTATGATAAGGTTTTATATCATTTATGATAAGTATTAGATAACTGAGTTCCACAATTACTTTTATTTATCAACTGTTGAGGATATCATCATATAACGTCTGGTTAGGACGTACTGCTCTCGATTGATGAAGATTAAGCCACCCAAGAGGTAGCACGGGCATGAATAGCCCGTAAATAATGCTTTAGTAATATTATTCAGGTGGGGTGGGGGAACTATCAAGTGAAGGCGCCAAGCCATTACGACTATATAGCACTCGGAAGGGATCAGGATAAGGATTTGGGATGGGACGGGGGAAAGGAATGGTGCCCAACCTCTTGGGCGGTCGGGGATTGAACGCCGACCTGTAGGAAACGAGACTGACGCTCTACCGTCCAGCCCAAGTGGTTAAGCGTAATATTATTAAAACAACAATTTATGCATATAATAACAGCATTTCACACTAAAAATACTTGGATATATTGAAATTTGGTAGTGAATTCCAATCTAGGAATCTCCTATGACTAAACTGTACTTTTTAATCATTTTTATGTACTTACTACTTATTATTAAATTATTAAGTACTTACTATAATAATTAAATAAATTATTTTATTTAATATTTAAATTAAATTATAAAATAATAGGTAATAATAAATCATTGTGTAGGGGGACAGGCAGCCAGTTTATATATACATGTTAGGCTTATACCAAGGTGCCACAAAGGTGCCAAATTAAGACTGGGTGCTGCCGGGGCGGGCCCTTGGACCCGCCGTTTTGGGCTGTTTGAATTATAGCACAGTAAGAAATCTGTTTAGTGTTTGCAGGTTATAGTTGTGTGTGTGTTA